TAATCTTAATATATATTAATACAACACCTACTTCTTTGAACTATTTCTTCTAATTTCTTCAGCTTTCTTAACCACTTTAGGTAAATGTCTATGATTAGCAATTCTTCTAATTTCAGGCATGTATTGATATCTTTCTTTCAATTTATCATCATATTCCAACTTAGCTCTTTCTCTAGCTGATTTAACTGCACTTCTTTGATCTGATCTAGCTCTCCACACACGTATACTTGTATCTTCGGAACCAGACAATATGTACTTACTATCAGTTGTAAACATCACAGCTGATACTCTTTGCATTCTCTTGGTATGATAAACATCACGAGATCTTCCATTCAATGCCGGGAAAATTCTAATAGTTTTATCCCAACTTCCTGTGACTAATTCTTGACCTGTTGGGGAATAATCCACTGACATAACCGGTGCAACATGCCCCTTGTATGTTTTCTTTGGTTTTTCCATCTTTCTCATATCCCAACTATATGCATTAGTATCATCACAAGCAGATGCAAAGTTGAAAGGTTCCATAGGGTTGAAACACAAGGCATTGTTTCTTAAACTTGTCACGGCTTTATGAACTGGTGTGTTTGTTCTGATATCATATAATACAATGGAATTATCCGAACCTGTACTTGCTATTATATTAGTTTCACTTTGATTGAATTTAACAGTATTGATATTATCACATCCCCAACTTAAATTGGAGATATATTTAGAACGGTTAATATCCCATAATTGGATTGCTGCACCACCAGTGACAAATAAATCATCCTCACGATGATGATCAATACCTTTGAATGAATGTTCACCAATAAATGTTTTAATCAACCCACCACTTGTCTTACTACTACCACCAGTTGTTCGAGATCCTTTATTAGTGTAAACTTCATCATCGTTGATCTTGTGGTCAAAATCATCGGTGTTCACTGACCAAACTTTAACGGTTTTATCATCACCACAACTAAACATTTGATTATTATGTATACAAATCCCACTAATCATACCATAATGGGCTTTAAAACTAGCGGTTTCTAAACGATCAGTTAAATTCCAATATTTGATTATACCATCACCTGAACTACTTGCTACTTGATTAGTAGTATTATAATTCTTAGATAATCCATAAACTCCATCACGATGTCCATCACCTAATTGACCAACAAATGGTTGAGCAAATATACGTTCAAGTTTAGTTGCTTGTAATGCTCTAGTATATTCTCTTGCACGTTCAAATGGATGTAATGCTGGGTTTAAGTTACGTGGAAGAGCTGATTCTTGAGTGTTCTTAACTGGAACATATGTATCTGATGATCTACTAATGGTTTTTATCTTCATTGCTAGGTGGTTAGTTAGTTGGTTGGTTGGTTGTTGTTGTAGAAGAGATAACCTCATCGGGGGAGAAAATTGATTGTGAATAATTTTTTTTTCACGTGTGTAAGGACTTTTGTGATCTGCAAAAAAAAAAAGAAATAAAATTGCAACTCAAGTTGAAGAAGGATGCAAATTTTCACCAAGTAATTGACTAAGTTTAAGCAATTCATTAAACGAATGGCAACAACAACATCAGGGAAGATATAAAATTCTTTGAATTTCATTATATGAATTGTACGTACGGAATTATAACTTTGCATTTATCTTGGAAAAGGGATCTTCAAACCCAGTTTGGTAATACACACTCATGCACAATGATAAAATACACACACATCTATCAACAAGTTGATTTATTTTCATATCAAGATACAGCTTCTTGATAAACAGATCATCAATATCATTGTTATTGTCATAACTTGGTCAATGGTGGTGTTTTTCCTGACTATTTATTGTAGACGAGACTAGTAGAATGAATCACAGACACGAAAAATATAAACTTTGAAAACCAACAAAAACTAAAAATGATAATCAATATTAATGCAACCTCCAAAAACAAATTCATACACCTTCACACATGGAAGATGAGTAATTCACCAATTATATTTTTTTTTTATTTTCTTCCGAATTTGGACGGTTTAATTCTTACGTAGTTGGGTTTGCATAGTTATTCTCTGCACGAATTCTAGATCGTTTATAACTTCCATCATTTCTTAAAAGGTGATTCTTTCTTCTACTGATCATTAGCATGTGATTGAAACAGTTTGAAGGATCTATTTGTAGAAACTATTTCTTTAAATAGATTTAACTCAAGAAACAATGCATACGAGGTAAATAAATAGAAGCAAATGGTTGGTTGATTCTTTGTATACCCTTAAAGGGGCTAATAATATGAACAATAGAAGTATAACTTTAACAACAAAGATATTAAAATTTCAGTTTTGGTGATATTTTCTTCTTCTTTGATAGTCTTTTGTTTTGTTTGGGGGTTATGAGATTAAATGTAAAATGGGATCTAATTGTTGCTTTTTGTTGAAACCAATAACCAATTTTTTTTGTTTTTGCTTTTGTGAATCCCGAGGTTGGGAGTTAGGTTTATTATACTACTACCCTTTTCAGAGAATTGGATTATGATTATTGTATAATAAAAAATGATTTGCAACTTTAATCATGTTTCCATTTTAATGAAAATAAAAACAATCACATAAAAACCCTATATGATTTACAATGGGTGTATCAGTATGGAATGTCTAATTTAAATTTGTGTGCACTACAACCCCCAACCATCACTACTAGTGCTCCAATATGAACTAACTTTTCATCGTCAGTTACGGGAGGGGGATGAGAGAGGACATGTTTGCCATGTCTTCCTGGCAACGGACTAATCAAGGGGTTGAGGGGGTTTCAATTTCATCGTTTAAGCCACTAATAAAAACGGGTAGAGGCTCATCCCTGAGTCAATGAATCCTCGGCTTATCCTAAGCCCATAGAAGATGAAAATATTGCATCATGAATGTAATTACAAAACAATCAATAATTGAAATTGGTTATTCATTCATAAACACACACACACACAAGGAGAGAAGGAAGATTATGGTTAAATGAAAAAAGCTTTAACAATACAAGGCGGTCAGTTTGGTGCATTGCATTACTTTAGTCATAAATATTGTTTAAATATATCGGGATGTTGAAACGTATAGTGATTTACAATAAAGGGACCTCCTCCTTTCTCTCATCAAATGATATGATCATCAATGAGAAATTAATCATCCATCTATCCATCTCGTCTCATTGTTCAATACTATCAGATAGTAATATCCATTTATTATAACACGTTGATCAAAGATCCGCGTTCATTATTATTGCAGCATTATATTTCTTGTCACAAGTACACGAATATTCCTGTAACCAAATCCAATTAAAGAAATATAATTTTGGCAGTTAAACATTGAGGATATGACTCCACCCATTGTTGTTGAATTCCAATAGGTACATAAACTATATTTGCTTGTTTCCTGCTTTCCAGTTCTCCACCCTCCTTTTTATTATTATTATTATTACTATTGTTAGTCCCCTTAAGAGCCAATTCTCTTGGCTGTTGAAATGATTTCAAATCAAGTTGAAATTTGGCCCAACAAAGTAATTAAACCGCTCTCATATGATTATTGTTCTTAATACTTTATGTTTATCGTATAGCATTCTAATTGCAGACACATTGGTTATTAAATATACGTAGTCACTCATAAATTAGAACAAGGTTATAATCCGAAAGTATTTCTTCATTAACTGTATTGTTAATCTTTTTGTTGTTACTCTCATACACACACATACACATTATGTAAGCTCTATAAACCTCATCAACCGCCCGTCACAATGATCAGCGGTGTTTTGTTATTTTTTTTTTTTTACTAAATATTCGATTTTCAATTTTACCAGGATGTATTACACAAAATAACATATCACAAAAGGTTTATAGGGACTATTTCTTGATTATGTGTGTGTGTTGCAGTTGTTGCAGTTAAAATTTTATTGCAATTTTCGGGTTTATTCTACTATATAGTTTACTTTCAGTTTAAAAGAAAGAAACTCTCTGAATAATGTATTTCAAAGTTAAACATCCCTTTTAGTTTCTATATATTTATCAAAAATGAAAATAAAATCCCAACTATATAAATAAGTAGAAATTCCCTTCAAAAGTTCAATAATTTCAGTTTTCCTTTTTATTTATTCATCATCATCAACTAATCTACTTTCGCTTTAAACTACTATCCATTAACAATGTTGTTTAGAAACTTTATCATTCCTTTCTTGATTGCTGCTACTACAGTTACTGCTTTCTTGGATATTACTACTTCTTTAACCAAATATGCTTCATTTGATTTCGGTGTTGGTGATATCTCCATTTCTAAAGGTGCTTCATTCTCTTTGATTAATCAATTTGATGCTGTTTTCCAAGGTGGTCTTACTATTGAAAAAGGTTGTGATTTCTTCCTTGCTTCTAAAGTTAATGTTCTTAAAGTTGTTATTGATAAAGTTTTTGCTAAAGTTGTCAACAAAGGTCTTTGGGTTATTCTGACTATTGAAGCTACTAAAGAATGTATCATTAACATTGCTGGTGCTAAATTAGAAAATATTGGTAACTTGATTTGTGCTATTGAAGCTAAAAAAGTTGCTCTTATCTCCAAGATTATTAAAAATATTGGTTGTATTCATATTAAACAAGATAAATGTACTGATACTACTGTTGAATTTGGTTGTTCCGGAGGTAGTATTGATAACTCAGGTACTGTTTGTTTCACTAATTATAAAGCTAAAGCATTTGCTTCAATTAAAGGTTCTGGTTGTATTGCTATTGAAAAAGAATCTCATTTTGAAATTGGTGATTGGATTTCTATCGATAAAGATCAAACTTTCTACTTGGGTGCTTCTAAATGTAGTCTTAAAGCTGCTCCAGGTGTTATTGCTCAAGTTATTAAAGTTGCTAACTTTGGTAAACAAAAGAGAATTTCTTTAAACACTCCATTAGGTGGAATTTCAATCTTGAAACAAGCTGCTTTCTCTTATGATTCTGGTTCTGGTATTTTGACTTTAAGAGCTGGTTTGAAATTACAAAAATTCTTTATTGGTAAAGGTTATGATGCTTCTAAATTCTCCATCTGTAAAGATGACAACACTGCTATTGAATATAACGGTGATTGTCCATCCCCAGGTAGACCACCAGTTTGTCAACAATGTCCAGAAGCTCCATCCATTCCAGAAAATTAGATTCTGAAATCACTTCGTGAGTTAAATACATTCGTACTATTTTAGACATTGGAGTTTGTTTTTACTGTTATCGCCTATATTCAATCCCTTATTATTATTATTATTGTTATATATAATTATGTGTATTTGGATATATATTTCAATATTATAGGCATTCTTCAAATTAATGCTACAAATTTTGGAGAATTTATTATTGTTTTATAATTTAATTGATTTGTATGCAAAAATGATCTGGGTTAACTAACTGGTAGCAATGCAATTGAACAAAGTACACGTCACCTAAAAAATTCTAAAAATAATTTAGCACAACGAGATAAAAAACCCTCACACGACAATTAAAAAAAAAACAAGGACACACACACAAAATATTATCAACACCTATTAGATATCAGTTCTTTTTTTTATTTATCATTAATAGATTAGACAAACTTTTAAGACAACCGTTCGAGTATGATTGCCAATTCAACACATATTTCAAGCAGAATGTTCAGATCCCAGAAATTAATGATGCTTAGTATTTTAGCTGCATTTTTAGTATTATTAGGAATCACAGGAATTTCAGGTCATCATCATCAAGTTATTGCTACTGTTAAATCAGCATCTAATAAAGCAAGTGATACAATTGCTGGAATTTATAATGAATATGCATTAACACCAGAACAAGAAGAAATAGCTGAAGAAGCAAAAATTGATGCTGAAAAATTATCTGAATTGGATGCTGAAAAACAAGCTGAAGTAAATGAAGAAAAACAAGCTAAAGAACAAGAAAATTTAGAAGATGAACAAATTAAACAAGAAGATGAAGGATCAGAACATATAGTAAGTTAAATTAATTATTGTAATTATTGATTTAAGAATGATATTTGATAAATGATACAAATTTGGAGGAAGGAGGTTGATTTGTTTTTTTTTTTTATTTTTATGTTTTTGTACTTGTATCATTCTTATACGCATTATTTTCGAGATATTAGTATTATTATCAGAGTAAACTCATGATCCAGATAGTAGTGGACTGATAAACTTTAGGATAATTTTTTTTAATGCCAAAGAAACTCAAGATGAGCTTTCCTCGAGGAATGTCTCAGTGATGAATGTTTTAATTGGCATCGTCCCATAGTGGAAGATCCCGAGCATGATCATCATCATGTGACTCAAACTAAAATAACAGAACAAGAAAAAAAAAAGAGGGGATTGGAGTACACTTACCTTTCTCAGCCGTGCGATAACAGATATGATCGACAAGTATTCTCTAATCAAAATTTGATCAACTTATCGTTCAAAAGATTAAGATTGAAAATATTACATTATTAATATTACTATTTATAATTTATAGATATATAACGGTGTATAGTATATATATGTTACAATTGAAAGAAATTAAAAAGAAATTATATAAAATGTTAAGTTAGCAACGTGATGATGTAAACCGGAGGTATGGGAAAGGGATATTTTATGCTCTGGTATATTTAGCTATTGTAGCAAACCACTCAGAATTTTGATCCATTCCCATTAGCCAATAATAGACTATGTTCTTTCTCCTTTTTTTTTCTATTTCGTATTAATTTGTTATCATTTTGGTACAAGTCCTGCTTTTATACGTACACCAAAAAGAAAAAGAACAAAATAAAAAAAAACATTGTGGACATAAAAGTAAACCAGAATGTAATGATGTTAGTATTATGGAGAAGGCAAAGGAAAATGTATGTGTGTCTGTCTGTGTGTGTGCCTAAATTAATCTATAAGGATATATCTAATACCAAACCAACATCGTCGACAACTGGTTTTGCCAAATCTTCTAAAAATGGAATCAAATCCAACAATTCATTATCATGCAGATCACTAAACCAACTACTGATTGGAATCGAATGATCAGGATGGAAAATATAAGATGCTGGGGAGTTATCAATGATTATAGTATCTTGCAACGGACGGCCAACTTGTGATAAATTTTTTATAAAGTTTCCTTGATAATTATAACATGAATCTCTGAACAATCGATGATGCACCGAGTTGTAAATATCCAACTTATCCAACAATGGATCACCATATTTCAGCACAGATGCTGTAAAGACAACAACTTCGAAAAGTTTACCCATTTTTTGTAAAAATTCATCAACCCCTGGTCTTTTGACAACATAAACATGATGTATTTGATTATCTATTTCCACAGGGATAACAAAATCAGCAGTACGTAAATATTTGAAACTAGAATGAACTAAAGTTTCATCTAGATCTAATATTAGACATTTCTTGTTACCAAAGTTCTTGTCCTTTTTACCCAATAGAAACCCAGTTTCAGGATTAAAAGCTTGACCTTCTTGCAATTTAGTCAAATCAACAAATGACTCATCATCATCGCTTTCACCATCTGCATTGGTATCGTCATCAACATTTTTCAGGTAAGCATTGACTTGTGAATTATATTGACCATTTTCAGGTACTTGAGTTATTATATCTGACGGATTTATTCTTGATGAAGTATCAGGTTTAATACTGCTACTGCTATTTCTATTATTTGATTTTGGAGTATTGTTGTTTGATTCATCGTTTGTGTTTGTGATTGTTGCACTCTCATTAACAGAATGATCATCATCTAATAGCTCTTTTTTATTAGGTTTCAATGCTTCGACTTCATCATCACCTTCATGCGCGACATCCACATCATCATCTTCGTCGTCGTCATCATCATCCTCATCATCGTCATATTCATCTTCGTCATCATCCTCATCATCATCATCTCCTAATACGTCAATATCATTATCTTTACTAGCATCTGAATGATTGTTGGATTGTGAGGATTCGTTTTTATTTCGTATTTCGTCTTTTGTTTGCTTTTTAGTGCCTGTTACTGTGGCATTAGTAGAATTTGTCTCATTGGTATTCCTTTTACTTGCTCTGTTTTGTTGTTGAGACCGTGAATTAGTAGTATTTGAATTGTTGTTTTCTGTTGTAATTGATTTTGTATTGGCGTTAGATTTTCCTTTTGAAGAAGACGTGCCGTTTGCATTTGTAGATTGATGTACTTTATCATTATGGTCGTCTTTGGATTCTACTCCACAGCAAAATATCGACGATATGAACCCCATTGTGAAGTTAGAACTATCAAAAATAATAAAACAATGATGATAACCTGGTATAAGTCTATAAGTATTGAATGGAAATTTCTCAAGGAAAAAGAAAAGTGTAAAATTTACCCTTTGAATTGTTGTTGAGAAATGTGAAGAACCTTTTTCCTGCTTGAAAAAAAAAAAAAAGTGAAGAAGAAGAAGTAGAAGAAGAAAAAAAAAAAAAATAGTACAACCTCAGGGTTACGGCTATTGCTCTATCTCAATGAGAAAAAAAAGGAGTCTCTTGTTGTTGTTGTCGTTGTCGTTGTTGAAATAACAATGATGTAGCCAATAGCCTCTTTGATTAGGATTAATTAAGCCAACGTCAATGACAAAGTTGGTGAATTAATTAAGGAAAAGAAACACAGTTGGTTTGTCTGGCTAACTGAGTTTATGCAGTCAACCAAATACAGTACAGTTAACCAAAAAAAAAAAAAAATTGTTTGTTTTGGAGGAGCGGTTGGAAAAATAAAATAAAAAATAAAACAACCCACAAGATTACTTTTGCAAGCAGCACTTAAACTCTAATCGCAGTAGTGGTGGTCTTGGTGTGATTGAAGAAGAAGAAGATGTGTGTGTGTAGATATATATATATAAGGGACTCTTGATTGATGTAACTACTCCCTTACTGTAGATGTTGTTATCATATACCTCTATGTGTAAAGTAAGTGGTTGTAATAAATTATGGGAAGGCAACAATTTTTGAAGAAACTAAAAATTTTAGAACCTCTGATTTTTTTTTTTTTTGGTTGTTGTTATTGTTGTTGTTGATTATTGACTCAAAGAGAGAGAAACGTACGACATTGTTACTAAATTGAAAAATGTCGTACTTTGTCGACATCATCGACGCAAGTAATTTACATTGGTTGTCCTCAGAGATAAAAAAACAACAACAACAATCAATTAATTATTGTGTCACTAACAATATTTTATAACCAGCACCACCAATACACTAAAACAGCGAAACATATCCAGAGATAAATGGACTATCCGTCTGAAAAGCATAAATGCTGTGTAGTATTATCTCATCTGAAGATTTGCTGTTGCTAGGTGGATATAACCGTCCTCCCCTTCTCCTACTCCATAAGGGCCGAGAAATCCAATCAAATTCAAGTTTGTGGGGGGGGGGGGGAGAAAGAGAGAGACATATATCCGTACAATCCATTTGAGTTTCATAAAAAAAAAGGAGAAGGATTCTGTACTTCCCTTTTGAACCGTGTTCTTATAATGCTATTTCTAGAATAATGAAAGTACAATCAACCAGTTATCCAAAAACCAACCAATGAACATCTTTCTTCTCTTTGCTAATGCGACATTTTCTATTTTTGGCATATGAATCAATAACAATTCTTCCTGAAATTGGGGGCAGGAATAGAAGGGGAAGGTGGAATTTTCTTCGAGACTATAGGATGCCCATCTCAACTGTTGAATCATAAGTAGACGAGATGACTTTAAAAAAAAGAGCAAACCAATTTAGAATGTGTCCATTACTACAGTTGTATATGAAATTCAATAGATACTTTACAGCTACTATATACTCATAGTAATATTATATGTAAGAATAAAAAAGGAAACACTTTGCGAACTATTTCATATAAAAACCGATTTATCCTTCTACGATAATGTATGTGGTCCCATAAACCAAAGCTGATAGGCAGGAAAGCAATTGATTGACTGATTTGTGATTGATTTGTGATTAATTTTTACGGTCAAAGTACACGCACTTCATATGAAACGCAAAATTTTTTCGTCTTTGCATTCTTTTTACGATTGCTGTATTATCAGATAATACCAATCTGATTTGATTAATTCGCATGTATATTCGAGTACTTCTAATTAAAGTATTTTTATTATAACATACGGCACCAAACAGCTAGTATACCCAAACTATAATCATACCGATATGAATGATATTTGAGTTCACACGCATGTCGAATACTCGCAGAAAGCGAGAAAAGTACCGAATGCATGATAAGAACCGATAATCATTGCATGACAAAAATTGTTCAACTTATTATCGTAAGGCATCAATTTTAGTCAAGTCAGGAATTCGAAAAACGACAATGACCACATAGTAGTTTTCTTCTTATCATTATATACGCATTACTACTTTCGTATAATTTATCGATGCTTATCACCACCAACTCATGATTGACTGCCAAGATAATTCTTGAATATGTCAAAATTTGGTTTCTAAAATTTTGCTACCGTTATTACGAAGAACGCAAAACTAAATCAGCAGACCATATACCATCATACTGTCTTCAATCAGAGTTTATTGAAATCGTAATAAGAACAAATGACTATTATTCATTTCATTCTATCACAGTCCAATCCAAAATTGTTCCAAATCTGACATCTTGCCGACGGCTATTGTTCCTCTGTTTCTTTAAATTACTAAGATTGCACCATGCAGCTGATAGTTGCAAAAACTAAAATATTGGAGCCACTGTTACCTTTTTTGATGCCGCATATACGTATTAATTAAATACTGTAAATTATTATTGATTGAATTTGCATGATTTCGATAAAAACCAATTGATAAGATGTTAATTTAAACCCAAGGATCAATAGAATTTCTGAAAACTATATTAATAGACTTGATTTTCCTTTCTGATTTGTAGTTTGTATTCTTTATTTTAATCAACCAATAAACAAAGATGACTACAGATCAACCTGTTGCTATTACTAGTATCGGTAGTCATTTACATACATCTGATCATGAAGTTGATCTCAATGCTATTACTTCAAATCCACTTTCTATTAGTGAAATCGGTACTACTTTAACTGATGTTCAAAAAAATTTCGTATTGAAAAGATTACATTTTGATGCTTTAGTCTCATTTGAAAAGATGCCTCCACAAGCTGCATTCATCTTTGAAAAGATTGAACAAATGACAACTGAGGAAGCTGTTGAAATATTAGAGAAAATAGTTGAAGAACATAAAGATGATGTCAATGTGTTAGATCAAGACGAAGAGCTTTGGGTGAAATTAATCAACAGTTCAAACCCACACGAAACCTCTGCTGTCAAAGAGAAATTAGGAGCTGTTATCCATGAAACTAAATTCAGTGAAGAATCTTCATCTTCATTTGAGAACGAAAAAGAATCGGGACATCTTGAAGATTACTACAAGATTGTTGATTGGAGTTTACAAGTTAGATTAGAAGCTGTTTTAGTTGCTTATTGGTCACCTTATCCACAAGTTAGAGCTGTTACAGACCCATATGATGACCCTACTACACCTGCAGAAACTCTTCGTGTTTATATTGTCGCTTCTATTTGGACTGCTATTGGTGCTGTGATTAATCAATTCTTTTCAGAAAGACAACCTGCCATTTCACTTGGTATGTCCGTTGTTCAAGTGTTCTTATATCCAACAGGATTAATATTAGAATGGATTTTACCTAAATGGAAGATCAAGTTTTGGAAATGGACTATTGATTTAAATCCAGGTCCATACACTTTCAAAGAACAAATGTTGGCTACTATTTTCTGTGGTGTTTCTTCGGGTACTTCATATGCTGCTTCGAATATTCTTATGCAAAAATCTGAATTATTTTATAACAATCAATGGGTTGATTGGGGTTATCAAATCTTGTTAATCTTATCAACGAATTTTCTTGGATTTGGTCTTTCTGGTATTATGAGACAATTTGCAGTTTATCCAACTAAAGCATTATGGCCATCTATCTTGCCAAATTTAAAATTAAACAGAACTTTAATGTCACCAGAAGCAAAATCAAATATTAATGGATGGACTATATCCGGTTATAAATTTTTCTTCACTGTTCTAGCAATATCATTTTTATACTTTTGGGTTCCAGATTATCTTTTTTATGCTATTTCTCAATTCAATTGGATGACATGGATAAAACCAGATAATTATGATCTTGCTGTTATTACTGGTTCATTTGATGGGTTAGGAGTAAACCCAATTCCATCATTCGATATGAATATCATTGGGACTGGTTATTTTTATACTCCTTTTTATAACACTGTTTTAAATTATATTGGTATGGTATTGGGATTCTTTTGCATTGTCGGGTTGTTTTATTCCAACTATAAATGGACAGGATATTTACCTCCCAACTCAAACAGATTATTTACCAATACTGGTGAACCATATAGTGTTACTGCTGTGGTTAATGAAAAATCTTTATTCGATGAAGCAAAATACAAAGAAATTGGACCTCCATTCTATTCAGCTGCGAATTTGGTTGTCTATGGTGCTTTCTTTGCTATTTATCCATTTCATTTTGTTTATGAAATTGGTATGAATTATAAACAAATGTGGGGTGCGTTGAAATCTGTATACTATGGTATTAGAAATTTCAAAAGATCAACATATGAAGGCTTTGATGATCCACATAGTATAATGATGAGAAAATACAAAGAGGTTCCCGAATGGGCATATCTTATTATCCTTATTATTTCATTAGTGTTGGCTATTATTTGTGTTAAAGTGTATCCTGCTGAAACACCAGTATGGGGGATCTTTTTTGCCTTGGGTATTAATTTTATTTTCTTGATTCCATTGACCACTATTCAATCAAGAACTATGTTTGGATTTGGTTTGAACGTTTTGGTCGAATTGATTATTGGTTATGCTATTCCAGGTAATGGGCTAGCCTTGGCATTCATCAAAGCATTAGGTTACAATATTGATGGTCAAGCTCAAAATTTCATTAATGATTTGAAACAGGGTCATTATGCTAAAATTCCACCAAGAGCTACTTATAGATGTCAATTGCTTTCTGTTTTCATTACATCTTTTATTCAATTAGGAATTTTAAACTATCAAATTACTGGTATAAAAGATTATTGTTACCCAGATAACAAACAAAAATTTACTTGTCCCGATGGGGTTACATTCTACAATGCATCTGTTTTATGGGGGGTTATTGGACCAAAGAAAGTTTTTGGTGGATTATATCCACAATTACAATGGTGTTTCTTAATTGGTTTCTTGTTGGCATTCCCATGTATAGTATTCAAGAAGTGGGGTCCTAGGAAACTTACAAAATATTTTGAACCATCTATTATTATTGGTGGATTTTTGGGATTTGCTCCATATAATTTATCTTATTACACTGGTGGTTTGTATGTTGGATATGGTTTCATGCATTATATTAAAAGAAAATATGAAGCATGGTGGCAAAAATATGATTATTTATTAGCATCTGGTCTTGATGCTGGTATTGCCTTTTCATCAATCATTATCTTTTTTGCTGTTTTCTATCATGATAAAAATATCTCCTGGTGGGGTAATAATGTTGCTTATGAAGGTTGGGATGCTAATATGTCAACTGGTTATTTGAATGCTACCATACATGCCCCTGATGGATATTTTGGACCAAGAGTTGGTCATTATCCATAATATGTACTCTGTTTAGTTTGTCTTTCATTTCTTCTTTTCGTTCGTCAATGTATCCATTATTGTTATCAATCTTTAGTACTCGATATTTGTTTGTTACTCGTTATTTTTTCGCAGTCGACTAAAATTGTAACACGTACACGACTTTTGTTTTATACGTGTCTCGTGACTCGTGTACTCAATGCTCTATATAAAATTGGTTAGTTTTAACTAGTCATGAACCAACAGTGTATACATATATTATTAATTATTTGATACCAGTTATATAGAATAGTAAACATGGTAATTTCAGAGAAAATTCGTTGTAAAACCTTAGCAAATTAATCAACCAGCAGTAATTTCAGGTTTAATTTGTTTAGTAATTACCAGCCATTTTTTTTTGTCTCTATTTGTGTTGTGTTGTATTTTTTAGACGCGTGTGTGTGTTTTGTACCTGCACAGAGAAACCCATTGGATTCTCCCCTTTCAAATAAATATGTAGAAAATTTTTTTCTTCTTTTTTATCGCTGGTTTAAATATAAAAGCAATGCCAATTTTGAAATTGAACCACAAACTTTTCCATTTTTATTTAATTTGAATTATATTTATCTTTATCTTTATCAAACAGCCAACCATCTTTTTGTTTCCTATTCAAGAACATTCAACAAGCATCTTACATCTTCATTATAATCTATTCCAAACCCAGCAGCTAATAATCTTACAATGTCTTCTAGTGATTCGCCTTCTATCTTTATCACACCACAAACTCCTCCAAGATCTCAAAGAAGAAGAAGCAATCCAAATGCCACTCCTTTACAATCAAATCATTTATTAACTCCTTCTACAGTATCTAAAAAACAACAAAAAAGTCCCGTTACTACTAGAAGAAAACAAGACACTATTCTGACTAGCAAATTCCCTTTTACTCCAGCTACTCCACAGAAATCACCTTGTAAATCTAAAAAAAATTTAGATTTATTCACTTCAAACGAAAAATTTGGCATTTTATTACCATCTCCTTCAACCATCGGTTCAGGAAGATGTCATAATTCTATTATTCATGGACCACCTCCTGTTTTTGATATGAAGAAATTTACTCCATTTAAAGTACCTGCTACTCCTAGAAAACAAATTGTAGATGAACCAAAATTACCTGTATCTGATTCCGATGAAGATGATTGGGAAGTTAGTACAATGTCTGAAGTAGACAAAATCCCAAGAGCTAAATTAACTAATCCATTCATAGATAATGGTGAACATAAGACAGCCCCATCACAATCCCTTTCTCCTAATGGTATAAATTATGATACTCATATGGAATTGATAAATAATAGAACAGGCAAAAAGAGAATAGTAAAATTAACTAAAAACCAAATGAAAATTAAACCTAAGAAATTATCCTTTGATGGTATATAGTTTATAGATTGAAAAAGAATAAGTTTGTACTTGGCCGGTTCAAGTAAAATGTTATGTGTATAGTATTGGTTGTTCTATATTATAAACAGTTTGATTAATTGATAATACGACATTTTTGTGTGCGACATTTGTTACACCAAAGACTTTTGTAGACATTTTTTTTTATTTTTTTGCTCTTCAATTCTGCGTGGATCTTTGGATTTTGATTTTTCAGATTTGCCATAATAATATCCAGCTTGACGACATCACAATCAACTTACAGAGAGCAAAAACATAAACGATGTCGATACCGGGATTTGGAAATATTGATCAAGTTAATGATGAGATTTTAGATATAAGTATAACCATTCCTGAAGGAAATGAATGGCGTATTGAAATCCCATTTAATAAAATTCTTAAATTCAAAGTTGTTTCAGGACTTGTTGAAATCAATGGTACTGAACTTTCAAATAATATAGATATTCAATTATCTGGTTGCAAAACATTCTTATACTCACCAGTTTCTGATTCTACTATTGAATATTCATTAATCGATAATAAAGATGACTTATCATTGGTGTCTTCATCTGATGATGGATTTATTGAATACCTAAGTGATGAATCAAATATGAATTCAATTTTAAATTTACATATGTATCTTGAAAGTAAAAGACAATTTGTTAAAGATTATAATTTTTCAAGTTCAATAGATCAACAACAAAATGGTCCAAGAGTATTAATAATTGGTTCAAAATCATCTGGTAAAACATCAATACTGAAAACTTTAGTTTCTTATGCCAATAAAATGAATAATACTCCAATATTAATTAATTTACAACCTCGTGATGGTGTATTTGCATTACCTGGATCATTAACAGCTACTCCAATAAGTGATTTTTTTGATATTGAAAGTTGTAATGGTTATGGTTTTACTACTACAAGTGGTACTTTATCACATAATCCAAAACAACCGATAGTAAAAAATTTTGGAATGGTTGATTTTAAAGATAATTTGGAATTGTATAAATTAATGATTGAGAAATTAGGTATCACTGTATTATCAAGATTAGAGCAAGATTTGAATATTAAAAATAGTGGGATTGTTATTGATACACCAGCTTTAAATCTGAAGAATTTTGATGTAATTGAAAGTATAGTTTCAAATTTTTTAATTGATAATATCGTTGTTGTTGGTAATGAAAGATTAGCAATTGAATTAACTAAGAAATTTGCTCATAAATTAAATCAGTTGAATATTATTAAATTGAATAAGCTGTCAGGTTGTGTTGAAGTTGATGAAAAATTTATACGTTTCCAACAAGAACAAACAATTAAAGAATATTTTAATGGTAATTTTAAAACCAGGTTATCACCTTTTAAAACAGATATAGAATTCCAAGGATTGAAGATTTATAAGAATATTCTAACTCAAGATTTAATCTCGCAAATGGCTTTCCTTCCAGCTGGGGATGATTTTGAAAGAGATGAAAATAGTAAAGAAGAAGATGAAGATGATAAAGAATTGGCTAAATATTATAAAATATTTGATGAACCAAATAGTTCTAACTTGGATAATTCAATTATTGCCATTACACATTTATCAAATAATGATAAGAAAATTGGAAGAGATTTATTAAACACCAGTGTTATGGGTTATGTTCATGTAAGTAAATTTGATGATGATAAAAAACGATTGAAAATTTTATTGCCTTTCCCTGGTGCATTCCCTAAAAATGTATTAATATCTACAAATATAGGATATAGCGAGTAGAAAACTAATAATATTATAACCTTAATTTATAATCAATCAAATGGGATTCTTGGTTGTTGTTTAAGACTTTCACTAGCAGCAATACCACTTGGGATTTTGATACCACAACAATCACCCCAAGTATTAACATGATCATGACCACAATGATCATCATCATTTTCACCTTCTTCATGAATATGCTCTTCAACACCATCAGGACATTTTATAATATTACCAAACATGAAATGTTGCATAATTGGCAATTTACCAAGAACTTCCACTTTATACATCTTAACCATTCCTATTCTTATTTTATCCCAAGATTTAGCAGATGAAATATCATCCAACATTGGAGAATGCCAACGTAAACTCAATTTACCTTGATGATTAGGAATTGTTTTAATATTGTTAATAAAATAAATACATTCCAAATACATATATTTCTTATGATACATTTCCACTAATTCATCATTATGAATCAGTTTAGGTTTCATATGAGGATGTGTAGATAATTGAGCAGCACCAAATAAAAATGGTAAAAAATGATAATCATCTAATCCCCAAACACCATGAGATCCAGCAGGTTCTAACCAGAAAGTTTTCTGTAATCTACGCATAATTGTCATATATTGAGTGAATACTTTTAATATTATAGCTGGATAATCCTTTGGAGTAATGAGTTCTTCTTGTTTTAAACATAATAAAAATGAAATAAAATTTAATTCATGACCTGATCCATAATCTATTCTTGTACTATTACCCCAAGATTCAGTAAAATATGTAGTTGTTTCAATTAATCCCTTGGTGGTTATTTCTGATATAATATCATTTGATTTCTCAGCTAAATCTTTATAAAAATCACGAAATTCAATCTTTCCAAAACGGGAAGTAGTATCATGTGTAGGATGTTCATCTATAAGATCATTGACCTGAGATAAAGCATGATTTAATTTGGCTATGACGGGGCTTTCTTCTTCTATTGGTGTATCATTTGCCTTCCCAATTACTGATGTTTGTAATTCCACAATGAAATCCAACACAAGATTATAAGTTGGTGAGTCGATCCATTTTTCTAAATCCTGTTGACTTGATATTCTCTTTGTTGGTTTAATATATGACATCCTGTTGTTGTTCCAGTTGTTGTTGATAATGAAACTCCTTTTGGAGTAGTTTCGGATTTGGTTGGAATTTTCGGTGTTGCTGTTGAAAAAAGAAAATTGATTTTGGATCGCTTGAAGTTTGGGCAGGAAAAGAATTGACATGAAAATTTTCATTTTTTGATTTCTATTCATTGAACAAGTATGAATAAACTACCAACTTTTTATAAACTACCGGCTCAGAAACTGGGATTATTACAAGAATTGAAGTCGTCTCCTCGATTGGCTTCAATTTGGTCTTATACCGATTCAAAAACAACCAATGCAACCAGGACATTACCAATAAATATACTTTCAAAACAAGAAATCTTCACTCAAGTTATCCATGATTATCCTGATAAACAAGGTTTAAATTTGAAATTCAAACAAGTGGTAACGTATGGGAAAACAATTATTAATTTCTATAAAGCAGGTATTAAGAATGTTTGGCAGAATCAATCAGATTTAAGCAAATTTAAAAAAGATTTTTATATGCAACATGTTAATCAAGTGGGTCAACAAATTAAAATAAAAATTCCATCTTTTACTAAATTAATTGAAGTTATGAGTCAACGAGTTTATATGGAAAAAGTTGAAATTGAAACTTTCAATAAAAATACCAAAGATGATGTTAAAGGTATATCTAATGAATCAAATTTACCAATTTTTAATATTACTAGAGAACAATTTCAAATTTATAAACGTACACCTTCTGATTTTTATAAAATTCCATTATTTGCATTAATATGTCTTTTATTTGAAGAACTTACTCCAATATTATGTTATTTAATTCCAGAAATAACTCCATCAACTTGTGTATTACCAAATATTCTTCCTCGTGTATGGAATCCAAAGGCAATCAATAAACTTAAACAAATTAATCAGGATTTGACTGAAGTTCAAATGATTGATTTATCATCTAAAACAAGTTATAATTTAGATATTGAACATGTTAGATTATTATGTCAATCATTAAGACTTGTATCAAGAATAACTCCTATTCAATTATATCCTGAAACGTATTTACGCGATAAATTACAACAATATTATAATTATTTAATTATTGATAATTATTATTTATCAGGATTAAATAAAGATGGCAATTTATGGAATTTAAATGATCAAGAATTAATTGTTGCTTGTTTAGAAAGAAATTTAATTCAAGATATCGTACAAGATACCAAACAATTTAATCAAATTTCTGATCCTATACAAAAACAAACGTTTCAAGATCAATATATGAATAAATTAAGAGTTAAGTTGTTCCAATTTTTAGTTGATTTCCCACATTTTAATATTGGATACCTTAGTGTTCATCATGTCATTCCAAGAAAGGAAGAAATTGATTTAGTTTCATGGAGACAATAAAATCAACTTGAAATAATATCCCTGTATATACATATATATCTAAAGTGTATTCTATTTTAATGATCTATACACTGGTAACACTGTTTAGTAATGCATTAACAACGCTCTTGTCTTCAGGAGTTTGCTGTAATATTTTGATTTCTTCTTTAACCACAGACAGCTTTTTTGATTTCGGTAAATCATCTTGATGCAAATCATTAGTTACATTAGCTTGAATTGGATTGTCTTTAGTGCCTTCTAATTGAGCTGTATTATCCACCGCCTTCTTAGTTGTATCTTCTCCCTTAGACTCTTCTCCCACTTTAGTATCCTTCAAATTCACATTGAATGAAATCAGTTCATCTGAATTACCATCTCTGAAAAGACTCAATTTTTCACCATTTTGAAGTAGTACTTTACGACCTTTCCCAATACTGGTATCATTTATATAACAACTATTCGTACTATTATCCAATAACCAAATTTCATCTTTAACTTTCATAACCACGCAATGAAGTTTAGATAATCTATCATCATCTAAAGTAACATTACATCCACCACTTCTTCCAAATGTAAATAATCTTTTTGAAACATTGATTGTTTTTTGAACTAATGATTCTTGCAACAGTTCAAATATCAAATATATTTCATCAATAGATAAATTCTCCATTTTTAACCTCTTAGATTCTGGCTCTTCAACAGCAATAGTTACTTTTTTATTAGTTTTTGGATCAATATGATATGGTCGCTTCTTTGGTTGTGACATTGGTGCCATTGGAACTGCAAATTGTGATGAAGGTGGTACTTGAGATGGTCCTCTTTGTTGAGATAATGGTACAACACGTTTTGGTACTCTAAAATCTTGTTGTTGTTTTGCTGATTTTCTATTCTTTTCACTGTCTAATGGTCGAAGCATAATATCTTCATCAATTTTACTCAATGCCTCCACATGAATACCATTTTCTATCTTTCTGGATTGTTGTGATTGAGATTGTGATAAACTTAACGATTTAAGTGAATCATCATCAGTATATACATCTTGTAACCATTTGTGTTTTAAAGCTTCTTCAGCTGTCATACGTAATTTAGGATTAACTTGTAAACAACATTCCAAAAAATCTCTTCCATCTTCAGAGATATCATATGAATTTAAAGGAGCTTCATGGAATTCGCCGCGTTTGATTTTAGCAAACATTTGTTGTTGATTCTTACCATTAAACGGTAGATGAGAAGTCAACAATACATATACTAAACATCCCAATGACCAAATGTCAACCAATGATGAGTAATTATCCTTCTGTTGCAGTTCCATTTGAGATGATCCAAATTTACCAGTAATAACTTCAGGGGCAACATATGCTAATGTACCACAAAATGTTTTCATCACCGTCAGATTATCACTAAATTTAGCCAATCCAAAATCAGTAATCTTCACAAGAATAGGATCATCTTGGGCAATTAAAATATTATCTGGTTTCAAATCACGATGTGATATTCCCATTTTATGAACATAAGCAATTCCTTCAAGAATTTGTTTCGTAATCACTTGTGTAGCATCTTCACCAATAGCTCCATTTGCCGCCACAAAATCCATTAAATCACCACCAGGAACCAATTCCATAACGATATAATAATTATCTAAATCTTCATAAAATGCTTTAAGTTCAACTATATTTGGATGATGTAATTTCTCCAATATATCCAATTCACGATCAACTCCCGCAATGGCACCACCACCACCTGTATTTAATGCTTTTCGTCGATTTATGATTTTAACCGCGTATGAATCTCCAGTCGCTCTTTCAACTGCTTTTTTAACTGTTGCAAATGCTCCTTGTCCTATTGTTTCATGTTTTATTATGAAATCTTTATATATCCCTTGATCTTTAACGGTTCCTGTATTATCAGGCATTTTAGCTGGATTGAATTTATCACTAAATACCATTACAAATCTAACAACATCCGATTCAACTCCTACACCAACGGCAATTTCATCACCTTGTGTAAGTAAATAATTTGATCCTTTGACTAATCTTTGATTATTTACATGAGTTCCATTAGTTGAAGTATCTTTAATCCATAATGATTTATCATTTAAATTAAACCAAATTTGGAAATGTTTGTTTGAGATTCTAGACGATGAAGTTAACTGTAGATCAGAATCAACAGATCTACCAAAATACCATGTAATTTTCCCATCTCGTGGTGATTTATCATTAATGTTTAATGGGAAACTTGATAATTGTCCAGTCGAACAAATTAATTGACATATTCTATTTTCATCATCTCCTTGCGTTTGTGTTTGAGTTGTCGATTGTTGAGTCGGTTGAGTCTGACTCACTTGCGTAGGTTCCATCGGCATGGTGATAATTAAACCTTGTTGGTAGTTCTTCTTCGTCTTAGTTCTATCCCTTTGTTATTAATTGACTTTTTTTTTTTCATTCAATTTTTTTTTTGCCCAAACTTGGCGTTATAATGCGACGCGCACGCGTAGTTCACGTGCAGCGTACGTGTCTCATCGCGTATTGTTTACTTTTTGGAACTTAACCAATATCTATACAAGATTACAAACTATCAAGAGGTTCATCCAACTACCTTCTAAAATTGCATTTATGATATAATTTTGTACATAATTATACATTTATAAGGAAAAAAACTGATGGGGGAGGGAGCATGAATTGTTATTAGACACCTTTGGCTGATTGAGCATAAGATGAAACTGTTTGAAGATCTGTTTCTTCTTTATAATCCAATGATTGTTGTTGACTTTCCAATTTGTTATATTTTCTAAAAATGGCATAAAATACCACACCAATAACAAATGCAGCTATTCCCAAACCTGTGAAGTTCCAAATAATAATTGGATCTTTTGCAGTTGAAGCTAATGCCATTCCAATCAATGCACCACCAGCATTAGTAAGTAAATATATTGAAGTTGTGAATGATTTCATTGATGCTGGAGATTTACTATAAGCATATTCAAGACCGGTAATTGCACCAAATATTTCTGCCATTGCTACTAATACATATACTGGTACTTGAATAGCAATATGAATTCTATTAGGTACATCGGTATATTCCGGTGAACAAGCTCTTGGTTGATCATAACATGGGCCAGCTTTATAAATGAAATGTTGCAACACTGCTGAATAGATCATTGCTGCAGAAGCAAAAAAGAATCCAATAGTTATACGGGAAATAGGTTTCATTGGTGTGAATCTTCTTATAAAAGGATAGAAAAATTTATCAATAATCGGAATAAATATAATAATAGCAATACCATTCCAACAGGTCATTAAACTATTGCTTAGTCCATTTAATTCCATATTTGCAGCAACAGAAATTTGATTATTATTGATAGATGAATAAATAGTCCAGAAGATTGGATAAAATGCAAACACACCACATGCGCAAGTAGCTCTTCTAACTTCTTCAACAAAATGATCATCCCACCAAAATTTCTTATCAGGATGTAATGAAGGTTTAGCAGCATCTAAATCAAATTTATTTTTAATACCAACCCAAGCACAAGCAAATGTTTTAGCAATGATTCTATCACCAACTGGTGTTTTAATATATTTCTTCCTACCAAGGAATAAAGTCGCTATAGCGATAAAGAAAACTAAAAATGGAAGTAAATAAGCTGCCCAAAATCCAACATGTAATTCCAATTGAGCAGTTGCAATGACCGATAATGAACCAATATTGACCATCATATAAAAAAACATGAATACACGTTGAATTGTAACATTAGGATCAACGATAACTCTTTCTCCTTTTTTAGTAACTTTGATGTATGGCTTTGTTTTGGGAACCTGATCTGCAATTAATGGAGCAACATTAGATTTAACACCTCCTGTTGCAAGACCAATGATAATAATTGCGGTGATAAATCCACCTAATGCAATTTTAGGTGATGATATTGATGGAATTGAAGTTACAAATAACAAGAAAATTCCAACAATATATACTCCACAAAATATACTAATGGTTTTAAATTTCCCAAAATACGTATCTGCTAACCATCCACCAAAAATTGGTGTTACATAACACCAGAATTGAAAAAAGTAAGATATGGCGGTAGCACCTTGCTGACCTAAACCTAACATACCTTTAGGAGACTCAGTCTGAGTACGTTGCATATAATTTTGAAAAGGGGCAGCTAATCCAAAATATGAAAATCTTTCTGCTAATTCAACGATGGCAACCAACCAACAACTTAACGGGATGGACGATGAAACATGTCTTAATGTTGACATTTCTTGCTCTGTTGGTTCTCTACCTTCATCTGTATCAACTGATGGATATTCTTCTGCATCCAGATTATTGTTTACTTCTTCATTTGGTTTTTCATTACTACAAGTAACTAGAAGATTGGGATCATTTGCACTGGACATTTCTTGATTGTCAATTGATATTAAATTTATTTGAAAAGTTGGTTTCTCTAGAATACTTATGCTACCTCTTGAGAAAGGGTATTTAAAATCCACTACTCAAAGCTTTTTTTTATTTATTTACAGATCGCCTTTCATCTTGAGATATTTATAATGAAATTAAAGTGGAGCTAAAAAAGCACCATTTGTATTATTAATCAAGAAAAAAAAGGAACCACATTGGTTGAAAAACGTAGCATTTACATCACGGTGTATTGAAAATTGGGAAAAAAGAAGAACAAGAAAATAGAAACAGTACTTAATATCTTTCGATATTATATGTTTTGAAGGGTGAAGTAATACTTGGCATACATGTTGTGGGTAGTAGTTGATATAAGACAAATCCTATATGGACCGAGCGTCTACGTTCTAATGGAGGGAACCTAATATTAAACAGGAATCAGAACAAAATATAGGGTATCCACTTATTCATCAAGATTAATGAACTATTTACCAAACGATGTTAGTTACCTAACAATCAATTCTAAGTGAAGAAAAAGAAACTCAATATTGAATTGAAATATGCCAAGTGACAGAAGAGACTACTATTATTTATGCATATACATACACGAGAATCTAGTAACCAATTACTCCGTACTATTATCAAGATCCATTTATGTTACAGTGTTTTCCTCTTAAAAAAAAAAAAAGAAATAGAATGACATCCGTTAATGGAGAAAATAGATTTATAATAATATTATTATGATATCATCAAAAGAAAAACGTTGTCGATTCATCCTCGGTAATTACAACTGTTACACTTCGAATTACGCACATTATTTCGTGTCAATTGAAACTTTATACATACTCAAATAATTCCAATGAGTAATTATTCAATGATAATCGACTCATTTTAATGAAATATTTTTAGTTTTAGTCTCCAGGATATTTATTGTAATTTCTGGAGAGAGAAAAAAAGAAATAGAGGTTGCACTTTTATGTGTCGGAAAAATCAAAGTCGTGTGTAAACCACGAGTTTCAAGAATATATTAGAAAAGAATCCAAGAGACACGGTAATTTATTTGAATCAAATGTTCTGGAATCAAGAAAACAAACATTCTACATAACAATTTCTCATAGATAGCCTTTTATTTTTTTTTTTTATTTTAACAATTATAGATACATATATACGTAACTCATGACAATGATTAAAGTCCCACACTCTTGGCAGAACGGGCAAATGAAGTAACTGGTTGAAGATCATTGGAATCATCTTCATAATCCAAAGCTTGTTGTTCACTTTCCAATTTGTTGTATCTTCTAAAAATAAGATAGAATGCAGTACCGGCAACAAATGCAGCAACAGCCATACCGGTGAAATTCCAGATAATAATTGGATCTTTGGCAGTTGAAGACAAAGCAATACCCAATAATGAACCGATAGCATTAGTGAATAAAAAGATGGATGTAGTGAAAGCTTTCATTGAAGCTGGGGATTTACTATAAGCATATTCAAGACCAGTGATAGAAGCAAAGATTTCAGCTAAAGCAATCAATGCATAAATAGGAACTTGAAGAGCAATATGAACTCTGTTTGGAACATCAGCATATTCTGGAGCACAAGCTCTTGGATGATCGTAACATGGACCTGCTTTGTAGATGAAATGTTGCAAAACGGCTGAGTAAACCATAGCTGCTGAGGCAAAGAAGAAACCAATGGTGATTCTAGCAATTGGTTTCATTGGAGTGAATCTTCTAATGAATGGGTAAAAGAGTTTATCAATGATTGGAATGAAAACAATAATAGCAATACTGTTGAAACAAGTCATTAAACTGTTACTTAAACCATGCATTTCCATATTAGCAGCAACAGCAATTTGACCGTTATTCATACTACCGTAGATAACCCAAAAGATTGGATAGAAAACAAAAACCCAACAAGCAGAAATGGCTCTTCTAACTTCTTCAACAAAATGATCATTCCAACGGTAACTTTGTTCTGGATGTAATGAAGGTTTAGCAGCATCCAAGTTGAAATTGTTTTTAATACCAACCCAGGCACATGAAAAAGTTTTGGCAATGATCTTGTCTCCGACTGGAGTTTTAATATATTGGTTTCTACCCAAGAACAAAGCAGCAAGAGCAATGAAAAAGAAACAGAATGGTAACAAGTAAGCACTCCAGAAACCCACATGCAATTCCAATTGTGCAGTGGCAATGACGGATAAAGAACCAATGTTAATCATCATATAAAAGAACATGAAAACACGTTGGATAGTAACACTTGGATCAACAATGACTCTTTCACCTTTTTTAGTAACTTTAATATATGGTTTAGATTTAGGAACTTGATCAGCAATCAAGGGAGAAACATTGGACTTGACACCACCAGTACCAAGACCAATAATAATAATAGCAGTAATGAAACCTCCCAAGGCAATTTTTGGATTAGTGATAGATGGGACAGAAGTAATAAATAAAATGAAAATACCAATGATATAGATACCACAGAACCAACAAATAGTATTAAATTTACCTAAATAGGTGTCAGCTAACCACCCACCAAAAATTGGAGTAACATAACACCAGAATTGGAAGAAATATGACAATGCAGTAGCACCTTGTTGACCCAAACCCAACATACCTTTTGGTGAATCGGATTGTGAACGTTGCATATAGTTTTGGAAAGGAGCAGATAAACCATAGTAGGAGAATCTTTCTGCTAATTCGACAATTGCAACCAACCAACAACTTAATGGGATTGAAGATGAAACATGTCTTAAAGTGGACATTTCTTGTTCTGTTGGTTCTCTACCTTCATCAGATTCTACAGATGGAAGTTCTTCCGCATCCAGTTTGAAGTTTGATTTTTCATTTGAGCTTGATTCCTGAATTTTTTCAAAAGAGTTTGAAGCTTGTTGGACTATTTCTTGTGGTTCATATTTGTCTTCTATTGAAGGACGTGAACTAATCTTATCACACATTATGTTATATAGATAATACAGAAATGAAAAAAAATTTTCATCCTTTTTTTTGTAATTAGCATGGGAATTTCATTTTATTTATACTAAAATACAGAAGTTGAAGAGATGCATTATCAGCAGATTTACAAAAGACACAATGAAAGCGGAGTATGGATTGCTTTGTGGATATTAAATTGCAAAATGAAAGAAAGAAAGAAAGAAAAAAAAATAAAGGGAAAAAAGGGCATCATGTCCGGCCCGTACTGTTTCCTAATTGAATCTCACGACAATGGTCATATTGGCTGGATAAATATTGATAAGAAATACCCCAATACGAAAGAACGAAAGAAAGAGCAAGTCTTGGCATTACATTGTCTATGGATATTGGTTTACCCTTTGTCTGTTTGATAAAGTTCTGGGGTCATGGTTTTTAATTAAAATAAAAGAAGGTTATACCTGGTTTCAGCGCATAGAGTATGGAGTACCGAGGTGGCAAGTATGGAAGAGGGTTGTTCAAATATGCCTGTCACAATTTCCTCTTGTAATTAATACCGGAATACACAAGAGTTGCATCATTGTTTGGTGCTGCTGTTACGGTTTGAAACTATACTCCGAATACCATATTGCCTTGTACGGCTCATGATATGTTGTATTGAAAATTGAAATTGCCTTGCCAAGGAATTGTTGCCAAATGGGGCCAAATTGCATTTTAAGAATTATTGCGAAACTTTTTTTTTTCCGTTGTTGTTGGTGAGGCTGTCAACTAGTATTTTCTTGTTTAAGTTACGGTACCGTAGTAGCAATCGCCGTGCTTCACTTGCGCCAGAACGAACACAGTCGGCAGGAATGAAACAAAAGAAGGGAAGGAAAAATTTTTCATATTCCAGTATTGCTTTGTACAACTGATCCATGTTGTCGGTAAAAACTCGACAGACTGCGTTAAGTTGCTTTTCATATTTGCTCGACATAGATGAATGGTAATATCTTGGGCCAAGATTAATTCGAATAAAATGCTATCACGTGTGTGTTGATGCTTCCTGATATGCTTTTTTTTGGAATATTAGACTCTATACTGTAAGAAAATTGAAACTAGCTTAGACTAATAATTATATATTTCACTCTCATCTCATAAAAATCCAAATGCCTTATTTTAAAATTTTTTTTAAGGTTTGTGATTTCGTGGCTAAATCGCCGTATTCTGACGTCAAAAAGCCCCACTAAAAAAACGCGTTTCACGATGCATCAACAACATTCAGTATAAAAATTGCCGTTCACTAAAAACTGGCGGGGGCAGAGATCAATCTCGGTATATAAATAAATAATCTATCTAAATCTAAACTTCCCAATATCCTGGGAACAAAAAGTGCATCTTTTCCAACAACTCCTTTTTAACCCCATGTGGACTAGTACTAACGGCATACTTCATACTGCCTTGGATATCATCTCCGATGGTTGATCCTTTAGCGGCAAATTCATCAATTAACTTGGCAGCCAATTTACAAGCATTAGCAGAATTGGCCTTCAAGTTACCAACCACAGTTTCAACAGTAACTGGTTCTTCACTTTCATTCCAAGAATCATAATCAGTAGACATACAAATCATTTGATAGGCAATTTCTGCTTCACGAGCCAACTTGGCTTCTGGTAATACAGACATGTTGATAACTGATCCTCCCCAAGTTCTGTACAATTTAGATTCAGCCCTGGTGGAGAATTGAGGACCTTCCATACAAATAATGGTTAAATCTTCACCCTTGTTTGTGTTTTCTTTGGAATGTAAAACTGGGGATGGGTTTTCATCAAAAGCTTCTAAGAATCCTTCACTTGGAATAGCATCTCTGATCAATTGGTTCAATTTCAAATCAAATGGTTCTCCAAACATGGCATGAGCAACAAAACCTTTTTCAAAGAAAGTAGAAGGCCTGATACCTTTGGTTCTATCAATGATTTGAGTTGGTAAAACAAAATCTCTTGGTCTAATTTCTTGTTGTAAAGAACCAACAGCAGAAAAAGAAATGATGGCCTTAACACCCAATTTCTTCAAAGCGGCAATATTAGCCCTTGAAGGGACATCACTTGGTAATAAATCATGATGTTGACCATGACGAGCCAAAAATGCTACTGGGAATCCCAGGTCAGTCTTGGAGATAGTGATTGGACCTGATGGGAACCCCCATGGAGTAGAAATGGTCAATCTTGCAACAGGATGCAAATTTGGTAAATCGTATAAACCAGTACCTCCAATAACTGCTAAAGTGACTGGGCCATCATAATGATGAGGTAATTTGGCAAGATCAACTTTTTCTCTATGAACAGACATTCTAACTAGGTCTTTGAGTCTATAACGGGGGATATGTGATACACGAGGGTACTTGATTTTGGAAAAGGTTTAAAAACAAAAGAAGAAAAAAAAAACCACCAAATGTTGATATTTCTATTTGAGCCCACGAGTTCAATCTCATCAACAAACTGTGGCAGAAAAGGTTAAAAATTTCGGTGGAGATTTGACTCTGCATCCAACGAAAAAAAAAAAATTAAAAATATTGTAGGTCGTGTAAAAGGTGCTAATTATTCTGTTGTCCTTTATTGTTTGCCATTTGCTCAACAGTAGGAGAAAAAAAAAATAGACAAATGAAAAGAGAGACAACCATACAACACATATTAGCAAATTTAGTTATTATATATCATCGTCATTACCACCAGGAATATCATGTTGACAAGATTGACAGTATCGAAGAACTTACCATGTCTCGTGAGATGTTTATCAAGTAGTGCACACTTATGCCGCAGTATACCATTAGTATCTGGATCTAAAAAAGTACCTGAGAAACAAAAGAGCAAAACTACATCTGAGGAACGAAAAGTGTTTGCCCGTCCAAAGGTTGTATCTGGAGTTAAGAAAGAAGAAAACCCATCGATTTCTAAAAATGTATACCTTCCATTATCAGTAATGCCAAAACTACCAAAACATCTTGAGGCAGACGTGAAGCCAGTAGGAGTTAATTTTGAAATCCCCGATAATTTTATCAAAAAAGCCAAACCAACGGAACCAAAAACAACGAAAGAAACACGTGATTCTGTTGATAAAATCGATCATGCTATTAAACATCCTGATAATGATAAAGCATTAATGGGGATTGCCAATACCATCGCTCATTTTATTGATCCTGATCCAAATAAGATGTATCCATCTACAGAACATCCAATAAGAAAAACCTTCTCAGGTATGAGTAAAATAAACCCTGCATTAGATAAAATATCAGACGAATATTTATGGTCAATTTTACCAACACAGAGTATGTTTGGTGTCCCACCATATCAAAAGGATGATCCATTAGGCTTTGAAAAATGGGAACAAAAATTCATAGAAGAAGAAGAACAAAAACGTAAACAAGAGGAAACTGATGAGAAAGAATATGAACAATTTATGGCTGATTTGAATGCATCCGAATCATTTGTATCTTCCAAGGGTACTCGTAAAAAGGTAGATAGAAAGTTACTTAAAAAGTATAAAAAAATGAAGAAAGACGGTAAACTTCCTAATTTCAGTCCCAAGATTGTTATAACTATAGAAGATTGAGATTTCTTTTTTTATAATATGTTAAATGTATATAGTTGTTCCGGGTGTTAAAACAAGGAAAAGTAAAATGAATGATGAAGTTGTTTATTTATATATTTATTGTTTCTAATCTATTTAAAGATATAGCAAAATGAAATGAAATTAAATAATAATAAAAAAAATGAATGTTCATGATTAATAGCGTCTTGTAAGCAAAATTACTCTACAATGTTTAATTCAACATCGCCGTAACCAAATTTATCTTTATTCTCTTCATAGACTCTCTTCAATTCATCCACATATAGTTTATGATACTTGTCTAGTAATGCTGGTGGGATTTTGGTTTTAATTGATGATGTTTTAACCTTCTTTTCACCTGATTTAAACATATCAGTAATTGATCCACTCTTTTTCATTGGCACACTAGCTGATTCTTCTTCAGCAAATTCTTCAGGATGTTCTTGTTTGTATTCTTTTAATACATTGGGTGGAATATAAACTGGTCTACCAACACAAATGTTTATAGGATTTCTAAATGGTAATAATCCAAAATCATAAATAAATACCCCACGAGCACTAAATAATGGGATTGTGAAATGAAAAGTGGCCTTCATCCATTGTTGGAATTTATACAAAAATGATCCAGGAGCAGGTTGTGCCAAACGATAAACATCAGCTTCACCAAAGGCAAATATTGGAACCAAAGCAACATTACCCAATTCAATAGCTAACTTGACAAATCCTTTACGTTTATTCAATACAAGTTGAACTTCACGTTTTGACTTAGACTTGTCTAGTTTACTCTTTTCGTTTTCCTCTTCTTCTTCTTCTTCTTCAGATTCATCACCATGAATATCTAAACTTTCTTTATAACCATATCCAACTCTAGCATGTTTGGCAATCATGTTGTTAAGTAATGATTCTTGTGCACCCCCAACTACTAGACAAACTGAATTATCACCATTGTTAATCAAACTTCTTATATTTCTTGCTGATGCACTTGTTATTCCCAAAGACATTAAGTAATCACGGTAAAATGGAAGGGCAAACTGGTTTGTAAGAGTCAATGGGAAAATATTACCAATACCAGGAAATAATCTCTCACCCTTCGAACTATCATGGAAAAATGGCTTCAACCATTTCGAAATTGGAGTGTATGGTTCATTTCTTAATGCATTATTAGCAAATAATCCTACAACACCCATAGAAATGACACCATGAGGGTGGTATCCAAAAATATATCTGGGACCAATAGGAGCTTTTTTAAATATTTCCGGTTTCCCCAGAGCAGTATCATTCAAACGTTTCTTTAAACCAAAAAACTTAAAGATCTTATCAACTTTAGTTCTGCTGTGTTCAGACACCAAATCTTGTTCATCATCATCATCAGAACTGTCACTGCTATCATCTACTGGGATCTCACTAAATGTAGGTTCCAAATCAACCGTCTTGTGTACTTCAATAGGGAAATATTTCACAAACCAATCCCAAAGTATAAAATTCTTAAAAGAATTACGAACACGATAAGCAACTTTCCCATTAGATGGAGTATGTAAATCAAATCCATACCACCAGATGAAATAAGGGAAAATGATGAAGACCCATCCCAATATCCCCATAGAAACTGTCAACAAAAACAAGCAAATAAAGAATGGAATACTTACACAATGCCAAACAACTGCCAACGTTTCAAGTCTATGAGATAAAGGGGTATTTAATGGAGCAACATTTATAAATGGTCTCTTCTTCTTACCATTCCGTGGTGTTTTCTTTACTGTTGGTGGAGGTGGTGGTGTTGAAGAAGGTGTTTCTGTAGGTTGTTTTCTTTGCCTGAGTTCAGATTCAAAAGTACCAGTACTTTCTACTTCATCGACATTTGTCTCCAATTCTGTAGATGTAGGACTATCTTCCTTGTAATCCTGTGTCATTGATCAATGGTGTTATTGGTGGTGGTGGTGGTGGTGTGTGTCTATCTGTGTGTTTATGTGTGAACTAAAGGAAGAAAAAAAAAGGGGCACGCAAATTTGGCAATTGTAATGAAAAAACGGGAAAAAAAAAATTAAGATTAAACCGACTTTAATTACACTCCCCACTTTTCAAGTTGAACTAAACTTACTGTAAGTAGAAAGTAGTAGGAATGTTCCTAAGTTGTATGAATACCTGTAAATTTCAAGCACTTAGTTAAACAGAAAGAAATAGGGAGTGAACAGAAATTATCTTTCCTGACATATATATATGTGTGTGTTAGCCCACTACTTCCCAATAGATAGACAAGAAAGCCAATGAATTATTGTTCAATTAAGAATGAAACTTCCTTAAACTGGAAATTAACTCTATGACAATACGTAATTGTTACTTACCTAACAATATGTTATTGTTCCAAAAATTCTTTGTGGTGTATATTTTATTCACTACAAAAAAAAGAAGGTATAACAAAGTACAACCTAATAAACTAAAAAAAAAAAATAATAATAATAATTATGAACAAAGCTCAGTTAGTTGTGCCAATGTTATGCTTATCATCCTCGGTTAAATAATGTTAGCAAGCTCATTTCTTGTGTTTATCTGAACATCAATAAACTAGTTCTTAAGGTTTGTCATAAAAGACCATGGCTTTAAAGTCATTTGAGTGTATAATTGTTTAAAGTTTAATTTAACCAATCACGTGATTCGGCAGATAACTACCGACTCATTTAAAGATTTTCTCTTTATTGACTTTTTCACACGAACGTCTAAAAAAAAAAGATGTGAAAACAACCACCATGATATTGCCATACGAACCAAGAGAACATACAGGGAATTATGACCAGGACAAAAAAATTGAGTCCAGATGATGATATGGATATTGATAATGATTTTTCAGCTGACGTTGAGGATTCATCTCCTGAACCACAAAGTAATGACGATGATTTAAAAACACATTATTTTATCACTCCGAATACGAATAAAGATCCATCATTATTATATCGAGTTTATTGTAAACTAACAAATCAAAAATCAGGTGTCACGAAACATGGAACCCCATTTTTGAATTTATTTAGTGGGAAAGAATCATCTGCTGACACCCAACATCGTTTTGATTTATACAATCAAGTATGGCAGCATCAATTAGAGAAAATTCAATCTATTTTGAATAATGCAAACAATGATTTATTTCAAGATTTAGTCAAATTTATAAAACTTGGAACTTATGATAAGTTATCAGTAGGATATGTTCAATTGACGTCAAATACTGCTAATAACTTGAGAATTTTAGAAGAATTTTACGGTTCCCTTGAAAAGAGAAAAGATTTTGAATATAAATTGATAACCCTTAATTCAAAAAATTTCACATATAACATCAAGACTACATTAAGAGATATGGTTAAACAATTCAATGAATCATTTAATACACCTAGAGAAAATTTCCGACTCAATTATGACCTCGATACCATTGCTGATTGGTTTGATGCAGAAGAATCGAGAAATACTAAACTTGTACTTGTTCTAGAAGATACAAATTTAATTAATAACCAATTACTTAATCAATTACTCAAAGTTTTACAAGCATATGTCGGTCGAGTTCCAATTAAGATTTTGATGGCATTATCGTGTGATACCGTTGGTTCGTGGATAAATAGTAACGTGGCTAATGAATTAAGAATGTGTATTGAAGGGTACAAGTTTAAGAGTAATGATAATAAGAGTTTGGGTTATATTATATTAAACAATTTATTTTTAACTCCGGAATTGACTTCTGAGAATCCGTTGTTGATTAACAGTACCTTGAGTACAATTATTCTTAATCGATTTGAAAATTCAAATAATTCTGTTGATGCATTGATTGCAGAAATTAAATTGTGTTATATGATTTATTTCTACCAACTGCCATTGTCAATCCTTATAGAAAAAGATCCACCATCTGAGATTTACGTCGATGGGTTGAGAAAATTACCATCATTTAAGAAATATATTGAGGTGAAACTACATCAAGGCGATCCACAAGTTGCCGAGTTATTGCAACAAGATGATGCTGTTGCTAGACTATTTCAACAGGCTCGATCAAATTTCCGTAAGTTTAAGTTGATTGTGATGAATGCTATCAATATCATTTATCAATTGCATCCAAATAAACCAAAACAAAAATTTGAATTGTACAAGTTGTTGATTAATGGTAAACTTTTGAATTCCAAATATTTGTTTGAATGTATTAAAAATTTACCTAAACTTCCTCACGATATACTAGAAAGGGTGATTTTGGGATTGACAGAGAACTGTATAGAAGTTGAAGGAGATATCAAAGATGACCATCTAATCCGCCTTATCAAAGATTTGGGAACACTTGAAAACTTGCATGATATTAAAGAAGCTGTTCAGAATTATTTAGATAATCAATTATTGAGTCTGCCTCTTGATTATTTTGTTTTCCATGAAGTTTTCACTCTTGATGGTGGTACTATTAGTGAGAAACATGGTAAAGTACAATTAGAAGAGAATTATGATAATTTAATGAGTAATTTAATTCAAGCAGAATTGCGTGGGACTATAGAAAGAGGATTGAACCAAAGCGAGTCCTACCTTGCGAATGAATTGATAAACGTGAAATCAAAGTGTTTGCCACCAGTATTGTGCCATATTTTCAAATTGTACAAAGAAGCACCATCTAAAATCAATATACTGGATTTCTACCTTGCATTCAAAGCTACATTAGATGAACAAGAATATTGTCCACCAGGAGAAGATTGGAATAAAGTCACGTATGCTTGGTTTCTTCAGGCTGTTCAAGAATTAAATCATGTCGGGTTGTTACATCTCAAAACAGATGGTCTTGAAAAAACAATCTGGAAAGGAGTATAGAACTAATTGTTTATCAAAAATTAAATAAATTATTTATCCAATAACTTGAGAATCTTCATGTTGAATTTGTTCATCTTGTAAATTTTCCTTTTCTTTAGCTTCTTTCTGTTCTTTTGCTTCCTCTTGTTTATTAGCATCTAATTGGGCTAGTTTATCAGCATCAGCTTTAGCATCTTCTTTATTACTTTCATCAACTTTATAATTTGAACCTTTATAAAATTCAGAAATCTTATCACTTGCCGAATTAGAGGCGGTTTTCATTGATTCCATAACCAGATTATGATGTCCTGAAAATCCGGTAATTCCTAAAAGCATAAGAAATGCCGCTAAGATAGAAAGCATGATTATTCTTTGCGATCTAAACATTCTATTTGATATTTGAGTGGAATTAGCAATCATTATGAATAGTTGGGTAATTATATAAAGAAAGAAGTACATCTATAAAATGTTGAGCTTTTGTTCCCTTGCTGCATTATTTTATTTATATAGTGGTACAAAAGAACGTGTACTTTGACTAAAAATAATGTTATTTTTATATCCGAGCTATCCACCCGATCTACCGACTGCAAAAAAAAAGGGGGAGATCAACATCAACAACAACAACAACAACTACATGGATAGAACTGTGGATTAGCTTGGTGAATAATTATAATCACTCATCCATATTTCTCCTAATTTTCTATAATATTGTTTTTCTTTTTTAGAATATGAAATAACTAATCCTTTGTTTTGTTTGTTTTTACCATTTCCGATTGAACTATAAGCACACCAAGTATATCCTCCACAATATTGGTTCATATGTTGCCATGCTTTACGTGGTTCATTTTTATACTCTTCATTACAGAATATATTTTCTGGTGGAATGATTGCACTTTCTATCAATAATTTACTTTCCCAGAAAGATTTGAATTGATCTATGGTTCGTAAATGTGTAAATCTATCTTTTTTGTTAAATTCTTCTTCAAAATTTACTTTCTCTAATTGATTACAAAACTTGAATCCTGAATTAAACCATAATAATGTATGATTATCCTCATCATTTATATGTGCTGGATGATTAGAACATATTTCTTTAGATATCAATGACTCTGGAACAGTTTTCAATCCTTTGATTCTTTCTTGATATGGAGTTATTTGACCTATTGCTGCTGCGGGATGTTTATTAAATTCAAAATTTTCATCTCCTAAAATTGAAAGTGATAACCAAAACATTTCTTTATCTCCATAAATTCGATCGGTAATAGGATGGAAAAAATACATATTTGCCATTATTAAACTTTGTCCAAAATGTGACTTTCTATTAATTAATACTAATCCACTTTCCATTATATGACTTATTTTTTGAGAAAATAATGGCATATCCATGGTTTTATTTGAAATTTGTGGTAAATCAAATAGTTTTGAATCCATATTAGTATTCATCAATTTCAAAAACATTGTTATATCATGACCAGGACGATATTCAGCAGTGTTTCTATCTCTATAAAACAATGTACCTGATTTCTTGTATTTCTTCAACTTGAAAAATTTTGCTGGTTTTTGAGTTAAAACAGTATCAGCATCAAGTAGTATGATTTCTTGAAATGTGTTGAATAATACTGCAAGGATTTTATGCCCAAATTTATCAAACTTGTGTAAGTATTTTTCTTCTATTGCTGGTGTAACATTAACTAATGTGACGTTTTGATGGGGTTTCCCTTGAAAATCAGAAGTACTTGCTTGTCTTAGTTGATTCTTGGTTACATCTGACAACCCAGTATGAATGATCTGAATAGGTAATTTATTATCAAGATATCTCAACAAGTGAATTAGTCTAATACAATCGTCTAAGTGAGAATCAGAAATTGTTATCACTATTCCTTTACCGGATAATACATTCTTTTGAGTGTGTAAAAAACTATTAGAATCAGCTTCTAATGTTGTTATTTCACCAGTTAGTAACAGATCATAGTAAGGAAATTTTTGTGTTAACCAAGGGAATATTTTTGTTTCTAAAGCTTTAACATTGGCACTATGACGTCTTGGTTTGAAATGCTGAACTTTCCCATTCAAATTTATACCTGATAGTAGTTGTTTTTGTTCTTCAATAAAACCATTATTTCCATCAATATAACATTTGTTGAAAATTTTGACGTGCAAGAAATAATCATGTAATAATTGTTCATCAGCCTCGTTTTTCATCTTGGCAATCTCATATTTGACCCTGATCCTATCTTCCAATTCATTTCCTTCAAAATCATAGAATTCATCATCCAACTCTTCTTTTAACTTATTAAGAGAATCTCGACGGTATTCATCCCAATCTAGATAATTAAACTTGTCGTATTTGAAATCGTATTCTGGATCAACAATAATACCATTTTTCGTATCAACATTTGAGAAATACAAGTCGCATCGTTCCTGTAAACTGTAGTCTTTCATAATGTGGAACAACTCTGCTTGAATATTATCAATATCCTGAAATATCTTGAGATATGTAGTTGATTCGGATTCATTAATATTTGTTTCAAATTTGGGATAATGGGAATCAAGGAGATTGGAGATTTCATTTTGGATTTCTAAAGGTATCACATTTCTTGAAAGATAAAAATTGAATTCTGAATATTTCCATATCACAAGTATACAAAATGATGTCCACAGAAGTAAGCACAAGATCATCCATCTTTTCAGTTGATACAAAGTTCTACGTTTTGAAAATAGCATAGTTAGGTATTGAAGTCAAAAAAGAAAATTAATTGGTTAACAAACTAAAAAGAGAACAGTGATTCCTTTTATAGAATAAATCGGTCTTAAAATCTACTCGGATGAACTTAACGAAATGAGAAAGAAAACTCAAAAAGCTTTTAAATTAACTAATGCAGTAAGGTGTGGTATTGTGGTATCGTTATACTTTAAATGTTATTCTTAGGCTATACAGAACCTACAAACTCTTGAAATCCTGCGCCCTTTAAAGTTTAAAAATATATTCCAAACCTTATCCATCTCAACCAAAAAAAATGAATAGCTCCTGCAAATGCGATGCGAATTACATAACCATGGGCAGTACATCGGATTGGAATATCCTTGGGGGGACTCTATAATTGGTGCGTCCAGTAGCAATAATTGTCGAATAAGCCACATACCACGCGATGTGTTTCACTATTGTGCTGGATGTATACAAAAAGATAAACTAAATATAGATTGCGGCCGTATCTGTGCGATATCTCGTATATGTAATTATTTTTGTTTTTGCAGTTTTGGGATTTGTCGAGTATGAAATGGCCAAATAATTCTCACACGTGCTTACTAACACGAGATTTGGTTATCTTTGATTAAAGTACACGACAACTGTAAACCAAAATTTATGAATATTAGAGTTGCGTTCTATCACAATGTAAGGGCCAAACCTGTGCTACAATGCAATGATAACAATAAAAAGCAGGTTATTGTTCGTGCAAGTATTGTTTTTCTTTTTTTTTTCAGTATTTTTGTATATTATGTCCCGCTATTATACAATTGGTTTTTAAATTTGTGTGTGTGTAGATATGTCTCCCGCTTAACATGTCGACCCTAAACTTCCTTATTTCTTATTACGTTTAAACATCTTTGAAAAATCTGGAATTGGGATTTCTTTAGGTACCCAATAACTGTTTTGAGGATTAGACATACCTGCGAAAGCTTCAAACCATCCTGAGAAAGCATTAATAACACCAACAATACCACCAGCTTGTTTAACTTTATCACTATCAAGTAAAAATCCAGCAGCAAGTAAAATAATTGTTAAATCTAAAGTACCTAAAGCCCAAGCAAATGATACAGTAGATTTCAAAGTACAAATAAATAACATGGTTGTAAAAATAGCCCAACCAACAGACATTAAACCAATAGCCTGATTTAATTCTGCAGGATTTTCAGCATAAGCTTCTTGAATACCAAACGCTGGAATGAAAATAGCTGAAAAACTTAACCAAAATGCACCATAAGAAGTGAAAACAGTAAGAATAAAAGTACCTACTTGAGAACCAATTAAAAAGCCCCAAACACCTGCTAAAAATTGAACTAAACCACCCATGAAAACAAATAATCCAACAGCAACATTTGGAATCTTAATACCTTTAACACCTGCAAAATAAAATCCTAAAACTAAAATGTTCATACTGGTTGCAATTAAACCTATTGGAGCAGGGTTACCAAAATCATGTTTTGGATAAGGAGAAAGACCAGGATTTAAAGTACCACCAAATGCTTGCATTAATTCATGACGATAATATTTGTGATCTCCAATAATCACAAATTCACCTCCATCACCAGCAATACTACATGATTTATGAATAGCAGTTGGAGCTGTTGTTTCATCTTTTCCGACATACTCAATATGATCACCAATGGAAATTGGTTTATCAGATGATATCGATTCAGTTGTAGACATTCTTGGTTGCATATGCTTCGTTATTATTGGTAATCAAGACAACTCAAAAATAAAAAAAAATAAAAATTTGAATTGGAATATTTTGTGTTTATATAGTGTTGGACTTGAGGGTACTGTTTGAGGGTAAAATTATATTGGGTTTATAATAGTGGAAATACATGAAACATTATCCCGGGTTTTGTATGGTTTTGTGTCAGTCTCGTGCATATTCCCGTCTCGTAAATTGATGAAAATCCGGTTTTTGTTTCTCTGGGGTACATTTGTATGTTATAAGCAATGAAAAAAAGGGGGAAGAACAAGCTTAAATTAGTATGTCCACACTCCACTTTAAACTGAGGGGAGGAAGTGGGCTTCGATTACGGAATTTCCTTTTTTGTACATTATCCTATATAAATATTCGAACGTTTCCTAACAATTATATTTGATTGATTTCGGAAATACAAAAAGTACTCAAAGTGTTGGGTGGTTCTCCACTTCATGAAAAATACATCTGCAAGGGATTACTTCACGTTAATTCTTATATACGTTTCCTTATCGCATTGAAAACTTGATAGGTCCTGTATTGATAAGACGTCAGAAGAGACATGCCCCGGGGAATGGATATGGAAATACTGAAAAATATTTCAGAAATAGTTGGGGAAACGATAGGCTTCTGGAGTATTTCCTATGTGGTGAGAGATATCTACCATACAATATAAGTGGCTGAATAGTTTGGGTTATGATATGATATTCCCCTCAAACAATAAGGCGGTAACACGTTATGAATATATCCTCGTTTCTATTGGTCAGTAGGATATCATAACAAGACCGCGGCTAGTGTAGCTGATATAGCAAGTATTCGAGAGTCCTAGTAATCAAATCTATAAACAACCGTATGGTATCGGAAATTTGGTAAACTTCAACGAAAAAAAAAAATCACTACACAAACATTTACTGTAGGAAATTTACAGAATTTCCACAAAAAAAAAAAAACCCCAAACAAACAAGTATCTTGTTGGTGAGCCAAGATGCAAAAATTATATTAGAGTTAATATCGATCTCTTATTGTCTTTATGGTTGCAAAAATTTTTAATCAATAGAATATGAAGTTCCTAAACGTGACATTTTTGTCGTATGTATTACAGCCGATAAACGGTCCGCCACCGGCATTAATTCAAGTCACCTGGTGGTGCGACAATAACCGAAATTTCATAGCCATAGAATCCGCCAGCCTTAAAACCAACGTAGAAAACAACAGTTTCATTGAGTCATTTTCACTGTGATTTGCCATTCCTTGAAAATGACCGGTTCCGGGTGAATATTAATAAGAATATTCATCATTATATTATGTTATAAATACCGTTGTCATTGACATGAACTGACTATCTTGAATAACCGAGATTCACCTATTTTTCTTTTTCTCTCTCTCGTTCTTTCTTCCGTCTTAACTCCAAGTTTTATCAAATTTTTCATTTTTTTCGCTCTTATTGACTCATTACAAAGGAGGGAAGAAGAAGAAAAAAAAAAAAGGATTCATAAACCACAGTTATTTCCTAGAATTTTTATAAAAAAGAATTTAATTTAATTTATTTTATTTCATATAATCAATTATTTAATCATTCAATCATGTCTGCCCCATTAGATGCTAGTAAATTGGAAATTACCAAAACTACAACTCCAAAAGAATTATTACCAAAAGAACAATTAGTCTTTGGTAAAACTTTCACTGATCATATTTTAGAAGTTGAATGGACTAAAGAAGAAGGTTGGGGTACTCCAACCATTAAACCATATCACAATTTTTCCCTTGATCCAGCTACTGCTGTTTTACATTATTCATTTGAATTATTTGAAGGGTTAAAAGCTTACCGTGATAGTGATGGAAAAATTAGAACTTTTAGACCAGATAAAAATATGGCAAGAATGAATAGATCAGCTAAAAGAGCTGCTTTACCAACTTTTGATGGTGAAGAATTTATGAAATTGGTTGATAAATTTTTACTTCTTGAAGAAAGATTTGTTCCTACTGGTTATGGTTATTCTCTTTATTTGAGACCAACTTTAATTGGTACTTCAATTGGTTTGGGTGTTAGTGCTCCAACTAAAGCTTTATTATATCTTATTGCTTCTCCAGTTGGTCCATATTTCAGTGCTGGTTTCAAACCAGTTTCTTTAGAAGCCACCAATTATGCTGTCAGAGCATGGCCAAAGGGTGTTGGTGCTTATAAATTGGGTGCCAACTATGTCTCCTGTATTGAACCACAAATGGAAGCTGCTAAAAGAGGTCATTCCCAAAACTTGTGGTTATTTGGTGATGAAGGTTATATCACTGAAGTTGGTGCCATGAATGTTTTCTTTGCATTTAAGAATGCTGATGGTAGTAAAGAATTGGTTACTCCACCATTGGATGGTATGATTTTACCTGGTGTTACACGTGATTCTACTTTAGAATTGACTAGAACCAAATTATCTGATGAATGGACTGTTAGTGAAAGAAAATTGACCATGAATGAAGTTAAAGAAAGAGCCCACAAAGGTGAATTAATAGAAGCTTTCGGTACTGGTACCGCTGCTATTGTTTCCCCAATTGATAACATTGAATTTGAAGGTGAACATATTAAAGTTCCAGTTGATGCTGGTGCTTCTGGTGAACTTGCATTGAAGATCAATAACTGGATTCAAGACATTCAATATGGTAAAGAATCTTTCAAAGACTGGTCCAGAGTTGCCAACTAGACTAACTAGGAGGGATTTTAATAGAAATAGCTGTACTGAAAAATCAACCGATAGTTTTCATTAACCGTATATATATATAAATATAAAAGCATTTTTGTGGAATCTCTCTCTCTTCTTGTTCTTCTCCACAATTTGATTTGCGGCCAAAAACCAAATTCGTATTAGATTATTTGACATTCTAGAGCAAATGACATCAGGATTGTAAAATGCCTTAAATACGGATGTTTATAACCAATGGTTTGCTGATCTCTCCACTGAAATGTCAGACATTAAAGTTTATGGCACAAGTAAAAACTTTGTGGGGTAGCGGATTACTAAAATGTTTACGGCGTTTTTCTCTCTCTCTCTTTTTTTTTTTCATTTACATTTTCAGCCATTGATTATGGCAAAACCGGTTACAAATAGCCGTATTCTGTTCACTCTAATTATTTTTTCATTTTGCACCTGACCTTCCCTCTTACTCTACAGCGCCAAACCTGTAAAAGAAATGCCCTAGCTTAATGGACGTAAGGAACTATGGAAAGATAAGTGGAGATTAGTAAAAGGCGAAATGAGGCAATTTTGTTTCAACATTAGCAAACATATTGGTGCTTGACTGAGAAATAGACAAATGAAAATCAATGACTAGTTTTAATATTAATATTATTCACAATTATAATCATTATTATAAATCATATTGAAAATAGGAAAAAAAAAGAAAGGATAAAAGAAAAGAAATAGAAAAAGAAACAGAAAATATACATTGATTGTTCCTTCGGGCAATTTTCCGAAGATAAGCTGGATTTTCAACGTTCAGATGGATTGTTTCCTTTGGCGACTATCCCACTAGCGATAGATCATAGTAGACCATAAAGAGTAGATGACGCGATGATTGTTCAATAAAGATCACTTACGATGGTATGCACGGCATTCGACTGACCTTGATATGTTCTTTTTTTTTTATAAAGGATAAGCGTATCATTAATTAACAGATAAGATAAAGCAGGTTAGGAACACAAAATACAAATTGCTCTCATTCAACTTTAAAAAAAGGAATCGCTTTTCCAACGAGCAAACGCGCGCGCGTGTGTGTGTGCAGGCGGGGGCCAACGCCCGTGCTCGTACCAATCAGGCCGCACCACCACAATTATCAATTTCTTTTTCAGTATTCAATCAACGAAGAGATTAATCTAATTGTTCAGGTTTCTTTTTCTTGTAAATGAATGTGAACCTAATGAACTGTCATACCCATTTTTTTCTTAGCCTTATTGATGTCCCGACTTATCTATGGAAAAATAGGCAAAAAAAAGAAAAGGTGCTTTGTAAATTTCTTCCGTCCAATTAAACTCATCATGTAAAGACAAAGTCGAAAGTATTATCAAAGCAGATTAGAATATCGTTTATTTGGTCACTTGTAATAATTTATTATTATTATTATTATTATTATTTTTTTTTTACAATATCGTGTCCCAAATTGAAACGAATTTCAAATGATGATTGTCGGCAATTTAGTTCGTAGATAATTCACCAACTTTGTAGATCATTGGAGGGTTAAAGACAAAACAAGAACAACAACAGAAAAAGCCTCACCATATTTCCAACCCCGTTATCATATATTCCTGTAGAGGTAGTTAAAATGCAATTATTATACTTGTCGATTATCCCTCTTTGTAACCCGACACTAGAAGGAGTAGATATCAAACAATCAGCTTCATTTTTGATTCATTAGTTCATTTACATAATGGGACTACAGAAAATCCTTTACGGCGTTTTGCAATTTTTCTTTGTTTTCGATTAGAAAGAGAGACAGAGAAATAAAAAAAGGCTGAAGTTACACAAAACCGTTGCCTCGATAAAGGAAAAAATTTCTCTTTCTTTTTTTAATTTTGTTGCTGCACTTGATAAGGAACGCTTTACATGCACCACCACCAACCACTCACTCACCCATCCACCAATTAACAGTTTATACAGTGGGTTGAAGAGAATATACAGGAATTTTTGGGGCACAATTTTCGATTTCATTTCTTTTTTGACCATTAATTATTATTTTATCTCTTTGTCTTTGGCATTCATTGTATCAAATTATATATAAACACCCTTAAAGTACCTTCTCCCTCCTTCTTTTATTTTTGCAATTTTTATTTTATTTTTTGTTTGCTCTTTCTTTATATTCTACATTAATTCTTTTTCTTTCTACTTTGTTTTTAATAATAAAGACTAACATACAACAAGCTAATAGAGAAAGTCTTATTAACATATAATCATAGTCAAAATGCCTGAAAAAGAATTAGATTATATTAGATCCACAGAAGCTGCTGGATCTACTGAAAAAGACGGTGGTGTCTACATTGATGCCTTTGATAAACAAGATTCAGAACCACAAAAGAAAGGTTTTGCTAAATTCATTGATGGTTTCAAAAAAGCCGATGCTGAAGAATTGGGTATTGATCCAAACTTATCTGAAGCTGAAAAAATCGCCATCATGACTGCAAATTCCCCATTATCTAGATCACTTAAAAATCGTCATTTACAAATGATTGCTATTGGTGGTTCTATTGGTACTGGTTTGTTTGTTGGTAGTGGTTCTGCTTTACGTACTGGTGGTCCAGCTGGTCTTTTAATTGCATATATCTTGATTGGTACTATGATTTTCTGTACTGTTATGTCCTTGGGTGAATTGGCTGTTACTTTCCCTGTTTCTGGTGCTTTCGTTACTTATAACTCTCGTTTTGTTGATCCAAGTTGGGGTTTTGCCATGGCTTGGAATTATGCTATGCAATGGTTGGTTGTTTTGCCTTTGGAATTAGTTGCTGCTTCGATTACCATTAAATATTGGGATGCAGATACAAATCCGGCGGCCTATGTGGTTATTTTCTATGTGTTTATTGTTTTCATTAACTTTTTTGGTGTTCGTGGTTATGGTGAAGCAGAATTCATCTTTAGTGCCATTAAAGTTGTTGCTGTCTTGGGTTTCATCATCTTGGGTATTGTTTTATGTGCCGGTGGTGGTCCAAAAGGTGGTTACATTGGTGGTAAGAATTGGCATATTGAAGGTGCTCCTTTCCCTAATGGGGCTAAGGGTGTCATGACTGTTTTTGTCAATGCTGCTTTCGCTTTCGCTGGTACTGAATTGTGTGGTTTGGCTGCTGCTGAAACTAAAAACCCAAGAAAAGCTTTACCAAGAGCCTGTAAACAAGTCTTCTGGAGAATTACTTTGTTCTACGTTATCTGTTTGACTTTGATTGGTTTATTGGTTCCATACAACGATGACAGATTGTTCAGTTCTTCTTCTGTTGATGCTGCTGCTTCTCCATTCGTTATTGCCATTAAGAATGCCGGTATCAGTGGTTTACCATCTGTTATGAATGTCGTTATTATGGTTGCCGTCTTGTCTGTTGGTAACTCTTCTGTCTTTGGTTCTTCTAGAACTTTGGCTGCTTTGGCTGCTTCTAACCAAGCTCCAAAGATTTTCGGTTACATTGATAAACAAGGTAGACCATTAATGGGTATTATTTTCCAATTGCTTATTGGTTTATTGTGTTTCTTGGCTGCTTCTCCAAAAGAAGGTGATGTTTTCAACTGGTTGTTGGCTTTGTCTGGTTTGTCTTCTATTTTCACCTGGGGTTCAATTAACCTTTGTTTGATTAGATTCAGAAGAGCTTTATATGCCCAAGGTAGAGACACCAGTGAATTGGCTTTCACTTCAGTTGTTGGTGCCTGGGGTGCCGGTTGGGGTTTACTTTTGAACATGGTTGTTGTTTGCTTGCAATTCTGGGTTGCTGTTTGGCCATTGGGTGAAACTCCAAGTGCTGAAGCTTTCTTCAGTGCTTATTTGTCTGTTCCATTTATTCTTGCTTGTTATATTGGTCATAAACTTTGGACCAGAAACTGGAAATTGTTCATTCGTGCTAAAGACATTGATATTGACACTGGTAGAAGAGAATTGGATTTGGATTTGGTCAAACAAGAAGTTGCCGAAGAAAAAGCTTACTATGCTTCCTTACCAATTTACAGAAGAGTATGGCACATGTGGTGTTAAACATGTATCTCCTCCGTTTCAGTTCTTGTTAGTTTATAGTTTTTAAATTTTAGATTCAGAAAAAGATCAAAAAAACGAACAAACAATCTAAAAAAAATTTTAAGAAAAGGTGATTTTTTTCTATATATCCTTTCTTTTATTTTAATAATGTACTAGTTTTATTGTATTAGAAGTTCTCATATTGTAAGAATTTTGTAGAGTATTGTCAATTTGTTATCGCCGCAACTACGACGATCTTTACACACGTGAAAAACTAAAAAAAAAATTATTCACAATCAATTTTCTCCCCCGATGAGGTTATCTCTTCTACAACAACAACCTACCAAACAAACCGTTTAACAATGAAGATAAAAACCATTAGTAGATCATCAGATACATATGTTCCAGTTAAGAACACTCAAGAATCAGCTCTTCCACGTAACTTAAACCCAGCATTACATCCATTTGAACGTGCAAGAGAATATACTAGAGCATTACAAGCAACTAAACTTGAACGTATATTTGCTCAACCATTTGTTGGTCAATTAGGTGATGGACATCGTGATGGAGTTTATGGATTATCTAAGAATTATAATACTACTAATCAAGTAGCAAGTAGTTCAGGTGATGGTATAATCAAATATTGGAATTTAACTGATCGTTTAGAAACCGCTAGTTTTAAAGCCCATTATGGTATGGTTAGTGGGATTTGTATACATAATAATCAAATGTTTAGTTGTGGTGATGATAAAACCGTTAAAGTTTGGTCAGTGAACACCGATGATTTTGACCACAAGATCAACGATGATGAAGTTTACACTAATAAAGGATCTCGAACAACTGGTGGTAGTAGTAAGACAAGTGGTGGGTTGATTAAAACATTTATTGGTGAACATTCATTCAAAGGTATTGATCATCATCGTGAGGATGATTTATTTGTCACTGGTGGTGCAGCAATCCAATTATGGGATATTAACCGTTCTAAATATATCTCCAATTTAAGTTGGGGATGTGATAATATCAATACTGTTAAATTCAATCAAAGTGAAACTAATATAATAGCAAGTACAGGTTCGGATAATTCCATTGTATTATATGATATCAGAACAAACACACCAGTTCATAAAGCCGTGACAAGTTTAAGAAACAATGCCTTGTGTTTCAACCCTATGGAACCTTTCAACTTTGCATCTGCTTGTGATGATACTAATGCATATAGTTGGGATATGAGAAAGATGGAAAAACCAAAGAAAACATACAAGGGGCATGTTGCACCGGTTATGTCAGTGGATTATTCCCCAACAGGTCAAGAATTAGTCACAGGAAGTTGGGATAAAACTATTAGAATTTTCCCGGCATTGAATGGAAGATCTCGTGATGTTTATCATACCAAGAGAATGCAAAGAGTATCAGCTGTGATGTTTACAACTGATAGTAAGTACATATTGTCTGGTTCCGAAGATACAAGTATACGTGTGTGGAGAGCTAGATCAGATCAAAGAAGTGCAGTTAAATCAGCTAGAGAAAGAGCTAAGTTGGAATATGATGATAAATTGAAAGAAAGATATCAATACATGCCTGAAATTAGAAGAATTGCTAATCATAGACATTTACCTAAAGTGGTTAAGAAAGCTGAAGAAATTAGAAGAAATAGTTCAAAGAAGTAGGTGTTGTATTATTAGTGTATATATATATATTATAAGTGAAAACTATTAAATCGTTTGTTGGCTGAATAGAGGACATAAACTAGACATATATCACATAATAGACATAGCCCAGCAATTACAGTATAAGTGGCACCAAGTCCCATTGAGCTAATCATCTTGTCGAGTACTCCTGTAAACAATGCAGCCAATAAACATCTCATTAAATTGAGACAACTAGCGGATCCACTACCATTATTGGGATATAAATCCACCAACATTGTAGTACATATAGCAACCAATACTGATGCGGAAAATGATACCAAAATTGTAGATATTATTATGGAGATGATATGACGTTTGAATTGTATACACCAACCAAAAATAACCAATCCTATAATCATCAATGTTGCTGGAACAATGGTTAAAGTAAGTCTTGTTGAAACGATATTAAATGGAGGATGTTCATTAATGGATAATTTTTCCACATGTTCATCATATAATCTTTTCCTGTATCGGTAATACCAATTCAATGATTTCCCCACAAGTAATGATCCTATAAAACATGCAATTCCTTGTGGTAGATATATCAAACCCACATGCATTACTTTATAATTATACTTATCTGACTCCAATTCTGTAGATAAAGATGTAAGAACTACAGTCCAGGCAGCAAAATGTATACCCAGGGGTAGTAATGTACAAAATACATCAACTTGGAAAAATATTCTTAATGGACCAAATAAATCAAACTTTGTCATGGGTGCTAATGTAGATGTATCGTTAGTTAATTTTGATTTCAATCTTGGTAGATAAATTAATGCTGATTTGCTTAATATATTCTTGGGGATTATAGAACCATTCCCAACTATTCTACGGGAAGTTTCAGGTAGCACGAAAATGGCAGTTATAAAAGTGATACCACCTCCAATTGTTAAAAATATGAATATAGATCTCCAAGTATTAAATCCAGTGATTAATGCTGCACCTACTAATCCACCAATACCGTTTCCAACTAATTGTAAACCAGAAACGGCACCTACCATCCCACCACGGGTGGCCCTAGTGCACACATCACCGGCGACTCCAGAACTAATCGATATCACGGGAGCAATTCCGGCTGCTTGAATACAACGTAATAATGCTAATAACCAGTATACATTGGTTTGAGAAAGAGCTATACAAGAAGCACAAAATATAATTAAACTTGCTAGTATAACAGGTCTACGACCAAATGTATCTGCTAAATTTGAAGAAACAGTAGGTGCAATGCCTTGAAATACTAAATATGCTACCACTGAGATATTCATTACTGATGATGTTGTATGGAAATATTCAGTTAAAGTAGGTAATGCTGGAAAATAAATAGGACTTGAAATAGTACTCCAGAATCCAACTGAAGAAAGGATTAATATAAGTATTAGTCTATCTTTAGAATCAAATATCGAGTATGGTGGTGGTGCCTCATGTTGTGATTCAGTTTGAATAGCTTCCAATTCCTTGGGAAGCTCCTTTGTAGTCATTTATAAGCTATAGGAGTTTGACCATATGTAACTGAGATCCAAGAAATATGTTTAAGGATCAAATAGCAAGAGAAAATGATGGGTTTATCTTTGGATGGTCTTTTTTTTTGTTTTATTATTGGTAAAATATAATGAGAGCGGAGTTATGTGACAAGCTGCATAAAACAAAGACGTTGAGGCATCAAGAAAAAATAAAAAAAAATAAGAAAAAAAGAAATTTAAAATGAGAAACGGAGAAAATAAAACTCAGATTGATTGATAATTAAAAAGTTGCACATAATGTAACAATCCTACTCCGAAACAGGTACAACACAATGTTGGGTTCCTTCATCATCAAGAATGTACCCCGGGAAGGTGATCTGTTAATTATATGTGGGGGGGGGGAAACAAGATGGGGATGGATAATAATTTGTTATTATAACTTCGTTGCTCATTTTATTGAGCAATTAAAGTCATGGAACGGAATTATCAATTTATTGTGTGCGGAATTGCCTTGTTATTCTCCGACATTTAGAGAGCGCCGCAATTAACAACCACACACATGGCTACAATTGTTTGAATAAAACCTTCAGATGGTTAGTAAACATCCCCAGTGATTTTGACCTTTCCAAGCAGCATGGTGTAGCCATGGTGAAATTTATTTCCAGATTAGGAAATTATAATCGGGATTATCTGTTTTTTTTTTTTTCAATCCATGTGAAGAAAGCATGATCAGAGATAAAGGTACAGAATGTGGCTTATCGAAAATCAGTAAGACCCAGAAGTGAATATGGCTCAAAGGAAGTTTCCTATTTATGTAGTTGCAATTTTAGATGGAAGAAAGTACAAGGAAAATGAATCGGTTACGGTGTACCGTTGTTTCTGCAAACAAGTAAATTAGTGCCAATGTGTCAAAAGAAGTGTACTCTCATGACATAAAGATCTAAATCTTGTCAAATTGATTATGAGTTTATGACAAGTAGCGTGTGATTGTTTTATCGTGATACACCACTAACCAATTGTTTATACTCGCTATGGCTATATTTGTTGTATTCAGAAGTGCTATACTTACTCCAAATATAATGTGATTATCTACGAATATTATGAATATCAATGACTCTCTATTTTAGACTTTGAATATTGCAGGAACGTTTGAGTTAAATCAATTCATTATATAATCACCCGGAAGGAGAAACCAAATAAAAATAATAACCCACAAACAAGCCACCATAAACTTAATTGTAATAATAATACTAATAATAATAATTATTATACAACGATAGATCAGAAGTAAATCCCATACTACTCACCATCTTCTAACCTTTTTATATGATTGGGATGATTGGGACAAGAACTCAACTCTGATTGGCTGCAACAATTCACCATGGATCTTTTTTTTTTGTTTGAATGCGGTTATCCTCTCGTTCGGCTATTAAATTCACACGACCGTAAATGAAAGAAAATTCGGCGTATCTAAGTCGAAGACTCATATTTTTTTTCCACGGGTCATTGGCGGGGGAGATGAAAATTAAATAAGAGGAACAGCCACGGGAACATAAAAAACTATAGCAACCATAATTTCAATACCACGCAATAAGGTTCTACACTGTTTGTTTCTCTGTCCATCTGTTGCGTACATACGCCCTGAGTAGGTCAAGTATTACACAGGGATTATCGGTCAACCATAAATATCATTTTATTTGGCCGGCTATGATCCGAAATCAACAGATGGTTCAGATTTTTTTTTTTTTTCTTTTACAATCTTGTCGCCTAGCTGGAGAGTGTCTCATGACGACACACACTGTCTTTCACAAGGGGGGAATTTATTTCTTTTCTAGTTGGGTCTAAAAATTGTGAAGAATGTTCTCGTACACATACGGTGGAAGTCGCACCAGTCGTCATTCTTACTCTTATTCTTGTTCTTCCTTCCTTCCTTCCTTCGGTGTCAGCAACACCTGTTTCACTGGTTATGTAATTTCTTGCATACAAAATGAGAGTAAGAATGTGAGACAGAGAAATTTCTGCCCAATTAAATTACATACAAAGATACCTGGCGTTCTTTTTTTTCTGTCTCACACTCAGACTCTCACACGCTGCCTCTCCGCCTACTGGTGCGCTGTCTCTATTTGTATATATATATATATATGGTGTGCTTATATTTGGTATTCTTTATCTTTAAATTGTTTTGACTTTTTACAATTCCTATCGCCCCCCAAAAAAAAGGATAGTATCAAAATAACCAAATACTAGGGAATAATATCGAATACTTAATCTATCAGATTTGAATTTTTTATTTTTTCCTTTTCTCCCAGTAATACACTTATATTTTTTTTGTTTTTCGTTGCTTTTAAATATAAAACAGAAACAGCCAAATTAAAAAAAAAAAGAAAATTTACCACCCTTTTATTTTTGACAACCAAGATTACCTTTCCAATCAGGTTTCATTTCATCACAATCATCTTCTTTTCAGAGTATTGATTCTGATACTGTTCTATTTGATCATTATAAATTGGATCATTTCAAGTCACTTGTTCACCAGAAGAAAGTTATATTTGTCTTTGTGTGATTCTAGTATTTTTTTTTTGTATTGAATAACCGAAATAATCAGTTGTTCTTCGTTCAACAGAAAACATCTCCAGATTTATATAGCAACTGAAAAGAACCCATTGATTGGTAATTGAATTCAAATTTGGTTTTTTTTAAAACACATTTATCAGTTGGATTATTTATTATTTTCGTTGTTGCAACATTTTGAAAGTATTCATCTACATTATTTTGGTTTGATAGATTCCATCCAGTTAACAGACTTCCGAATTTCCGTTTTTTCTTTTTTGTTTCTAGTCTTTTTATTGGTTAACTCACTCCCTTGTATATAAATATCCACAACAGAACATAACAACAATGCCAGATAAACATAAATTAAAGTTGTTTGGTAAACACAAGCACGATAAAGAAGATGAACTAGATTCATCCAACCAAGCTCATAATCGAAAATTCTTGGGTTTCCATATAGGTAAACATGAATCCTGTGATTCTTTGACTTCCCCTACAATGACTAATTCATCTGATCACCACCACCACAATCAATCCCATAGTGTTCAACATAGTCGTAATCCATCCCCAAGTCAGGCTCACACCACGACTTCCATGTCGATACAGTCACCTCAACCACATGGTCATAATGCATTAAACAAACAAGATTCAGACCTGTCTCTTAAAAAGCCGGCTGGATCAATGGCAGATTTAAAGAAGTTCTTTAAAACGAAGAAAACATCAAACCCAAGAAAAGATGGTCATAATATTTTAGGTTTATACAGTAACCAATTGCATTCTCCTCCTCCAATGGCACATAGTAATTCTGGTGGAGCAAGTAGCAACGTTAGTGGCTTACACTCTCGAGATCAGTCATCAACATCTTTGGCTAATTTGATCAATCAAACTTCCAGTCAGTTGTTATATAATGCATCACATTCAACCAATAACAATCGAGATCCGTTTACTGACGACAACTCCCCATGGGTTAAGAAGTATGGTAAAGTTGGTAAAGAATTAGGTAGCGGTGCAGGTGGATCTGTCAAGTTGGTTACTAGACCAAGTGATTCTAAAACTTTTGCCGTTAAAGAGTTTAGACCAAAGAGATCATCTGAATCTTTGAAAGACTACACCAGAAAATGTACTGCTGAATACTGCATTGGGTCAACTTTAGTACATCCAAATATTATCAAGACCATGGATATTATCCATGAAAACAACCGTTATTTTGAAGTTATGGAGTATGCTCCAATTGATTTCTTTGCTGTTGTTATGAGTGGAGAAATGTCGCGTACGGAGATAAACTGTTGTTTTAAACAAATCATTGAGGGTGTAACATATTTGCATACTTTAGGTTTGGCTCATCGTGATTTGAAATTGGATAACTGTGTTATCACCAAGGAAGGTATTTTGAAGATTATCGATTTTGGAAGTGCGGTCATTTTCAAATATCCATATGAACAAACTGGTAATTCTAAAGATGTTATTCATCTATGTCATGGTATTGTTGGTTCAGATCCTTATTTGGCTCCTGAAGTGTTGAAATCACCAAATAGTTACAATCCACAACCAGTTGATATTTGGTCTATTGCCATAATATACTGTTGTATGACGTTGAAGAGATTCCCTTGGAAAATTCCAAACGCAGAAAAGGATAACAGTTTCAAACTTTATTGTATGTTTGATGATAATTTCCATGATTATTATTTGAGTAATGAATGTCATAAGTTATTGTTACAGCAACGTAAATTGAAGAATACCATTGTCAGACTGAACAAGAGAAAGAAGCAACTAGAGGAAGAAAGTGAACTTGAAGCTGAACATAATGATGATAATAATAATAATAATAGTAATACTATGGATGGTGAACAGCAAGATGAAGAAATGAAAGATGCTGAACAAACTCAAACTCCAACTCCTAACGCAACACCTGCTCCTGAACCAGGTTCTACAAAGGACAATAAATCCAACGAGGCAGTTCCAGTATTGACAGACGAACAAGCTGAAGAAATAATGGCTCAATTACATGAAATTGATTTGAAATTAGAAGAGTTTGAAAACAAAAAGAATGAGTTAAAGAAACAGTATGAAGAAGCCCGTGATAGTGATCCAAACTACCAAAAACAATTGACCCAAATTCACGAAGAAGAAGAGAAGCAAAAACAAAAAGAAGCTGAACATGGTGGTGATGAAAAGAAAAAGTCGCATCATAAACAAATACATGGTCCTTATAGATTAATGAGATTGTTACCTCATGCAGCTCGTCCAATCATTTCCAGAATGTTAGAGGTTGATCCTAAGAAAAGAGCTACCATGGAAGAAGTTATGGAAGATGAATTTATAAAAGGAATAACCAGCTGTACTGTCAAACAAGATATTGATGGCTGCGAAGAAGAAGTAATCAAAGGTAGTCCTCCTCATGAGCATACAATCGTATAAGTAATTTTTTTTTTCTACATCATTTATTATTCTTATTATTATAGTGTTTATTATTATTATTAGTTATAAAGGTTGAATATATATATTTATAAATCATTCCTTTTTGAGATTTGTCTCTGGTTGAGTATTGTAACATCAATAAGGAGAGTGTGTATCAACCAAATCCGAGTGCCAACGATACTACAAATATCGGCGGCCGACAAAAGAAGAAGAGAAATTAAGAAAAGTAAAAAATCAACGGTAAGAATAAACTCACTAAATTGAAACTTATAATCAGCAACAATGGCTAAACCAATTCCACCACATCTCAATCAAAGTAGGTTGAAGACTACTTTGAAAATGGCAATTAGTAAACTTAAATTTGTTCAAGAGAAGAAAACAGCAATAACTAAACAACAACGACGTCAATTATCAGAATTATTATCTCAAGGTAAAGAATCAAGTGCAAAAATCAGGGTTGAAAATATAATTCGTGATGATATTTATATTGAATTGTTGGAATATTTAGAATTATATTGTGAATTATTATTAGCAAGATTAGCAATTTTAATTGATAGACCAACTTGTGAAACTAATTTATTAGAAGCGGTCAGTAGTATTATATATTCCGCTAATCACACTGAATTAAAAGAATTAGTTCAAATTAAAGATATTTTAATGTTTAAATATGGTAATGAATTTCTGCAATCTGTATTGGAAAATAGAGAAAGCCAAGTACCTGAAAAGATTGTTAAACGATGTGATATTGAACCACCTAGTGATGTTTTAGTTGATTTATATTTATGTGAGATTGCTAAAGCATATAGTGTTCCATACAGTGGATTAAGTTCATTTGATAATGACGATGAATGTGAGCATGATGTTGATGACGATGACGATAAAAGTGATGGTGAAGGTGGTACAAAAGAATTGGCTGAACCTATTGGTGAATTGGCCGATAAACCAAGTGTAAAGAAACTGGAACCAAAGCCTAAATTGAAAGATCAAGATGAATTTGATGCCTTGAGAGCAAGGTTTGCAGCATTGAAAGGGACAACTCCATAGATTAGACACTAGGTATATATATATATATATATCAAATACGATACTAACTATCCTGGTACACATATCGTCAACATTACTTTTGTACGATTTTCTATTTGTCTAATATTTTCAGTCGCGTCACGCTATTCGTAAGCTACGATCTGGGGCGAGATTGGCAGTGGAAAACTCACCATAATCCACCAAAAAGAAAAAGAAAAAGTAAAAAAAAAAAAAAAGACAGTAAAACCAAAACCTTAGATTCAACAGGAATCAACATATCATCAACAATGGGTATTTCACCGAAAATTAAGGCTTTGATAGATTTAATAACTATTGGAGCATTGTTGCTTAACGCATTTGTTTATTTCTATCCAGATATTCTTAACAGTACCGAGCAATGTAATTGGCATGGAGCTCCTAATTTAAAGTCAAAATATTCCTTCGTGAATGAATATTTATCACCTGAATGGGTTAATAAGTTGGTGCTAAACTTACCTCAACTTAGAGAAAAAGAATATGATACTGAAAATAAAGATATTCATATGTTATTGTTTGGCGATCCTCAAATCAACGGGAACTGGCCTCTGACTAAGTATATCAAAAGATTGGATAACTATGGAAATGATTATTATTTGGGTCATATTTATTCTACTATGAAGAGTAGATTAAATCCTTCTCATGTCACTGTTATGGGAGATTTATTTTCAAGTCAATGGATTTTAGATTCTGAATTCTACAACCGTACATATAGATACGTCGAAAGATTGTTTCCTCAACCTTTAGAGTATAAACAAAATGTTCTTTCTGTACATAGTGAACATAAAAATTATGATTGGCAAAAATGGTCAAGAGATGAACAAGCATTGGACCCAGCTGAACGTTTCCAGTCTCGTGTATATAATGATGTTTATGATTGGATTTATCAAAATAGATCAACTCCAAATTATGATCAACCTTTATTTATTAATTTGACTGGTAATCATGATATTGGATATAGTGGAGATGCAACTTGGCAACACATGGCTAGATTCCATTTATTATTTGGACAAAATAATTATGTCATTAACTATAATAAAGGTACCCCTGAAGAATGGAGAATTGTTGTTTTGGATTCTTTAACTTTAGAAGGTCCAGCTTTACAAGAAGAATTTGTAAACTACACTTGGTCATTCTTGGAAAATTTACGTGATAAAGAAAATCCAAATTTCAAAGGTTCTACTATTCTTTTAACACATGTTCCAATGTACAAAATTGAAGGATTGTGTCGTGATGGACCTGAACATAGATACTATGAAAACTACGAAAAAGAACCTTACAAGAATGGTAAATTAAGATCTCATAATCATTTAGCTTATGATACCACTCAAAGGGTTATGGATATTGTTTTCCCAAATAAAGATAAGAATGGTATGATATTTACTGGACATGATCATGAAGGTTGTGACGATTGGTATAATTATATCAATGGAGAATGGGTTGCTTCTAAGGATAAAATCTCTAAAGAACGTGAATCAGTTCGTGAAATTGTTGTTCGTTCAATGATGGGTGAATACAATGGTGAAACAGGTATTTTAACTGGTCATTTTAATCAAGAACAAGATACTTGGGATTTCAATTTTAGTTATTGTACATTTGCTATACAACATTGGTGGTGGGCTAGTAAAGTAGCCATTTTAATTGCTATTTTATTACAATCAATTGCCAAAATCGCTGGAGGTGTATAATTAGAAAAATATTATGAAGTGATATTATATTAAAATAAAATAAACAAAAACTCTTTTTATATTTAACTTAAAGCAAAAATAACACACAAGACTACAAAATAAAAAAAAAAAAGTAAAACATACTTTAGAATAGAAATAGAATCACATAGGAAATAAAATGTTCATTGATACAGTTAAACTAGTGTTTTGGGTGGTCCTTAAGTAGATGTTTCTTTGGCATCTTCAGGTTTAGAGTTTTCTGTTTTAGCTTCGTCTTTGGTTTCTTCAAGTTTGGTCTCTTCTTTTGACTCTTTCTTGGTTTCCTCTTCTTTCCTTTCTTCCTCTATTTTTGCTGCACCGTTTTCTTCTTCGGCAGGCTCTTCCTTTGGTTCTTCAACGGGTTCTTCCTTTGGTGCATCTTTTGGTTCATCTTTTGGTTCATCTTTTGGTTCATCTTTTGGTTCCTCTTTTGGTTCCTCTTTTGGTTCCTCTTTTGGTTCCTCTTTGTCAATTCCATTCTTACTTTGCAGAACAAATTCTTCAATTGAAGCTTTGGCACCTTCAAAACTACCTTGAGAAGAAACTTGAATTTCCTTCACTTTTAAAACACCATCAACAAAAATCCAATGAGATCTTTTGATACCCAGTGGAGATTTCTTAGCACCCAATAAACCAATCAATTTCTTTTGAGGATCAGATAATAAATCAAATTCAGCATTGTGTTTATCATGGAAACTTTTTTGAGATTTTGGACTATCGGCCGATAATCCGAAAACAACAGCACCATTTTCTTTGAAAAATGGATAATAATTTTCATATCCAATAAGTTGACATGTACATCCACCTTTGGCATTACCTGAATTTGCTCTTGGATAAGCAAAAATAACAACATATTTTGAAGATTTGGCAACATTAGCCAAATCAATCTCTTCGGAATCTTGATTTAATAATTTGACATCTGGAATTTTATCACCAATTTCAATTCCACTGGAAGTTGTAGTAGTAGCTTCAGATGGTGCCTTAGAAGTTTTGGCTTTTTTAGTAACTGGACCTTGTTCTTCAGGTTCTGGTTGTTTAACTGGCCTGGATGCAACTCTAGCACTACGACGTAAAGTACTCATTTTTATATGGAGAGTTGTAGTGAAATTAGAGAACAGAAAAGGATAACAATAAAAAAAGGTAAATCAATTGGATAGTAGGAAAAACAAGAAATATGATTAAACGACTCAATTGCTTGTTGACAGTGACAGTATTGAATTTACCTGGTGATAGAAAAGGTGAAAAAAGACGAATGGGAATATGCAAGTAATTTTTATTTTTTTTTTTTCAATTTGTGGGTGAGACTGGTATAAGCAAAATTCTGGAGAAAAGAACAAAAAGAAAATTGTAGCAATAAAAACTAATAATAATTAACGTCCAGCTGTTGAATAAATTACTCCACTGGATTTAAGGGATTATAAAAACAAAGGTTTTCTTCTTTCTTTAAAAAAATAGTTTTCGGAATTCTCAAGCTTTAGATTTGCCATTTGCTCTAGCAATTTCTTCAATCTTGGTAGGGGTAAAAAATGGTGCGTATCGCGTTAATCGCCTGGGAGGAGGAGGAGAGCAGTTTAGAGCAAGTCAAGTAAGAAAAAAGGGGTGAGGCGGTGGCACAACCACAAGTGTTTTAGTGCAAAACCTCAACAAAATTGTATAACCGGTTGTAGTCACTACCTGCTGGGTATTCATAGTAGATTTAAAACACCCCTAGAGTCCATCCGTAAACTAAATTATTTGCCGCCTGTAATAATAAATGTCAAAATAGGAATACTAGGAAGTATAATATGCAGCGGGAAAAAAAATGAAGCTCAAACGAAATAAAACGTCAATTCGTACCACCCCCTTTTTTTTTCTTTGCTAGAGGATATACCAGCATTAGTAATATTATGTTATAGGTTACATTTCTTTTTCTTTTTCTTTTTCTTTCTGGGACTTACATGTAGAAGTATGGTTTGGAATGTGGACGTGTATGGACAATCCGGTTTTGCCATTCGGTTTAATGAAATTTCGTCATAAAGAAGTGAGAGTACCAAACCTGAAATAGTTTGCATCCAGAATTGTACAAACTTTTTACGAAAAAGAAATTATAAATGTTTATTGTCCTGTGATAGAGCTCTATTTCAAAGACAAGCTTGAGAGTTGAACTTTGTATAATCTTAGATGAATTTTGATAGCAAGTCACGTGCTAGACAATTTTTGCCACTGGTACACGACGATATGAGATTTTTTTGATTTTTTTTTTTATGAAAACAATCTTTTGATTTGTGAGAAGCTAAAATAGTATAAACAAATTGAATATCACCATAGTTCGTAATCCATTACATTCAGACCTTAATCAATCATAAATAATGGCGGTAGGCGAGTTAAAAAAGGAAAACGAGAGTAACATCTCTCCAGATTCATCCACACCCATGTCTATAGTAAATAAAGACCCAAACAATCAACTGGATACTAAACAAAAATTCACAACTAATGATATACTACCCGGATGTAAAGTATATGTATCCAAAGATGGTGAAAACAGACTTGCAGAGATTTTACAGGAGCATTTAAAGAAAGGTCGTAAAGTGTATTATGTTCATTATCAAGATTTCAACAAACGTTTAGATGAATGGATCGAAGTGGATAGAATTGATTTCAGCAAGAGCTTGATTTTACCAGAAGTTAAAGCAGATTCCAAAGACACCAAACAGAAAAAGAAAAACAAGTCCAAGGGACCAACAAAGATGTCAAAGAATAACAATACATCTGTGAGTAGTGCTAGTGGGACCCCACAACCAAGTGAATCTCAGCCGGTCATGGGTGAAGATGAAATGGATTTGGAAAATTTGAACGTGCAAGGGTTGAAAAGACCAGGAGAAGAAGTCAGTAGAGAAGAAGAAATTAAAAATTACGTACAAGTGGGTCCATGACACAAAATCACCTGGAAGTTGCTCGAGTAAGAAACCTTTCCAGCATTATTCTTGGTGAACATATAATAGAGCCATGGTACTTCTCGCCATATCCGATAGAATTAACAGAGGAGGACGAAATTTATATATGTGATTTTTCGTTGTGCTATTTTGGATCCAAGAAACAATTTGAAAGGTTTAGATCAAAGTGTACATTAAAACATCCTCCAGGAAATGAAATTTATAGAGATTCCAAGGTTAGCTTTTGGGAAATTGATGGACGAAAGCAAAGAACATGGTGCAGAAATTTGTGTTTGCTAAGCAAAATGTTTCTTGATCATAAAACATTATACTACGATGTCGATCCTTTCATGTTTTATATCATGACAGTAAAATCCGCTGAAGGTCATCATGTAGTGGGGTACTTCTCCAAAGAAAAAGAAAGTGCTGATGGATACAATGTTGCTTGTATTTTGACATTACCATGTTATCAAAAAAAGGGGTACGGTAAGTTGTTGATCCAGTTTTCATATATGTTGTCGAGTGTTGAAAAGAAAGTAGGATCCCCTGAGAAACCATTATCCGATTTGGGGTTGTTATCATATCGTGCGTATTGGACGGATACGTTGGTGAAGTTGTTAGTTGAGAGAAACAATCCAAGTTTATATCGTAAGAACAACCCACAGGCTATACCAGAAGAAGAAGAGAATGGTAATGGTTCTGCCGCATCCACACCAGGACCCGGGACTGCTTCTTCATCAGGGGTTGGTACCAGACTGGGACTTAATGCTCAACCAAATTTTTCCAATGAAATCACAATCGAAGAAATATCATCAATCACTTGCATGACGACAACAGACATTTTGCATACGTTAACCACTTTGCAAATATTACGATACTACAAAGGTCAGCATATTATTGTGTTAACAGATCAAATTATGGCAATGTATGAAAAATTGGTCAAGAAAGTAAAAGAGAAGAAGAAACACGAATTGGATCCAAGGTTATTAGAATGGACACCACCACTGTTTACAGCGAATCAATTACGTTTTGGATGGTAGAACAACTCTAAACAAAATATTGTACATAGACTCTATTAATATACTTAATAACAATGTGCTACCCCCAAATTCTGATACTTTTGTCTCCATGGCAAGTTAATAGTCTTAACCCAGACATGTCAAATGTCGATGCATATATAGCTGCTTCGTTTTCTGAACCTGATAACGACGGCGAATATCCTGATTGCTGTAAGCTGCCGTTTATGTAGTCATAAAATTCTAGCCTGCCATCATCATATCCTGAAAATAAAGTATTAGTCACGGGATTTATCGATAGTGTATTGATTATTTTACTATTATCGCGTTGATTCATGTCACTAACATTGGATTGGAATTCATTCAACAAATCTCCCTGAGGTAAAAGCCATTGTTTGATTTCTCCATTACCATCTCCCGATATAAAAGTTGACTCCTTAGGATGTGATTTCATGCTTCTTATACTCTTAGAATGGTTGGTTATTAACAATTCGGTTTTTTGGTTTCTTAAATCCCAAAGTCTTATTGTTCCATCCATTGAACTAGTAATTACTTGAGGATCATTATAGTCAGTTTGAATTGACGTTATATCATTTTGATGACCCAACAAAGTCATTGCTTCGGCTCTGCTTCTAATATCCCATACTCTAACGACACAATCTTTACCACCACTGAACAAAAGATCCAATTCGGGATGTAACGCTGTTGAATACACACCACCTAAATGACCATGGTAAGATCTGATTTGACATCCAGCTGGTGAATTGGTGCGTTCCAAATCCCAACATCTTAATGATTTATCCTCACCTCCTGAAAACAAATATGGGAATCTTTTTGAAACGCATAAGGAACGAACACCCAATATATGACCTGTTAATATGGCTTTAAGTGAATTATTCTCGAAATCCCAAATTTTTATAGTGGAATCAGCCAGACCTGTCACATACCATTTGTTTGTGATTTCATCCATGGCAATACATCGTATCCATCCTTTATGAGCACCAGCTAAAGTTTTTAATAATTTCCAATCTGAATGAGTTGGTCCTGGTGTTGAATTTTTGGTTGTAGTTGTTAACTGATTTGATTCCTGGGATGAATGATGTTGATCTTGCTGTTTTGATGGTACGCCACTAAAAAAATGGTTCAACTTTACGTTGTTATACATTGCCTCAGATAGTGTATCTTCAGGTGGAATTATAGGGTCATCATAATTTAGTAAAATGTGTTGGCTAGATATGTTCAGCATGCTGTTATGGTATATGACAAAGAGTTGATTCCAAGCACATCCCAAAAATCATGTTTTCTTTTTTTTATTTTTTTCGGGGATAATTTTGTTTCACTGTGTCAACCCTGGAGTAAGAATCATGGAAACTAGAATTAACACAGCAAATGATAAGAAACTTCCCATAATTCGTGAATTAATAGACATTATAATCAATTCAACGAGATTGTTTAAAATAATTCAAATCATTCCTTCTTCTGGGAATAATCAAATTGTGATATTCGACGATGAACCAAATAATACTTTAGATATTGGAATAACCAAACAGGCTTATTTATCCATGTTTAAACAATGTCATGATTACTGGTATTCTTATATAGATGATGAGGCTTCATCATTGGCAGAATTGAATGTAGCTCAACTTGAAGAGTTATACCTTGCAACTTTGGGATACCTTGTTACAGCTAACGACCATCATAGTATTATGAACCTACATGAAGATATTGTGAGATATTTATGTAACTACGAGACAGACATAGAAATTATCTCATGTTTCCTTACCAGTCATCTCAAGAGAATAAATAAGAGCAGTTTACTATGGAATTGGATGAAAAAACTTACTGTACAACAAATTTATAAACCGCTATTTGATGAAGCGTCAAAAGACCTAGACGGGAATGACTTATATCGAACTATGATACTAAGAACTTTCAGAAGCTGTAAAAACCACTATATGAATTACTATGCCAATAATTTCATCCACTGGATCATGGCGATAAATTATCATGTGCTCGGATTTGGCGATGTCAACGTGTTATACAAGGAACTTCAAAATCAATGTCATGATAATCTACTGGATAGTTCTTTGTGGATAAATTTGAGAAACTATATTTGTTGCTTAAAAGGTTCTATTGATACCGAGTTTGTTGTTGAAGAATTTGAACGAATTTGCAGTAGTTATGAAATTGCAGTTCCAAAAAAGGTTCAACCTAAAATTTCGACAATTAATCCAGATGATCTAATCGTCAATGAGGTGAAGTGGTTGATTAAAGTTGACTGCAAATACAAATCACCGTTTCAATTGCTATTATCTACCACTCAGGAGACAAGTACTTTGGGTACCTTGAAAAAGTTGATAAGTTCCAGGGAAGACTTAAAGGGACTAATAGATTCAGAAACATAGCTTTTATGGAGAAATAGTTAAATAGTATAAATACACATTGTCTACATAGGTGTGACACCTTTGAAGCGTCATACGATATTACTAATCGTAGCCACTCGATAGACAAAAAGGGAGAAAGAAAAAAAAAGAAATAGAAAGCAAATGGAAAAATAAAAATAATATAAGCGTCTTCTAACGAGCCCTTTCTTTTGATCCATAACTTCATTTAATCTACAAAGACAAGTTGCACCAATACTACAAGAAGAATGTTAAAGATCCGTCAAATTAAAAAGAAACAAGATGAAGAGAAACTTGCCAAATCACAATCACCAACTCCATCACCAAACTCTACGTCAGATTCAAAAGTTACCCCAGCCCAATTAAGAGTACAGAAAGATATAACTGAATTAGATTTACCACCATCAATAAAAGTTACATTCCCAAATCCAAATGATTTTTTCAATTTTAATTTGAAATTAATTCCACAAGAGGGATATTATAAGAATGGACAATTCGAGTTCAAAGTTGAAATTAATTTCAATTTCCCAATTGACCCACCAAAGATCAAATGTTTACAAAAAATATACCACCCAAACATAGATTTAGAAGGTAATATTTGTCTTAACATTTTAAGAGAAGATTGGTCACCAGTTTTGAATTTGAATGGGGTGTTTATGGGATTGAACATTTTGTTTTTAGAACCAAACCCAAATGATCCATTAAACAAAGATGCTGCTAATGTTTTGGTTAAAGACAAAAAACAATTTGCAAGAAATGTTTACAACTGCATGAGAGGTGGATACCTTGACCTGGTTTACTACGATCGTGTTATTTAAGTAACACAGAGAGAATACGTGTGTGTGTGTGTGTGACTTATCATTTCTATTGCATTTGTAGTTAGTGAGTACGAATATACTTACTTTATATACATATCTGTCTAGATGCATTAAAAAGAGAAATGACATAGCAATAATAGCCAAGATCTAGCTCCATAACTTGATAGAATTATCAGCGCTTCCACTTATAAAGAGACACCTCATTCTCTTCTCAACATCCTTCAAATACTCTTCGGATGTTAGTTCCTTATCTGTATTTGATTCCAGGTCAGTTAAACGAGCGAAATCAATATCATTTATGAATCCTTCGTGACCTGAGATGGTTTTAATAGCAGTAACCGATCCAGTCTCGATTAAGCCAGATAGATCCCAAAATTTTATTGTTTTGTCATCACTTCCACTGATAATAAATTTACCATTTGGATGTACCAGTAGGCATTTAACCCAAGACAGATGCCCTTTAAATTCTGCAATTAACCAGCCTTGGGAATTGTTATATTTTGAAGGCAATGGAGATCTATGAGGTATGAGGGTCGGTGGTGGAATTAGCCATAATTTAATTGTGTTATCTCTACTGGCACTAACACAATACTTGAATCCTAATTCGTCATAAATTGGATCTTTCAATAATTCAGAAGGTATGGATGGGAATTGATCAATATTTTTTGTTATATATTCGTCAATTAATTCATTGGCTTGGATCTTTGGTAAAAATTTCACAGATTCCACAACATGAGTATGTCCAACAAACATGGCCACACCAACCCCACTATTAATATGTGACAATCTGGCCAGCTGATCATTGGAACATGTTAATACAAAATCACCCTGGGTTTCCAGTGCTACAGCATCCAAATCTCGACACCATTCACTATGCCCCACAAAACTTTTCAAACAAACTCCCTGTGATATATCCCAGACTCTTATGTTTTTATCCCTCGATACAGAGTACAAGATATTGCTATCAGAAGGCGAGAATTTCACTGATGATACAGTATGTTCGTGGCCGTTCAATGTTCGGATGTGGTTGAATTTCTCATCCCAAATCTTGATTGTCAAGTCCGACGAACATGTCGCCAAGTAGTAAGGCTTTCTATAAGAAAAACACATTTTGTTTATGGATCTAGTATGTGCTTTTATCCTTTTCTCAGGGATCGTGTTGTCATCATTAGTTAAATTCCAGATATAAAGATTACCATCATTGCAGCCATTAAATACCAATGGCAAATTTGGATGCAATCTGACCGTTGCTACCACATTTTCACATTGATATGTCTGTTTTGATGCACCTTTGGGTATCCAATTTATTTTGTCTTTACTTAGAACCACACCATTTGTTTCAGAATTTGTGGTATTAATAATATTAGTTAAATTATGGATTTCGTTCTCTAGATCAATGATCTTCTTTTGTAGTCGCAACACTGTCGACCATTTCTTTTCCAAATAGTTATCCACAATATCACTGCCATCGAGCTCTGTCGATTCTATTTTTAACATAGAGGTTAGTTTATCAAGGACCTCGTTGTTCTCTTGTGAACATATTGGTTGTAAATACTGGATTATTGCTTTATTCAACTCTGATTGCTGCCTCTCCGTCAAGATTTGAGATCGTTCCATCATGTTGAGCTAATAAATATAATACAGGAAAATAGAATTGACTGTGAACTTGAGATGAACAATTCTTGGGAATAAGTGTAGTTGTGATGTGTTGATTTGAATTTCAATTGTGCAATGGAACAACAACAACAAATAGAAAAAAAATCAACAAAAAAAAAAAATCTTAAAAATTTTTCTTGATCGCTTCTCCATGTACTGCTTTCAGTTAGTGATTCGAAACCCTGTCTATCATGTAAGTATTTGTGAAAAGAATATAACGGTAGAGGAGATTGTCAATTAGTAATATCGTTCGGAAACTACTTATGAAACGATATGTACTCACCAATTGAGTTGTCTGGTGTCTGTTCATGGGAGCTTACTAGGCTTCTCGAAAGGTACTCAATAACGGGAGGATAATATGCTGTGTTCAAAGAGCAAAAGTATCGCCAGTCATATAAACCCAATTCTATAGCAAATAATATATATTTCAAGAAATAATATAAAATCCTCTCTTGTATTTTAATAATGAAAAAGAAACCTTTTTGTTCTCTTTTTAATTATTTGTTTAATTCATTAACAAACTTTGAATATTTAAATAAGAAGACACAATCTTCGGTAATAGTAATGATATTTTTCTTTGATTTATTTTCCTTATGACTTGATTCTCTCATTATTTCTCATAAACGTCATTTAGATTACAAGTTGTCTTTTAAAGTTTGGTTTAATCTGGCAACCTTGTTGGCAATGGAAACATCAACAGTTCTGTCACCAACTTCAACAACCAAACCACCCAAAATTTCTGGGTCAACTTTGTTGGTTAATTTCAAAGTCTTACCTTCACCGACAAAAGAAGATTTACCAATGGAGTTTTGTAATCTCTTCAAAATCTTAGATTCCAATGGCTTAGCAGAAGTAACCTTGGCTTCAACAACACCATTGTAGGCATCGTTCAACAAACCGAATTTTTCGAAAACACTGGAGAAGTTACCCAATCTGTTGTTTTCAGCCAAAACAGTCAAGAAGTTGGCAGTGGTTTTGTCCAAAGCTAATTTGTCAGAAATAGATTTAGCAACGGCAACTCTGTCATCTTTGGTCAATGAAGGGTTGGTCAAAGCAACTTTCAATTGAGGGTCACCTTTGATGACATTTTCAACTTTTTCCAAAGATTTCCAGGTTTGGGCCATGTCGGATTGTTGGATGGTAGCTGAGTATAAAGCATTGGCGTAAGTACCATCAACACCGAACAATTGAACAGGTGGCTTGGTAGATTTGGCAGCGGATGCTAATGAACGCAAGAAAACACGAGACATCTTTATGAATTTATAACTGTTGGTGATCTAAAGACTGTGTTGATGAAGATTTTCTTCCTTTTTTTTTCGTTCACAGTGTTTCTTTAATCCACATAATTTTTTTTGTCTTCACTAAACTCGCTTTCGCAATATGGAAAAGCCAGAAAGCGAGAGGATTTTTCATTGGCCAAAGACACACGCACGTGAATTGGTTTGATCCACACGACTTTTGCTCTTTTTTTTCCCTCGTCCCCCTACTGAATACACCTCTCTGTAAATTGCATATTGTACGGTGCGACTTTGTTTGGGTTTCAAGGTTTTGGTTTAATTGAGCAGCGAAAATTTTTCAGAGGTTCTGAAAGAACACTACTAGATCAAGTTTCATTGTACCCATATTCAACCACATAATGTTACCAGTGACTAAGGCATGGTTAGGAAACCTTAGAATCCCTGCAGCTAGTCTTTTGAATTGCAGTAGGATCGGTATTAGATTCAGTTCAACCACCAACACCTCCTCGTCATCATCATCAGCATCACAAGAGTTGACTGAATTGGAATTACAAGATATCAAATATAGAAAGCAAAGAGAGTTGAGTTTAAAATTAACCAAGATGAAAAACTATGGTGATGCATTCCCAAAACATTCACACCCAGGTTCCACACACTACAAAAAACCAGTACATGATCATTTGCACAAGGGTAAGCCAATCAAGGAATTGACTATCGCCATTAGAAAGACTGTCAGTGGTAGAAATAATCAAGGTAAAATTACTGTACGTGGTAGAGGTGGTGGCCACAAGAAAAGAGCCAGATTACTTGATTTCCATCGTTCAGTCGCAGGAAGACAAGAGGTTATTAGAATTGAGTATGATCCAAATAGATCTGGGCACATTGCTTTGCTTAAACACATGGAAACCGGTGATTTATCATACATCGTTGCCCCACAAGGTTTGAGAAGCGGTGATATAGTGGAAAGTTTCAGACAAGGTATTCCAAAGGATTTCATTGAAGAAATGAAAAGAACAAACAATGGGGAAATTGATGAAGCATTGTTATCTGCCAGAATTTTACAAAGAGGTAACTGTTTGCCTTTGAGAATGTTACCAGTTGGTTCAATTATTCACTGTGTTGGTTTAGATAAAACCAGACCAGCAAAATTAGTTAGATCTGCTGGTACTTTTGCAAAGATTTTATCAAAACATGCTGATAAGGATAGAGCTGTCATCAAATTGTCTTCAGGTGAACAACGTTATGTTAGATTAGATTGTCATGCTACCTTGGGTGTAGTTTCAAATAAAGAACATCAATTGATTTCTTGGGGTAAAGCTGGTAGAAGTCGTTACAGAGGTTTCAGACCAAAAGTCAGAGGTGTGGCCATGAATGCTTGTGACCATCCTCATGGTGGTGGTAGAGGTAAATCCAAGTCAAATAAGGTTTCTCAATCCATGTGGGGTTTGAAGAAGTTCCAAAAGACCAGATTGAGACCAAGTCCAGAACAAATCAAAACCAGAAAGGGTCATTTGATCAACCACGACAAATACAAATAGAGATTCCGTGCTGTTTTACATTTTTGATTCAAAAGCAAAGTATAATAGTTTCCTTTATATTATTATATATATTCACCTTGTAAATACATATTACGACAACGTTAGCAAAAAATAATTAGAGGTTGGGTTCTACTTACAACCCCCTACAGAATGCTGGTAAAGCGACATCAGCAGGCTGAAATTGGCGGAACATAGAACAGGCTAAACTCTTTGCAAGTGAAACAAGCGCAGTCATATTCCCAGTGTAGTAAAGACCCAAAATCCCTGAAATCAAAAAAATGGTTAAGAAGGTTGCCATCATCCATGTAAACGTGTTTGGATATTGTCGTCTGACCACCCTAAAAAGCCATCTTTGTAATAAATCCATTAAATTACCTGTGAAACGTTGTCCTATAACCGGAGAAGTATTGGAGCGAACTTGATATATTGGTAACAAAGGCAGATGCTCAGCATCAGTATGATGATGCAGTGGGTTCTCAGATCTAAACCATCTTACACACCAGCTAAGACATCCAGTTCTGCTTTGCTCTTGAGAACTAGGAGGAATTATTAAATCTCTTGATGATACTGGTCTAACCATATCAAGTGCTTGTGAAAGTGGACCATTAGCAGACGAAGGAAATACCAATTCCCTATGAGAATTAATTGAATGGTCCTCATGCAAACTTTGCGCCAATGTTGCGCTATATATAACTTCATCAGAATGACAATCATCCGAATGATGAACTATTTGCAATGACTTTGTATCTGGTTCAGTCATTTATTGTTGATTCAAATGATAATCCCTAGTAATAAGTGTTGCAAAAAAAAAAAAAAAAATAAATACAAACCAAAAAAACACAAACTTGTACTACCCAAAAAACACCTTTCGTATTAGTTAAAAAAATGCAGACGCATCGGGGTTGAATTATGGAGAATTTATAAGTCCATCATCATAGTTGAAGATTTCAGTGTTAGTTTTCGTTCTGCACAACTGATCATATTCAGGATCATCATATACGAATTCTAATCTTGACTCGATAGAGTTAACAAATCGGTATTCATCTATTAAGAATAATTCAAAATCTAATATTTCCAACACAACAATATCTAATGCACCCTTTAGGTTTAGTTTAAAATCCTTGTTGACAGAATCGATAGTCATGAATTTCAAGTTTGCTTTTTTTATATGTATTATTCGATTTACTGTATTGTATGTCATTCTCTGGTGATATCTATTCTCAAAATCAACTATGGCAGGATCGAATTTGAAGATGGACAATATCTTATGAGTCGAATCTGATAAAATTGCTGTGATATCCATGGACTCAGTAGGGGAAATAAATTCTAAGATGCGTAGTAGAAACGAAACTTTCATGAGTGTGGGTTTAAAGTTTTTTCTAACAATAGGATTCACATAGTTTGTATTTTGACCAATTGAATTGATCACATCTTTAGACAACCAACTTGATAAAACTCGTATAGGAACTCCAGTATTATCATTATTTTGACTCGACATCTTTCTTTGACTAGACGTGGAGTTATATTTACCGTGGTGATTTCATTTTATTCTTTTTTTTTTTTCGTTTCTGGGTAGTTTTCTGGTGATGCTTACACGCGTAGTTGATTCGGTATTCCTAACTCTCTGTATTTAACATCTATATACTCTATTGTACAAGAAGAGGACCAACTACATTGAACTAGTTCTTCTCTTCTTTTTCTTTTTCTTTTCCATAAATGCCAATCTTTCGATTCTCTTTATTTCTTTCTTTTCGTTAATTTTTTCAACATCCACCTCACTATTAGGTTTGAATGTTTCTTTTAAAATTGGCCAAACCTTCTCTTGTGTGTGCATATTTCCATAACGAACACTCATTAAATCGTATGCAAACCAGATATCAATATCTTTGAACTCCAAATTACTATTACTTTTAGCTCTGAATATATTCTGATCACTTGTGTTCTCTGAAAGATAGGAGTTTAACTCATTTGCACATTCTTCAAGTTCTGCCTTTGGAACACAATTATTGGAAATACCATAACGTGAACTAAAATGTGTCAATATCAATTTAGGACAATTCATGTTTCTACTAACCGCAACAGCTTCTATCATGGTAGAATGTTTTTTAGCAATCGCTTCTTCAATCCAGTTACCATCCATTGATGCTTCATGGATTAACAAATCGCTATCGTATCCACATCTAGAAAATTTTGGATTAGGTCTCGTGTCTCCTGAGAATGAAACTTTGAAAGTTTCTCCTCTGTTGTTTAACTTGAAATCAAATATACTAGAATATGCCCAAGCACAATGCAAGGCACGAACGGTGGCAATTGAATTTAACCCAATTGAATCATACATTTCCTGAATTGATTCCAAATCTAAAGAATTTAATTTCCCCTTTGGCACAGATTTATGTAAAAGTTTCTTGTCAAAATACTCTTCAAACTTATCCATACTCATTTTTTGGTATTCGGCAGCACGTGTCTCCAAACAGAAATCCTCACAACTAAAACATACCAATCTGTTAATGTCAAATGTAGGATGGTATTGCAGCTCTAAAGAATACCAGTCCCTCAAAAAGGTTATAAACTGCCATGGTACCACAAGGTATAATGTCTTTGATTTATCATTTAATTTGAACCATTCACCTATTAAGGAAACAATACCCAAATGATGATCTGCGTGCAAATGACTAAGATGGATCAATGATAATTCTTGAAAAATCTGGTTTACATATTTGTAATTATCATGACCAAATGTACGAAGTAAACTACCGATAGTATTCTCACCACCATCCAATATAATAGAACGATAACTAATAGATCCATCATCGTGTTGGAATGGAATACGGAGCAAATTTCCCAACACATTTCTGGATATACTTGGTAAAGCTGATCCAGTTCCAAGCATACAAATTTGCACTTTATCCTTCAATGATGATGTAGTTTCGTCATCAAGTTCAATACTTGTTTTTGTCATCGACTCATAATCAACAGCTTCCGGTATCTCCATTGGTGCCACTTCGTTGTCGTATAATGACTTGTTGGTGGCTTGAACTGAGCAGGAATTATCAGCGTGAACTTCATTTTCGGTAATTTGGTACAGTTGTAAAGCATGTAATCTCTCAACGTGACCATCACTTAACGGTTGAAATTCTTCCAGATTGACCAAGTTGAAGTTTTCATTCATTAAAGATTTTAATTTTATAGTGTTTGCAACCAATTTATCATTCAAAATGACATTATTTGTCATTGATGGGTGACTAATGATGTGGTAAGCATCACTTGGGAATTTCGACAAGAAGTTTTCTTTATAGTGTTGCAAATCAAAGTCCAATTCTTCACCCAAAAAATGATACACCAACCCAATTTCATTAGATTTTTCATTCTCAGCTTTTGCAAACCACTTATTTGAAGTTATTGTGTTTTCATAGTAATCATTGTTTGGAATATCAATGATTAACAACTTTCGGAACAATCTATCCGGAGCAATAACTTGTTCCGGTTGAATTGTCTCACCATTTTCATTAACAACAGCTTTACCATTCGACAAATCTCTGAATTGTGGGCCAGGTTTTAGCCCGAGTTCTATTGCTCGTTTTGGATCAAACTTACCTCTAATTGGTAGAATTCTAACTGAATATGAGTATGCTGCTTGGGAAGTAACTATCTCTGAAGCTTTTGGTAGATGAACATGCGTGTGAATATCTTTCAGTGTTGGATCAGATCTATATGACTCAGGATCTCTGCTATTTACTTCGCTTGTATCTAATGGAAACATCAAGGATGCCAACTTTTTGACTTGACGAACAAGGACATTTGAGTTTTCTGGATGTGGTTCATGTTCAACAGGATCGATTCTAATAGGTGAAATAACAATCTCTTCACCAGTTATTTCAGGATTAGTTTCAGTATCGATAATATTTAATGTTATCCCCATTCGGAAAACAAACTGTCTCCATGTTGCCACAATATATGATAATAGTTTCCCACAACCAATTACATTTACCCCATTTTTCGTCGAATCACTCACTGTTAAAAATAATCCTGGCAATCCCCCAATATCGGACCATGAAAATATAGACCCAGTAAGAAAAACACCTTGTAATTTAGGAAATCTAACTTCACTTCCTATTACATTTATAATTCTTTGTGAACCTTCAGGGACTTTTCCAAATAAATACTTTGATCCGAGCTTTGTTGTTAAGCATACCAATGGTCTATTCGAATCATCTGTCAAGTGAGTTATTGTAGTGACTTTAAACATCAGGTGTAGACGTTGACGTGAATTCTTTAATTTCCCTACGTGCTTGGTTTCGGAATTTGATTGATGAAGTTGTCTTTGACCTGTTAAAGTACACTGATGTAAACCGGAGCCGTTTGTGAAAAAGTTCCTCCTCGTTAAATTATATCGTACAATCAAAACGAATTTCTTCTAGTAAAGATCTAATGTCAGGGTGGTTCGACAAGTAAAATTCTAGTCTCTTTGAATCCGACTGGTAAGATGATTTCAATTTGATCTTACAAAGACCAACTGAAAAAAAAAAAAATTAGACAAACAAAATTGCATCGCTACTGATGTCGTTATGTCGTATTTTAGAGCTACCAAATGATAGGATGTCGTAAAAATTTCATATGCAAACGAGACGATTATGTAATCAAAAGTATATCATCAATCACATCATTTACTCCACTTGCAATCTGGACGTCTAAATCTCTAAAACAAAATCATTTTATAAATTGTTTTCTATTTTTTTTTTGTTCTTTTTTTTTATTATTATTTCTTCTTGAAACTAATCATTTCTAGAAAGTTACTATAAATCTAATATGAGTACAGCTGTGACGTTGTTGCCTCCTGTCTCCACTACAACAACTACCTCGGCAACGTCTACTGATGCGATTATTCGAGATTTATTCCAGCAATATATTTCTTTAAATCCAAGTATTATCAAAACCGGTCAAACGATTACAAATAAATTTTCCCTTCGATCGTTACCAATTATTGGACATCTTTTTCCTGAAGTAGATGAAAAGAAACAGATTATCAATGAACTATTGGAGTTTCAAAAAGCTACTACCTCTTATTATGAATGGTACGACACATCATTAAAGTTGGATGAACTACTCGGGAATAACGCTTGGAAATCTGACCCCACTTCTGATATTTACGACTATGATTTGATCTATAGAAATCTAAACGATATGAGAGAAGCAAGGATGAATCATGATTATAAGTTGTTATTGTATTACATTAGAACCCGATGGGTTAGAAATATTGGAAATATGGGTGATGCAAACCTTTACAGACACGCATATGTTGGTACTAAACGATTGATTGAAGAGTATATTCATGAATGTCAGGTTTCGTTGGAATATTTGATAAATCACGACGAAGTTAATTTGGATGATCGGTACTTGTTGGGGATGTTGATTCAAACTAGAAAAAATATCGGTAGAACTGCGTTGGTTTTATCTGGTGGTAGTACATTTGGTATTTTCCATATTGGTGTGTTGACCACATTGTTTGAGTGCAATCTAATGCCAAGAATCGTAAGTGGTACATCGGCAGGGTCAATTGTTGCCAGTATTTTGTGCTGCCATTCTAATGAAGAAACATTTGAATTGCTAAGCACAATAACTTCCAGAAAATTTAATATTTTTGATGTTGTCGATTGTGACGTTTCTCAAATTCAAGGTTCGTTCAAGAAGGTATTGTACTATTTGGGCCATTTGATTAAGTATGGTACTATATTTGACATCGAAGGGTTACAGGATACAATGCTTGGATTCTTGGGAGATTTAACATTTAGAGAAGCATATAATAGGACCGGGAAAATATTGAACATTACTGTGTCTCCAGCATCTATCCATGAGCAAACCCGTTTACTTAATTATTTGACAGCACCAAACTGTCTCATTTGGTCTGCAGTGTGTGCTAGTTGTTCAGTTCCTGGCATATTCCCCTCCTGTTCGGTGTACGAGAAAAACCCAAAGACTAATGAAATTCACGAATGGAATAATGACGAGTCTATGAAATTTGTAGATGGTTCAGTGGATAATGACTTGCCAATTACCAGACTTCTGGAAATGTTTAACGTTGATCATATTATTGCTGTTCAAGTTAACCCCCATGTAGTTCCAATATTAAGAGTTTCTGTGAGCAACATTGGAGGTGATGTTGAGAATGATTTGACATACAAGATGAAACATTTTTTGAATAACGTGTACGACTTTGTGTCTTCTGAAGCCATCCATTATCTTCAGTTACTTAACGAATTAGACATCTATAAAAACCTATCAAATAAGGCAATTTCAATATTATCTCAAAATTATTCTGGTGATATTACCATTCTTCCAGAGTATAAAATTTCTGACTTCACCAAAGTATTTGAAAATCCAAGTTCTGAGTTTCTTCTTGATTTCATATGCAGAGGGGCCAAGGCTTCGTGGCCAAAAGTCTCCATAATTCATAACCATTGTAGTGTTGAATTTGCATTGGACAAGGCTATTACGATTTTGAGGGGCAGAATAATCACATCGGCTAGCTATAGGATAACATCGGGTAGTAGTGGAAGTACCGATGGTGTTAAAAGAAGTCAACTGTATTACAACAAACCCAAGCCGCAGTCCATAACGTTGGTTACTTCTCCAGTAATTAACGACACCCAATCAAATACGGCTCCAAATACACCACTCAAGGGAAACAGACGTCCATTAGGAGTTCAAAGGCATCATTCGACGTCAAATGCCACATCAAATAATAAACACCAACCACGATCGAAAAGAAATTCAATGAGTGCAACGGATGGGACTTCAGCTCCTATAATTGGTGGAGCTACAACTCCAAAGAGAAAATTATCCAAAGGTATTTCTACGACTGCTTTGATTCAATTGGCTCAGGGATATCAGCCAGGAGAAGATAGTATGACAAATGGTGATGGTGAAAATAACTCGGGACAAAAGGGTGATCCTGGTTCAAGACATTCTATTCGAAAAGCAAGAAGTTCAGGTAATTTTAGAAATAGAAATGATTTTTTCACCAACAATGTTAATGATGCAACCCTGATTGTTTCTGATAAAATTCCTTATAAGAGTAATCCGTACTATGATAATCATGAAGAAGCTATCATTAACAAAAGTGAAGAGGAAATCAGTCAACGTGAAAAGCCAAACTTGCCTAATTTGTCACGGTCGAATTCCAAAAGAAATTCATATATTGGTTTGAACAGGCTAAAAGATAATAATCTATCTCGATCAAATAATAATCTGCATTACAATTTGAAGAATTTGGGCAAGAATGGCAGTAATCTGGAATTAGTCAGGAAATTGGAACAAGAACGAAAAGGTATATTGAAGAATGGTAATAGAGAAAGTATAACAAGCTTAGATTTATTTGGTACTAGTGATGATGACGACTTATGTAATCTCGGACGACAAATTAAAAATGAAGAATCACAAGAACCAGATGATGATGAAGAGGACGCCGATAATGACGATGGTGATGACGAAAACGAAGATGAAGACGAAGATGAAGATGATGAGGATGGGTATGATGATGATGATAGCGAAACAGATTCAAATCAGGAATTGAAATCATACGAAGAAGGTGATGATAAACATTTAGAGAAGAATTCCACCAAAAAGGAATGCAATGATATGAGGGACGATGTCATTGATATTGAGTTTGAATCTGTTAGTATGGATAACCGTTCAGAAAGTGTGGTAGATGATATCAATCCATATTTTGGAAAGTAAAAGAACGCATGAGTGTCTCATAGATTTATTTATATATATATATATATTAATTATATTTATTCCTTTACGAAGCTAAGTACAGCGGGGATTAAAATTCCAGTTATTACTAGTGAAAACTCCAATTTAGAAATTTTAGAATGTGATTGATTACTAACCACGGTATTTGCTTCACTTTCCACACTTGTAGGTAATACCTGGAAATCTCCAGATGTAAAATCACTCATGACATGGTTGACTATAAATAAGAAGTTACCAGCGGAGAATAAAAACAAAATCCCCACAACCACGTCAGTGTTTACATCAATTAAACTAATAATTATATATGTTATCCAAGTAGCAATTGGACTCAGTAATGCAAAAAGTAATATATGCCAGAATAATTTTGAATCAGGAATGCCTTCCAGGCATAGAATTGTAGATAAACTAAAACTTGTCGGGATTTTATGAATAATAATTGCGGTGAAAATTATTAAGGGAATAGCTGTACCACCAGCAAATGATGATCCTAAAGAAATACCGTCAACAATTCCATGGAAGATCATACCAAGAGTTAATGAAGATCCAAAAATGGAATCTTTCAAATTGCAATTACGTTTGTTATCACTGGAATGACCTGAAAATACATTGTCAATTGTGAACATAGTTACAAATCCAATCAAAATAGGGAACCCCACAAATCTGGAAATATTCTGAGTTGATGTACTTAACATTTCAATACCTTCTGGTAGAATGATCAACATGGCTGTCCCGACCAAAATTCCCATGGCTAGTAATGATAGATATTTCAAGTATGTTGGTGAGATTGTCAACTTTAAAGGCAATACACCCGCAATAAACGATGTCAAAAACATGACAGTCGTTAGAATTGCCAATTCTATTATCCTTGAAAATGACATGGGTGGTCCTATCGTATTGGTAGCTTTGAGTCTGGTGTTTGTATGTGTCTAATCTTAGATTTCTTTTTTTCTCTTTTTGATGCGTTATTTTTTTTATTTATTTATTTTCTCCTTTTCCTTTCTTTGCGTAAACAATCTCCGGAAGTTAAAAACAAATAAGGATACCATTATTTGTCATAAACAACTTGTCTGATATGACAGATCTGAAACTAATAGAAGATAAGTCTAAATTGGCGATTTTATATTTTAAGTCACAAGAATATGAAAAAGCCTTGGGTACTTATAATGTGTTGATCAATCAATTAAAAAATCTCCCAAAATCAACAATCAGACAAATCAGAAAGGACAATAATTTACAAGAATCACCTATTGTTGGTCCAACAATACATCCCAAACTAGGTTCTTTAATTGATCAAAGGGCAGCAACGTATGAGAAATTGGGTCAGATAGCAAGTGCTTTAAAAGATGGTAGAGAGTTGACAAAACTAGAACCTATTGGTTGTAAAGGATATTTACGAACGGGGAAACTATTACTTGGAATGAATAAAAAAGTTGACGCCTATAAATGTTATCAAGAAGGAATTTATATTATTGAAAAGGCTATAAAAGATTACAATATAAATGTTCCTGAGAAGTTGTTTGCGTCATTGAAATTGCACTACCGTGAACTCAATAGAGAATTAAAACAAAAACGACGCACAGAAGATGAATACAAGAAAGTAGTGAAGAAAACTAGAAGATCTACTGATCCATTTGTGCATTTACCTATTGATATAATTGAAATTATTTTCCGAGATATTCCAATGAATCACATACTACGATTGCACCTGGTGTCTAAGCTCTGGTATTATACATTAACATCTATTCCTAGCTTGTATCTGTTCAAATGTAAATCTAACATTGCATTGAGTGAGTTTATAAGTGGTGCCAAATTGTTTAAAAAAATAAGTTCTCATTCAACGTCAAAACTGATACAGCAAATTAAAGTAAACCAAGTCACAACCAAAGCACATTTTCTCAAAGTACTTGAAGTGTTGATCCGTGAACCAGGGATGTTGGTTAAGAATCTTGATTTAATTGACAAGAATTTCAATCTACAGTTATTTTATCATTTGGTTTCGAAATTTGGATGGAGGTGGGGTAATTTGAGAAACTTGGAGAGTTTGAGAATTGGAATCAATTGTAGTATCAAGTATGGACGAGTATTGTTGAATATGTTTAAGAAATTAAAAGTACTTGAGATTGTGATTCTTCAGGGAGAGAAAAGTTCATTGGATTTAATACCTATTCAGGAGAAAATGTTTAAAAAACTCAAGGATCTTGAAGTGGAGGAGTATCCACTTGAAAAATTATTACTTGTTAATCATACGAAGCTTTTGTTAAACAATCCTAATCCAATTTCTGCACAAACATACAATCCATATCCTATTTTTTTAGATAAGAATTTCCCAGCATTGACGGAGTTGACTCTTGTTTCGTTTGATTTTGCAACCACATTACCTGAATTTGGTGAATTTCTAACAAGAATTCCAAAGTTGACCAAACTCTATCTAGAAAACAATCAAAATATAAATATGTTGATTTTCTTGCAAATGATTATTAATTATAGACCCGAGTTTAAGTTGCAAGAATTTACGTTTAGAGAGTCCTGTGCGATTTCACCGATTTCGTTGACTGAATTTAGACTTGGTGATTTGCACCAATTCAAGAATATCTATAAATTAGATTTATATAAAAATTGCTTATCAGTTACTGGCTTATTAAAGTTGTTGAAAATATGTGGTAGATCAATTCGAAGTTTACATATTGGTCACTCACATTACATTTCGTTTACCATCCATTCACAACGAATGATTTCATTGTATGATATTCTCATCAAGTGCCCGTTGTTGAACCAAATATACCTCAACGATATGGATATTGATCAAGCAGCCATGATACAGATTAACAAAGATTTAGAGAAAATCTCTAGTAATTTCCAAATGTTGGATTTAAGTTTTAACAAGATTGATGGGATCAGTTTATTGAGAATGTTTGATAAAAAATTGATTGTTAATCCTATTGAGGTGTTGGTATTAAATGGCATGGAGATTTCCACAGACACTATACAGTATTTAATCAGAAAGAGATATGTTAAGAATGTAGTGTTTGACAAGTCAAGGATTAAATGGCAAGTCTTTGGTGTCAACAGTTGGGTACAATAAAACTGGTTGCAAATATTCTTGTGTGTGTGTGTCAGTAGAAAATTGCGTTTATAGAGGAGAATAAAAATTGAGAACAAATGGGGAATGGAAAGACAAAAAATATAAAACGAAAAAAAAAAAAAAATTCCGATTCACGATGACCTTGGGTTATTCTTTTTTAATTACAGATAAATAAATACATACATAATGGTAGTTACTAGAAGTCAATCTAAACCTATAAAGAAGACATTTACAGATGATGATTTCATAGATGAAGAAATTGTTCCACGAGAACAAGAAGTTGAAGAAAAGGAAGATGAGGAAGAAGAAGAAGAAGAAGAATCTGATGAATCTGATGATGAAGCACCAGAAGAAGAAAGTACAAGTAAAGCTAGAGAAGATATATTGTTGAAAGAAAAACAAAGACAAGATGAAGAAGCTGAACTTGAGAAACAACGAAAGGAAAGAAGAAAAGCATTAGATTTACGTAATAAACAACAACAAGAATTGAAAAAAAGCAAACAAAAGAAACCTATTGAACTTCCTGAATTTTTACCTGATGATATTGAATCAATCATGAATCAATCACAAGTTCCTGAGGTTAAAGCTAAACATATAAGATTAGATGAAGATATTAAACCAGATAGAAAATCCATACTAGAAGAAAAATTAAGACAATTGAAACAAAAGAAAAAAGTCGCTGTCAAAAAGGGTCCAGTTTATGTTAAAGTTCAAGGGAATATGAATAAAAAGGTTGTGCCGAAATCTGAATCTAAAATTATTAAAAACAGAGACAAATGGTTAAATAGGAAAAGCATTAATAGAAAATAGAGGTTTGTAAGAATAGTAAGAAAGTGAAAAAAAAAAAAAAATTAAGTATTATATTAAACTAAATATTTAGAAACACAGAAAATAGTATATACTGTTATTAGGGTGACTGGTGGGTATCCCTTAATGAACTACACTCAATGTAGATCTTTTAACCTTAATTTGGGGCAATATGGACACATCATATGAGAACATCGATGGCAAGTGAATCTGGTTGGAATATTTAGGATGATTTTTTCCTGGTAGTCGATTAGATTATCATTCAATTCTATGTTTAATGGAGATAAAATATGACTTGATGGTTGAGGTAGAAAAGTGGGACTTTCAGGGGAATGATTTTCCAAAGAATATTTTCTTTGATCTGCAGGAATAGTAGATGATGAAGTGTTGGATATTGGAATTGGTTGATGAGAAGTAGTTGAAGAGGTTGAAGATACTGATCCTCTATCTTTGAAATTGAAATAATTGGTTGAATTATCATTACTCGAACTACCATTCGATAGAACGTGTTTGTGATCTCGATACACTACTTGACTGTAGTATTTTAGATTATCAAGGATATAATTAGAAGAATCTAAAGTGGTTGCACGATGTTGTTCTGGTTCACCATTTGGTTGGAATGAATTATAATCATCTTTATACAAGACTGTGCCATAACTTTGTCCACAAGAACAACAATACCATTGGCATATTCTATTGTTGCTTGTGATTGTAGAATTATTTCTATCTAATGAACTCAACGTGCCCGTAGTTGCAGTAGTGGTAGTAGTAGTCGTTGTAGTAGTCGTAGTATTAGTTGCTGTTGTAGTAGATGATTTCTCAGGGGATGTATTTGAAGCTGAACTAGTTATTCTTGGCATTGTAATGAACATTGTAACTAATTAGGAGATCCCCTTTAAATATAATCAAAAAAACAGAAAGAAAAAAAAAAGAATAGTCTGATAAAGTGAATTGAAAAGTATTAAATGTAACGAATAGCAATATATGCTAATAATAAAGAAAACAAAATTAATAGAAATGATTAATGTCCTAATTCTTTCAAATAAGATAGACAAATGAAGAAATAAACAAGATTTGGGAAGGGAAAAACAGAACGGGAGTGGAACAACGTAATTCCATAGTAAGAAAGAATTAAAAAAAAGGGAAGAATGTCATTGAAATTTTTGGGAATACCATTGGTTCTATATATAGTGTTAGGCATAGTTTGTACAAAAATGCAAAATGCACAAAAATGGAAGAAGTAGAAAAAAAAAAAAAGCTAGAATTCAACGTGAGAGAATTAAAAGAAACGCACAAAGGAATAAAAACGAACTGTACTAATAAAGGGTTAATGTATGGTTTTAAATCTAGCGATAAAAAGTTAATTGAAGTGTCTAGAATCAATTTTGATGTCACGGGTAATTATAAATGTTTAATCATTACAACCATAAATTTAATTAACCAATAAATCTACATACTCTTTTGCTAAAAAAAAAGTATTGGCGGTGTTACTGAATTTAGGTCATACATCTATGGGCAAGGGCAAGGGCAAAGTCAAATGAGTTTGAGGTGAATCTACGCAGAATCAGTTAAACAAACAAAAATGACCCGTAGTAGTATTAGTGGTACTAGTAGTAGAACAGTGGTTTGTAGGAGTAGAAAATAGGGAGCGCTTAGAGAAACAAATTTAAGAAACCTGAGAAGAAGAAAAAATCTTTCTTTCGTTTTAAATTTATGCGCCCATTTTTTTTTTTCGTTTCGTTTTCTGTTTTATGTTGTTCTTTTTTTTGTCATTCTGCTGTTTTGCTTTCAAAGTGGCAGTCACATCACAATGTAAGATTAATCTATAGGGAACTCAAAACAAGATTCCAAAATCGAGTGGTATAAAGAGAGAATTGTTTATCCGATTCATATACACCATGATTCTTTAATTTATAATCTGGCTGCGGTTGCCAATAATTGAAATATCCCGGAGCCATCTCAAAATCTAGACTTTTTGTCGTTGGTGTAGAATATGCAGGATCCCTGGATAGAGGGGGAGTAGGAAGGAAAATAATTTTAAGTGGAGGCGTGAGAAAACAATGTGTGTGTGTATGAATCAGTCAGTTAGTTTGTTAGTCAGTGTGTCTAAGAATTTGAAATTAAATGATTTAGTTAAATTTCCTGAAATGATATAAATGCCTTCTTTTATTTAAAAAGAAAGCCACCAAAAACCAGAAGCGATCGATTCTAGAACCAAGGCAGAATCTGCGTGTCTTGCCCAAGTTTCTTTCTTTGCTATTGTATTGTATTGTATTGTGATGTAGTGTGCCATCCCCCGGTTTGCAGATATTTAAATCATTATGCATTTACTAGATTAACAATCCACATCAATAATCACAGGGTTATCTTCAACGATTTATTCTTTCCGTTGATTGTAACGTTTCATCTTGTGACTGTTGCCAATGTCAATTATTTGTTTCAATTATCTATTAATCAACCACCACCACCATCATCACCCAAAAATTGAAACTAGTTGGATTATGCAATAGGATAAATTATCGTCTAAACCGGTAGACGATATTTATTTTTTTTCACTTTCAAAAATTCTAGCCTATTTTGGTTGCAAAGCATAATAATTAAAAAGCAAAACCCGCGCATACTCACGCGTGCGTCTTTTTTTATTTTTTTCTTTTTGGTGCTGTTTACACGCCCTCCTAATGAACCTTCTTTTTTTTTTCGTCTACTAACATCATGATTTGTTAAAGTACTGTAACAATATAAATTAAGTAATCCAGCGTAATGGTATTTCAGTTGGTGTATATTGTGAGTAAACAAAAACAAAAAATCGATTTGAAACTTGAAAAGAAAAGAGTACATATAATTTCAATTATAGGCTGAAATTATGTTCCTCTCTGCAATGATTGACAAGGATAAACTAGTTCTCCTTTAATCTCGTGAAACGACAATGACAAGGTACAGTACAGTATGGAAAGTTACGATTAAAAGGTAAAATAAAAACAACGCTCTGTTCCCCTTTTTCATTATTGCAATTGTTATGCACAGTACGCAACAATTTCAATGTTTCAGTTACAAGATTCAAGTGCCATAATAAAACAATTTTGTTTTACTATGTTGTTTCAGCTAGTGGGTGCAAAACTAATGTCAAAAAAAAAAAAAAAAAACATAGAGAGAGAAGGTATTGAAATAATAATAATTCTAATAAACTACACAAAATTCAACAAACTTCTAAATCAAACAATCCCACAATCCGTTCCGAAACAATCGATGAGGATGATAGATTGTAATATATTATGACTTGCACCTTGTCTTTGTTTATTTCTTAATTATTCTCATTTTAAGGTACCATTCAATTTTTAGTTTCCCCATATTGTGTCTAGATTTACCAATTGATAAGGTCTGGAACTTTAAACTTATTCAAGCTCGTAGTTTAAACTATACTATCCCTTCCTTACTAAGCGCAAATTCAATAACATTTATCATCATGTATGGAACCGTCTCATTTTTTAAAAATAAAAGATATTATTAGTTATCCCACACCTTGTCATATCATTTCTTGGAGTGAATTCAATAACAACTGGGTTCCTAAAAATAGACACTACTAGGTTTTATTATAAAATTTTACCATCCACGGTAAATTACTTAGAATGTCTGTCAAGTTTTTTCCGCCGGTGCCTTGTTCAAGTAGCTTCCCCCTTTCGTTTCGTTTCGTTTCGCTTGGTTCAGGTACTCGCCTTGAATGTGAAGCAAGTTTCTAAACAATAGAAAATGTGTACATAAAAAAAATCATCCGATTAAGCAGACTAAGTAAAAAAAAAAACTTCTATTTTTACCTACCCTAATCATCATGATAACTTTCTGTCAATTTGAAAATAAAAGTACCTTGCATATTCAGATTAATTAGATATCCCGAAAATGGGTACAATAATGGCTCTTTTATTTTCGAAATCACGAAAGTGCTCATGACTTCAATTCTATTTGCCTATATATCTATTGTTTTTCCTTCTAAATCAACAACTTTATCAACAAATTCCCATGGGATCTTACCATCAGCATCACCGGATGTTAAAATGACATTATTTAAACTTTTGAAAAACTTTATACCAGCTTCTGTACATCTCTCCGCATCAACATAAATTAAAACATTAGCATTATATCTTATACCTGAACAAGTGGCATATTCTTCACATGTAAAATGGATATGATTTCTGTTCATTTTATTTAACCCTCCGCTTTGTTTAATTGTAGCTAGTTTGTTTTTATATGTACCATGGTATATTTTTAATTTTGTCAATTCATCTAAACTCATTGGTGTCAAATTATCATTATTCACAGTTTTTAATGAATGCCCCTGATTAGCACATATCATATCATCCGTTATAGTAAATCTTTTCTTGTCATTATCACGTACAATTCTATCAAGATCTTCTCTTGTTGTTTTGAAACTTTTCAATCTTTGATGAGACAAAATATCAGAAATCTTAACATATCCTTGGTCATCAATGGCTAGTTTTTCTTTCACAGCCCCATGTCGAAGAAGATATGACATTGCTTTGGAAATAAGAACATCTCTTCTAGCTTGATCTGGTGGTGGCATTGTTGGTGGTTGGTTGATGAATATCAAGAGATTGGTTAGTTTTTTTTTTCTTTCTTACAAACTTTTTTTTTGTCTTTGGTTTTGTTCTTTCATTGAGTTTTACAACAAATTCTTCATTAAATTATTGAATGTACATCTTTTAAAAATACAATACTCTATTTACAGGATTATAAATATCATCATCTACTTAGACCTAATCTTTACATGATCTAATCGAACTTCCCTTTTTCCCAGCTAAACTTCCTAAATTCTTTTTACCTTGTTTAATAGATTCATTATCACCTAATTCAGTCTTTTCATGGAAATTCAAGAAATATTTACCATCATCTTGTTTTTCTCCTTGTACAATATTTGAAATTAAGAATTTACTAACATCATTTAATTTCTTAACTGCTTCTTCTATTTCAGTAGTATCCTTCAAGTTGGAATTATTCCTTATGTTTTCTTTGATTTGAGTTCTGGCAGCTGTGAGAATGGGAAGATCATGACGAAATACAACTTTAGTTGCTCTTAATGCATTTCTATAAGCTGATAAAGTGGCAGACATTATTGATAATTATTATTGTACTGATGGGATTCACTTCAAGTTCAAAATCGATTTCATCTCTTGCTGAGATTTTTTTTTATAGCTTTTTTTTTCTTCTCCTTTCTCTTATTTCTCTAATCACACTTGGTCGTGTGTAATGTAACCATTTTGCATTTTCTTCTTGTTTTTAATGTGCTTATTTATTACAATCTATATAGAACTTATTACAATCATTTATAATTCTAATTTCTCAACAGAGTATACTGGAACCTTTTGTTGTAAATCAGTTTCGTCTGAAGCTTTCTTACCACCGTCTTTATTAGCCAATGTCAAAAGATTATCTAATTGTGTAGGTTCTTTTACCTTTTTGGATGTCTTCTTCTCACTATGTAACAAAACTTGATTAGATAAAGTTAAGTTATAACTGTTAATAGTCAAAGCTTCAATCTTTTGAGTAACAATTTCGTTTAAGGCATTAACATCTACCATATCCCAATTGAACAATCCATTTACATCAATCAAAATTTCAATGATATACCAATTGTTCAATCCTGGTAATTTAAGCATCTTACTAATCAATTCAATTATATCCACTTGTTCACCTTCATTTTGTAATACATCTTTGATAGTGTCAGCGATTTCGTAACGCGAAAATTCACCAACTATTCTGTTTACCAAATCACTCATAGTTTCATTATCTTCTTCGAATACCAATTGTAATACCAAATCTCGACATGGGATTCCTGGACATGTGTTAATTGCTTGTCTTAATAAAGTGGTATTTCCTGTATCATTAAACAATTGCACTAATCCAGGAGTGAATTTAAGTGGGAATAATGGATTAGTTAAAAGATACATTAAAGTATATTCAGGAACAAATCCATCATCAACAAATTCTGGTGGATTACCTGTGAAAATCAAATCCAATACCGAATCAATAAATTTAATATCAACGACTCTATCACTATTATCTTCAAATTCTTTAAATTCATATACTTTATCGGCTTTTTTGGTTTTCTTAGAAATTGAGTTTTTAATACTGGCCCAACTTTTTCTATTCTTCAAATATGGAATAAGAATAGATTCCCATTTATTTAAATCTTTTGCTTCCTTGGCTTCTCTTAATAATTCAAAAACTTCCTTAACTTCATCATCATTCACATTATTAGTCGAATCTTCATTGAATAAGTCTGGAATTACATGGAAATCATTGGTTTCCTTATCCAAACCTTTACCCAAACATTCACTTAATTTATTTAATCCAACGTTGATATCAATGACATTCAAATATACATTATTGTCTTTGTTTTTAACATTAAGATACACAGCCAGGGAAACGCATGTGTTGGTAGAGTTACCCTTAACTTGAATCACTTGATTTATGTAAACAATATCTGGAACTGGATGGGTTGAACTAGATGATGATTTGAAAGTAGATAATAAAGACGCAAACTGGAAATTCACCAAATAAAGTTTACTTGCGTTACCCAATAAAATACGGTCTTGAGCTGGGGCAACAAGGGAAACAATTTGTTCTTCATTGTCAATGATTGATGAAACAGAAATGGTTTTGGCGATATTGAAATTGGAAATCGGAAGGGAAGCAATTTTCATATTAGAATATTGATATAAGGTTCCGGAAACATAACAGTATTGAGCTTTTTCCACTAAAGGAACAGATGAGGAACTAACTTGAATAATAGATTTGACTGGATTAATAGACACTAATCTGAAGATAGTATTTTTGGAATTTTCGGAAACAGCAAGTAATAATTCTTCTTCCAAATCATTGACAAAAGCATTGAACACTACTTTTTCTTTACTTTTAGAAGTGGTTAATTTGTTATCTCCAAGATTCAATTCACTACCTGAAAATTTTACTTGTTCAACGGATCCATTTTCATACAAGATAGTGATCAAATCTTGAGTTCCCATAAACTTAACACCAACCACTTTGTTATTTAATTTTAATTCCACTTCATTTGAAGTTGCATAATTGGCATTTCCATCTTCAGTAACAGTACGTTTGGTTTCAAGTAATAATAATTTTGATTTTTTACGATCAGTCAATCCACAAATGTAATATTTAGTATCATCTTTGACAATGACATCCATACAATCAACTAAAGTAGTTGGATTTAATGCATATGACCATATTAATTTAGGTGTTGGTCTTGTAATATGACTTGAAATAATGGATTTTGATATCCCTAAATCTATAATTGAACTATCTATTGAAGAGATTCTTGGAACAACAACTTTTTCAGACAACTGTAAATCAGGAGTACGAGGAAGTGAAGTTATCATATATTGATCATATAAGTCTGGCTTTGACATTGTGATGAGTTGAATGTTAGTGAATTACTTAAAATGAAAATTTTGAACTTCAAATTTTTTTTTTTTTCTTTTTTCCCTTAAGGCATCGCATGTGTATGGGTGAAGAAGAAGGAGAGAAAACGAAAAACAAATAAATCCACAACTGGTAGCACATGACTATTATCAGAAATACACCAATATCAATCTCTACATGCATCCCTAGATGTTAATAACTTTCTTTATATGAAAAAAATATGTCTCTATTGTACAGTCTATTAAAATTATGGTAATATATAACTAAATATATGGTTTAAAAATCTAAAATCTAAAAAAAAAAAAAAGAATGCAATAAAAAAAGTAAAATATCAAACTTCCCCTCTATTATACATGTTGAACAACAAATTAATTCTATTAAATTAACCCAAAAATTTAAGCAGATGATTGCAAGAATTCGTCATCAGCGTAAAAGTATTCACCAACAACAACTTTGAATTCATCAGTTTCTTTGTTGTAAGATTCAATCTTGAAGCTTGACAAGTCCTTGACGACAATGTTGGCACCAGATTTTCTAACCTTTTCTGGTTCATAAGTAGAACAGATACCAATGACAATGGCGCCAGCACCTTTACCAGCAGTGATACCAGCTGGAGCATCTTCGAAAACAGCAACTTTGTAGTGAGCATCGTGGTAACCCAAAGTATCTCTAGCGGCTTGGTAACCTTGTGGATGTGGTTTACCTTTAGTGACCTTTTCGGCAGTGATGAAACAATCTGGTTTTTCAATGGTTAACAATTTCAACCATTTGGTGGCTAATGGTAAAGTACCAGAAGTGACAACAGCCCATCTTTGTTGACCGTTTTCGGTTTGTTCTTTGGAGAATTTATCAAAAGATTTAACCAATTCAACAGCACCCGGAATTGGTTTGGCGTATTCACCAAAAGTATCTGGAATGGCACCTTCCCAAGCAGTAACTTGTTCGACATCAGCATCTGCTGGAGACCATTTGGCGATAACATCGTAGGTACGACAACCATGGGAGGTTCTAATAATTTCTTCAGGATCAACGTGTGGTCTGGTTTTACCGAAATCTCTCCAGAATTCAGAAATGGCACCGGTGGAGTTAACTAAAGTACCGTCACAGTCAAATAAGGCAGCGTTAATGTAGAAAACAGCTGGTTGTTGAGTTTTAGTCATTGTGTAGATAATAGATAGTATTTGGTTATAATCAATAAATTAATTAATCAATGAAGTAATTAATGGATAAAAAAAAAATACAAAAAATTGAATACGACCAACAGATAAACGTAAGAAGGAAATCATCAAGTATTTATAATTTTTCTTTATCTTAACCAAATTCATAAAAGGAGGACAAGCCCATCAGAAGATGAATATAAAAGGAACGTTGTTATTTTCATTTCTTTTTTTCTTCTTCTTTATTTGGGTGGCTAACATTACACAGAAGGAGTTGATACACACACACACAGTCAGGAGGGAGTGAGAGAGAGAGAGAGGGAGAGAGGCAGGGAGAAAAAAAATAATATAGCCAATTTCTTTTTCAGTTAAAACGATATGTATGCATTAAGGGCTAAGTGGATACTGTACATTATTGGTGAGGATAATAATAATAAGGAACTTTTCATTATCTAGAGGATGGAATGGATTACAAAGACGGCTCTTTCTAGCGAGTTTGAGTATTACGTAGTTGAATAATGATTATTCATATTCATATTCAATATGATGTCATACCTTGTTCTCATCACTTCGTTATTTCCTTACAAAACAATTGATCCACGGGTGAAGGCAAGAAGTTTAATCAAAGATGAGAAAACAAAACAAAAATCAACCACTAGTTAGAAATATCACCTCATCTTCTTACTGCTATAGCTAGTGGTGTTGATACTCAAAGAATACGAGATGATTGCTCTGAACCGAAATCAATAACCACCAGAGAGAGTGAGAGACAGGCAGAAAGAGAAAAGAACCCATCTAATTGCACGACTGGTGATATCCAGGCGCTTACCTCGTGTTTTATTTTTACTTTTACTACCCACATGATTACGTAATCCTTGAGAAGAGTCACAAGAAAATCTGTTGCCAAAAAAAAAAAGAAACTTTATTTTGTTGTTGTAGCCGGATTAAATCCATGCGTCTTTGTGACACATCGGTTTTTCTTTTTTTTTTATTTTTTTATTTGTTGTTGTCTTTTCTTTTCTTTTTTTTTTTTGCTGTTCCTTGTCTTTCCTGAGATCTTCTTCCCGTTATCCCTAGTTCTTCCTTTGTTTGCGTAGAATAATAATCCAGTCATAGTGGGGCAATTCTAACGATGACTATTGCTTATATAATTACAACAGATGAGATGAGCAAGATACACCAACAATTTTTTTTTTGTTTCATTTGCAGTCACTTTATCTCTACTCATCTCTCCCTATGCTCCTTGCTTTGATTTATCATTGAAAAGCACGTGCAGTCCTTTCCTTTTTTACAATGGTAAATCCCACCTTTGTTACCATGTAGATAGACTACCAGTAAATTCCCGTTGAATTCCCTTGTTTTCTATTGTTACTCCAATCATCCAGGCCAACAAAATCAACTACGTCATGAGGTTTCATAGAGCGTTTGTAACCAAGTACACCAATGAAACATCACCCAATCAAGCAAAAGAAAATATGATATTATCACACAAAAGAAAGATTCTGAAATCAATTTATCACGTGTATACGTCATATGACGTAGTGAAAATTAGAATAGACCAAAAGAACCTATTGTTGGTTCTTAAAGGTCAAAACTCACAATCACCATCATAGAAAAGTGGCAATTACGAGATCGGGTTGTATAAATCAACAACACAATATCCATGAGTGATTAATTGATTTACAAGAATTGATTCTGATAACTAAAATGGTAGAGCAATAAAAAAAAGGAGTTAGATCTCTAAGTTCAACTTATCAATTTCTTATCACTATTAAGTTCCCACTACGTCCGCAACTCTGTAGTTTTCCTATGATCTCCATTGTTCTCTGTAGTCACTGGTTGACAAGTCCCTTTTTGCAATTCTAGACCAGAAAGATAGTTTCCTCTGCAAAACCTTAATCTCGGTTAAAAAAAAATTCTTACTTATAGAATTTCAACTACAAAGAGAACATACACATTGGCATTTTGCATAATTCTTAAAATTAGCCATAGGTGGATGGGGACTATTCGTCCCCTTACTTTAGCTCTATCGTACAGGTCGTGGACAAGAATCCACAAAAAAAAAATGGGTAGTGTACTTCGTGACGAAAACCATCAGTTTAAAGTAGGGGCAAGAACAACAGCAAAACAGAAAAAAAAATACACTATTTGTTGGAACTCATCATCTTTATCATGTCTGAAAGTCCAGTAATACAATTATCATCCGACGAAGAAGAAGAGGATGAAATCGAAGAAATTGAATTTAGAAATGCAACGCAAAAGCTAATTGATAATCCAAGTCAGAGTGAAGAGAATAGATCAGCGAAGAAACTATCAGATATCCAATGTCCAATTTGTTTTGATGATATTACTGACGCCACAACTACATCATGTGGTCACATATTTTGTCTCGAGTGTATCGAACAAAGTATTTCTAGCTCTCATGCCAGAGGACAAGTTAGAAATGCTGCTCGTGGGAAAGGTCTATGCCCATTATGCAGAAAAGAAGTAACATTCAAAGAAACAATCGTGATACGAGCCAAAAAGGCTAAAAAAGTAGGAATGCCAGAACTACCAGCACAATAGTTTCTATAATTACCATCTATATGATTCTAATATAATGAGGAGGTTTGCAACAAGTATTTCAAAGTTTCGAGATATTTTTCTTTATCCAAGAATTTAATGGGTTTATGTTCAGCAGTTAAACTAAGTCTTATTGAATCATAAATGGCAAATACCCACTTGCGACATTTATCGGGATCATCAAGATATTCAATTGCTACCAATCTTTCAAACATGTCTCCTAGCAATACGTTGGCTCTATCAAAGGACCCTTCTAATCTTGTACGAAGACCATTGGCATGTTTCTCACATTGGATTGCGCGATGAAGTTTGTATGATATGGCTAGCTTACTGAATAGAATATTGGAATTAATGAAATGAATATCATCCATGTTCCAAACGAATTGTGGCTCTATTTGTTCAAGCTGGATGAAATACTCTGCTGAGTATTTTTTCAAAATAGCATCACCCAAGTCATCAAGCTGGTATCTGAGAAATGTACAGGCGTTTCCATGCACCAGGTTTTCCAACACACAAAGTCGAAGAAATGAGTATAGGAATTGGTTTTTCAATTTTGGTAATGCTGGAAGTCGTGGTAATGAACTATGCAAAAACACCGGTCGGTTCAGCTGTAAAAATAATGAAAAATCCAATGGTGATCTATCCTCAATTGCTTCAATTGTTGGCATCCAATTAGCCATAAACACATCTCGATCATATAAAAATGTCAACTTTTGAGTCCGAAGCGTATTTTTGCACCACTGTGTAATAAGATCCATGTTTTTCTGCTCTAAGTAACTGAGTCCAATATATGCATTTATACTTTCAATTGATCGCAACTCTATATCTTCTTCTCTGTTGGATTCAATCAATTTTATATCATTCAACTTGGAGAAAAATACATTTAAAAGTTCTGTCACAGACCTAAGTTTTCTCTCCACCGGGATAGCCGTTAAGTAAAACATCAATTCTCGGGTAACCAGAAAACCAAGCTGTTCAATAACTTCTCTATTTGTTGGATTCTTGAAATTCTTTCCTGCCATGGTGGCCACTTGTAAAGAGGGCAAGCCGTCCACCGGCATGAACTTCCCTCTCAAGGCATGTTTCAAAAGCAGCATTCGGACATCATTTTTAATTATTTTTGATTCATATTTCCCAACTCCGATTTTCTGTAATTTGTCGTAATTCAAAAACTTGAAACCTTTATGTTTTTGATTACTTGCCTTTAAATCCAATACCTTTTTCAATTTTAATGCTTTAGAATGAAACTCCCGTTTGACTACTTGTGTCTGTGTTGGCTTGATATGCTCCTTCACAAATTGTATCTCGACATTCGCTTCTATTGATATCTTTCGATCAGCTCCAACATATGCACACGCAGTAATCACATTATTGAATTTAATCCCAGGATCACCAAGCTTGTCAAGAATAACCGGAATCAATTCACTTGCCAATTTGTAAGCTTGCATATCCAACCACATACGCAAATCATTGTTGCGATCACACCATTTCAATTTTAAATTGGTATCAATCACAAAGTATAGTTTATTATTTGCAAAACAAATCTCAGCAGAACTTGTACCACCACTTTTGGCAAACCCCAATAATGCTCTCTTTTTAAGTGATTTCTCTATCTTTCCAAATATATCCAGCAGAAACTTATCCGCAAAAAGTATTTTCTGATACACTCGAGTATTTTCATTGTATAATTCATCATACCAAACGACTCGACTTTCTACCTGATCATCTATTTTACTAATTTGCCTACTGGAAAAGAAATCAGCAATCTTCTTTGCGGTTTGGATTTCCAACACCTTCATTGATTCTAACTCTACTGTTTCCAATCTTGTAGTGATTATAATCCGGCCCCCAGATCCTGTTTGGTTTGGTTTGCATCTTATCTGGGGAAGAAAGAATTTAGGAACGTCAAATCCAAAATCTATATTTGCATCAAAAATTTGCTTTACTATTCGGTGAACTAGACCATTAGTCTTGTTTCTGGTTTCTTTTGTCAACATATTCTGAGCAAAATAAAGACGTGGCAGATAGAATTCCACTTTTAGTACTTTCTTGACATGGCTTGAGACGATTCTTACAGATATTTCGGAATCCAGGACACCTCTGAACCAATTATTAATTTTAATTAATTCAATAAACAATAATTTCAAGTCGGAATTCAAATCTGGAGAAAGATCAATATTCCTAATTCTACTTCTATCTGTTTGTACAATAGATCCAAGACCTGCTACAGCTTGTCGAAGAGGTTTCTGGGACCGTAGAATAGTTAACTCGGGATCTGTATGTGATGATGATGATGATGATGATTTTGTTATTGCAACATGTCTACTCCTAAGTGTATAACATCTATTTCCTATTCGCCGTAAAAACCCACATGCATGGGCTACACGGATCATTTGTGTATAGAAGGTGATGAAAGAAACAAAATTACAGCATGAAAATCTCCACCAACAAAACAACAACAAAAAAAAAGAGAGAATCAAAACGAGAATCAAAAAGAGAAGCACTATCTTTTTACACATCAACTATTCCCCCAACTGTGAAATAAATGTCAAAAAAGAAATCTTTAGAATTCTATATATATAACTAGACACTTCTACAAATACAATCCTTCAAGATTCTCTTCCACTTTGTTCTTTAATACTCTTTCTTTGGCAGATTTAAAGTCATCAGCCTTGACTTGCATACGTCTTTCTCTCAATGCCAACAAACCAGCTTCTGTACATATAGCTTTGATATCTGCACCAGACAAGTCATCTTTTCCTGTGACTATTTCATCTAAATTGACATCATCAGCCAAACTCATCTTTGAAGTGTGAATGGTTAAAATCTTCTTCTTGGTATTGGCATCTGGGTTTTCAAACAAAATCTTACGATCAATTCTCCCCGGTCTGATCAATGCAGGGTCAAGAGACTCAATTTTATTTGTGGCCATGATAACTTTAATATCACCTCTATCATCAAACCCATCTAACTGATTCAACAATTCCAACATGGTTCTTTGAATTTCACGCTCACCACCAGAGGTAGATTCGTATCTCTTTGTACCAATGGCATCAATTTCATCAATGAAAACAATAGATGGTGCATGCTCAGCAGCAATTTGGAAAATTTGACGACACAATCTTGGACCATCACCCAAGTATTTCTGAATCAATTCGGAACCAACAATTCTCAAGAACGTGGCACTTGTTTGGTTAGCCACAGCTTTGGCCAATAATGTCTTACCAGTACCAGGAGCACCATACAATATAACACCCTTTGGTGGTTTTATACCCATTTCTTCATATAATTCCGGATGTGTCAACGGTAATTCAACAGCTTCTTTTATTTCTTGAATTTGTGACTCTAACCCACCAATATCAGCATATGATTCTGTTGGAGATTTATCAAGTTTCATAACTGAAACCATTGGGTCAGCATCATCTTGTAATACACCCACCACTGCTACGGTTTTATGATGCAAAAGAACAGAACATCCCGGTTCCAATAAACCTTTATCCACAAAAGACATAATTGGCACATAGTATTCAGAGCTTGCAGTACTAGAAACAATTGCATGATCATCATCAATGATTTCTTCCAAAGTACCAATTGCCATTGGATATCCCCTCAATTCATCAACTTTCTCTCTTTCTTCGACTTGACGTGCTTCTGTAGGTTGGAATGCTTCTTGATTGGTAACAAACTCTTCTTCTAATAACAAATGATCCTTAATTCTTTCTAATTTCAACAATTTCAATTTACATCTGGTGTTTGGATATACGCTTGGTAATTTAACAGCAGTATCTGGTCCTCTTCTTTTCTTCTTCCCAAACTTTGATTCTACTGGTGGTTCGTATTTTGGTTTTTCCTTTTTCTTATCATCTTTCTTCTTATTGAGGTTATCACCTCCTGGCATTCCTGATGGACCTTGTCCCATTTTGGTTTATAAATATTTCAATTGTTATGAAGTGGTTAATACTTTACAAGAAAGAAATCAATACTCTCTCCAATGTCAATGAAAAAAAAAAAATATCCACTCCAGCGAGAACGAAACTCGCCACCAAAACAAATAGAGGGTCGTGCGGAAACAAAAATCTAGTTGTTGAATAATAGTCTTAATCAAAACCACATCAATATAAGGGGCTTCTGTAGGTATGAAAATCATTAATATGGATAGCAGAAATCCCTATCAATCATTGCCAGTCATGCTTAGGCCATCACTATGGAGCTGTTTCGCAGAGTTTACTAGGACGATTTTTCCTCCCATATACTTTACCAAATCTACAAAGCAATAATAGTGTAGTATTACCACCATGCATCATTCTTTATCCTATCAAACCAATTGTTCTAGACGTGACCTTACTGTACATCACAAACCTAAACGACTTTTAATTTAGAGACGAATTTTGAAAAACAATTTCTGAATGCTGAAGAGGAGAGAGAAGAAGGGGAAAAAAAAATAATAATAAAGGAAAATCCAAAACAGACTTACGATAGGACCTAATCAAAACAACCTACTTTGCAGATAAGCATTTCGCATCTATGTCAGATCTAAAGAAACGTGATTATCCATCATTGCGACGAAAAGGTGCTTCTGTTGGAGGAGGTGGAAGTTTCAAACCAATCAATACTTTGGCAAATTCCAACCGTGTCATTGCAGTACCAGAATCTGATCTATCGCAGAAAACTCCATTGGAAATCAGCAGGACCAGGCTAATAGAGAATACCTCGCCACTTGGTGACCCAAATAGATCTATAGAGCGTGCACAAGTATGTCGTGAAAGATTAAGTGGGTTAAACTCACGACCGAGTCTTGCAAAACATGGCTCATCAAAAGTGGATAGCTCTACAATAGTGGACTGCATGGGGTCATCAATTGATCTAGAATTGCAAGGATTGAATACCCCTCCCACGACATCAGTAGACTTGAAATCTGTTCGAGTAGGAAATAGAGATTATATTAGATATAATGGCCGTGCCAGTCTTTCACTTGGAATCACAGAGAATGGGAAGTTTCTTTGTATATATCTGGAAGATATTCCCAAATCAGGTTATATTATAAATATTGACACCCAGTTAAAGTCATTATCCTTTGCCCTGAGTTCGATTATTATAGAGATTAAGGACTTGAAAGAAACCATTGTTGCTGCACACCACGGTATTGATGAAGACATTCGAAAATATTTTCAGATCCATCCATCCGATAAGGTTGATCCTAGCAAAACATTGGCTGATTCTGCATTGCACAAGCTTGATAAAACTGTTGAAGTTTTAGAAGACGTGATAGACCCTAGTTACATTGGAAAAAGAGATGAACGTGTTGGTGATAAGAACGAAGCAGTTCTAGATGACGTCTTAGGTAGATTGCGCACACGACATGCAAAGAAAGCATATTGGGACAAAGTAGTTCAAGGAGAAATCCCCAACACCGAAGTCGAAGTTGTCAACTCCAAAGAGACAGAAAGTATATTTGTTGACGATGATTATGTTTCGTGGGAAGTGCCTGCCAAGTTCAATCCAGATTTGCAATATACCTTCCCTGATGGAAAATTGTTTCGGGTATCCGATAGTGATTTTGCTACTTTATACAACAATTCTTGGATAAATGATGCGGTGATGGATTTTTGCATCAAGTTTGACATAGAAGAGGCGATTTCCGCTGGAGTTGTTGGAAGAAATGAAATCCATGCGTTCAATTCATTCTTTTACACGAAATTGAATTCAAAATCTACGTCTAATGGTGAGCCTCAGTATTATCAAAATATTAAAAGGTGGGTCCAAAAGTTAGATTTCATGACAATTCCTTATCTTATTATGCCAGTTAACGAGAATCATCACTGGTATTGTTGTATAATCCGAGGGCTTCCCAATTTATTGAAGGCTGCATTGAAAAAGAAAACGGTAGAGATAGACCCTGAACTAACAGAGGAGGAAACTGAAAATGAATCTAGTCAGACTGTCACACCTGACATGCAACAACAAGATATGGCATCTCTGGACACTGTTAATAAGGATTCACAGGAAATATCACCAGAATCGTCAGAAACAGATTCCCAAGAGAAGCCCAAGAAAGAGTGCGCCGAAATTTTTGTCTTTGATTCATTAGGTTTGAGAAGAGATAATGTCAAAAATCCGTTGAAGTCATTCATTATTGACTACTGCAAAGACAAATACGACGTGGAGATTCCAAAGGATCATATTCGAGTTATTGCAGCTAGAGTTCCAAGGCAAAACAACTACAATGATTGTGGAATTCACGTTATTTACAATGTCAGTAAATGGCTATTCAATTTAGAAACTTGTGAATCGCTTTGGAGAAAACATCAGCATGCTATTCAAAGAAGCATTTTTGTTGCTGAAGAAAGAAACAACATGAGAAGGTTCTGGATTGATAAATTCATAGCGCTACACTCACAACAGCAATCTATGGTGTCAATTACAGCTGAAAAGGACTCTTCTGATATGATTCAAGAGTCAGAGGAGAAGAATTCCAACACTAGAAGTGTCATAAGTGGCAAGAGTGATCGTGTGGCTGTTGCAGACGATGACGATGACGATGATATAATTGAAATTATCGAAGAAAAGAAAATCCAACCGAGCCCGTCTTCGAATGATGGTGTTGCGAGCAGAACTAGAAACTCTGGTAATCAAGGTCAACGACAAAAGTTCGAAAACAACTTCTTGAATGAAACTTATGGGGGTAAGAATATTCCTCGGCATGTGGTTGATACCTTGAATGAGCTTCTCCCACAAAGAACTTTGCAATTGGAGATGAATATTAGAAAGCACATACAGAATTATATCAACGATTCAAAATGGATAGTTAGTTCAGAGGAAGAAAAGAAAAAACAGTTTGTGGACCAGTTTTGGGCTTTGATGAAGGAATCTGACAAGGAAAATAGGCCAAAAAATAAAGCCTTTAAAATTGAGGAACAGGTCGCAACTGCTGTCTCACAGCTAAGTATCACTCCAAGTACCTTCTTCACTAAAAAATCAGATTCTTGTGGTAAAAAGTTATTTGATAAGGATACCGTAGATTTTTTAACTGAAAAATCGACAGCTAAAGAGCAAACTCAGTCTGCCAAGACAGATGAGGACCAAATACTCCAGAAAGAACACAATAATAATGCTGATGAAATCATTGAATGTTTTGAAATTGATAAAATGAAAGCACAAACCTCACCAAATACAGAAGCTGTAAAAAATTCTAAAGTTGCAAAAAATGTTGTTTCATCAGGAATCACGCGGGCCAAGGATCGTGAGAGAGCCGAAGCTTACGTACTGGTTCTTCTGGCACCTGGGCCTCTGTCTCCCAAGCGGAGACGTTTAGAATAATTGGTGGTGTTGTTATATAGGCTCAATTAATGAATGCATTTATTTCTTACGTAATCACGGTTGGTAGGAAAGCGGAATAACCGTAATGCTCACGCACAAAAGTGAACAAATCAAAAACAAAATTGTAGAAAAAGGAAAAACAAACAGAGAAAAAAAAAAAAAGTTAGAAAATAACAACACAACCAGGTGTTAATTGCAAACCACGGGAGTTATTAATTACCAATGTCTGACGAAGCAGCAAATACAAATCTGATCAATTCAGAAAGCTCTTCTTCTTCACCACCACCACCATTACCACCAAGAAAATCTCTTGATGCAACGCTGCCAACTTCCCCGAATGGATATGATAAGAAACTTCCAGGACTCCCACTTGGTGCCAATCAAGTAACGTTTGAGTTGAATGATTCAGTGTCACAGATATCTGCAGTTAGACAATGTGATATTTACAATTCCGCTCAATCAAACGAGACTTCAGATTTGTTTATCAACCACAACTTGGGTCAAAACACAATCAGATCAAAATTGGATAGTATTGAACCAGATTCTGATGAAAAAACAAAGTATTGGATCGGGATAATTGAAGATTACAGCAACCAGTTTTTGAGAAACAAGGAAATGAGACAATTAGAACAGGAGGTTTTGAAAGGTATTCCAGATAGTATCAGATATTATGTTTACTTGAAGACAATGGTGCTTAGACAAAAACTCAACTCAAAGGAGAGTTTTGCTGGATTGTTAACGAAGGCAAGACAATCGCGAGATGAATATATTGAGAATTTGAACGTGGAATCTAAAGGCAGGGAAGTGTTGATGGTGCTTAACTATTATATTAATGAAATTACAAATAGCAAAGCAGAAATCGAAAGTACGACAGAGGAGGTACATGAAGACTTGGTTCAGGTTCCCGTTAGTCGGTTTGCCATTAACGTTTGTGGTTTGATATCCACGCTCCCTGATATTTCACAAGAAGATGTATTTTATTTGCTCCTCAAGTTCAATAGAATCTTTTCGAATTTGAACAAGGATGAATTTTTCTACAAAATTAGCCGATCGTTGGAAGAAGAATTGTTTGACACTTTTAAACATATCAGCGTCCAAGGTATTAATTTAAACAATTTGTACAGAAACATTGCTGTACAATTTTTCAACAGCGAATTGCTTGATCTACATGTCTGTTTACAGATTCTTGATTTTGTGGTATTTGAAGGTTTTGATTTTATTCTCCGTTTGATAATATCATTGTTTAGCAGTAACAAGTCCAAGATTTTAGAGTTAGAAGGTGACGATTTGCTTCGTTTTCTTGCGTCTCCAGAATTTTTAACTGGTGTAGGTGTTGATTTTGCCGATACGTTGACTCAAGAGCCGAAGATCATACAATACGAAAATGAATTTTACTTGATAAATGCCAACTCCTTGAGCAATAACAGTAACGAGTTGACTAATTTGAAAGAGATTAATGATGAGTTGGTGATAAAGATAAATGAGTTGAGGAGGAAAATCGACAGTTTGCAAGCCACCCACCTTGAAATATCCAACCAGAGTGAAGAATACACTACAAACTTAAATAAAGCAGAAGCGGAGAATAAGAATTTAACTAAGACAGAGGCAGAATTACAAGAAAAATATCAGCAATTGACGATGGCAGAAAACTTGAGCAACACGATCAAAGCAAATGAAGAATTTTCACAAAGAAACGAGGAGTTGGAACAACAAATTGTTTCATTGAAGAAATCAGTAGAAGAGAAGAAAGCCAAGTTGACCAAAATAAAGGGATAATTATCATGACAGTGAGGGTGTGTATAGATATACCTTAAATATATGAATATTGCCTGATACATAAATACTGCGCGCGATCTCCTCTCGGCTAGAGAAAAAGAGTAAAAATGTGGAATTGTATGGAAATAAAATAGTACGATTACGCAGGGTGATTTTTCTTTTTTTTTTTTTCAGATCATACTTCAACAACAGATACATTGATTATCTGAATTCACTAATGGAACCATCAGAAAAAGAGCAGACAATTGGGATTGTTGGTGCTGGTTTAGTTGGGTGTTTGGCAGCTTTGGCATTTGCATCCAAGGGTTATTCTGTAACCTTATTTGAATTGAGACCAGATCCTAGAACAGTCGATTCTAGTCAAAGAAATTTACGATCGATTAATTTGGCAGTTAGTAATAGAGGTATTAGAGCTTTAAAATATGTTGACCTGGAAATGGCGGATAGGGTTTTGAAACACATTATTCCCATGAAAGGAAGAATGATTCACGACATTACTGGAACCAAGCAGGAATCACAAGTATATGGATTGAACGGAGAGTGCATTAACTCCATCGATAGATCTTTCTTGAACAATTGTTTGTTAGAAGAGTTGGACAACTCGAATGTGAGAACTTTCTTCAACCACAAGTTGGTTAAATTGGATAGCAATAATAGTTCCAGAATGACATTTATTGATGGTGACGGACAAACCCAAGTGTATGAATTTGATTTTGTTATTGGTTGTGATGGTGCCCATTCACAGTTTAGATATCAATTGCAAAGAGGTATGAGAATGGACTATTCCCAGAAATATATCGACATGCAATACTTGGAGTTGTACATCCCACCAAATGATGATCCGGAAAATAAGTTTTCTATAGATGCAAACCATTTACACATCTGGCCAAGACATAACTTTATGTTGATTGCATTAGCAAACCAAGATGGATCATTCACTTCAACCTTTTTCAGTCCCTGGTCCGTTATTGAAGGCATAAAGACCAGTGACGAATTCTTACATTTTTTTAAACAGAACTTTCCTGATGCATATAAACTCATTGGTGAAGCACCTTTGGTCAAGGCATTTGATAGCAACCCTAGAGGTTCCTTGATGCAAGTAAGCTGTTATCCTTATAGTAATGGGAGAGGTATCATCTTAGGTGATGCTGCACATTCCATGGTTCCGTTCTATGGCCAAGGTATGAATTGTGGGTTTGAAGATGTTAGAGTCTTGATGGAGTTAATTGAGGCCAATGATGGCGACATTCAAGCTGCATTTAAACAGTATTCTCCTAGTAGAAAGGATGACCTTGATGCCATTTGTAAATTGGCTTTGGATAATTATTATGAAATGTCCTCAAAAGTTGTTGATGTTGGTTATTTAATTAGAAAGAAATTAGATTACACTTTGGGTAGAATTTTGAAGAACAAATGGTTACCGTTATACACCATGGTTTCATTTAGAGACGATATACCTTATGCAAAAGCTATAGAAATCGAACAGAAACAAAAGAATATATTGAATAACGTCCAAGTTGGTGTTGTGGGTGCCGCTGTTGTATATGGATTAGTCAAGTTCGGACAGTATTGGAACCGAAGATAATTTTTGTTTTTGAATGTGTCACAGTGGATAGTCGTGTGAAATACAATTATTAATGTTCAATTTTTTTTTTTTTTCTTTTGTTCTCTCATGGGTTTTTGAAAAATTTTTGCCCACATTAAAGAAAAACTCTTCTTCTTTCTTTTTGATTTGAAACATAATCTACTTTGTATATCAACGAGGAACGTTGTTTTAATTAATATTTTTTTCACTTGTAAATAGTATCATTTTATTTATTTCCCTTGTCATTGTTGTTATTGAGTTGATAATTTTGGTTTAAAGTCAAACATCATGTTAAGATCTACAATAATAAAAAGAAACCCGTTATTGGCTTCAAGTAATACCACTGTCACACCAATTATTTTGTCCACTGCTAGATCCTTTCACTACAGTAATGTCAATTTTAATGATAAACCGCCATCATCAGACTCCCCAATGAAGGTGTTTTTTGACACTTTCAAGAGTGAGGTTAAGAAATCTAATGAATTAAAAGAAAACATTAAAGCTTTACAGGATGAGTCCGGTAGAATGGCTGAATCTGAAGCTTTCAAGAAGGCTAAAGAAGCTTATGCCAAGGCACAGTTGGGAAGTACTGCGGCTGGTAAAGTTTTGAAAAAAGGGGCCGAAACCGTTGGTGATGTTGCATATAAAGCTTGGGAATCTCCAGTTGGTAAAGGTGTCAGAACTGGTGTTAGAGTTACTGCTGACGTTGCCGACAAGGCATTTGAACCAGTTAGAAAAACCCAAGTGTATAAGGATGTCTCTGAAGTCATTGATGATGGATCTTCAACTGCATATGGTGGGTTTTTAACCAAGGAACAAAGAGAAGCTTTGAGAAAGAAAGAGTTGGAAAGAAAGAAAAAACTTGGTTATCAAGGACCAGTTAGAGAAAATGAAGAAGCTGGTGGAGCTTTGATTGCCACTGAACATAAAGCCACTGGTCCAACAATGGGTGAGAAATGGGAAAACTTCAAATTGAAATCACCAGTTGGACGTGGAGTTGCTTACTTGCAAGAGAAATGGGAAGAATCAGAAAACGGTTTAATTGCATTAATCCGTACCATCATTGAAAAAGTCACTGGTTTCTTTTCCGAGACCGAGCAAGCTAAAGTTGTTAAACAATTGAAATTAATGGACCCATCATTTAGACTTACTGATTTCCAAAGAACATTGACCAACTACATTGTTCCAGAGGTTGTGGATGCTTATGTTAAAAATGATGCTGCTGTCTTGAAGGAATGGTTAAGTGAAGCCCCTTATAATGTTTGGGAAGCCAACAACAAGCAATTCATACAGCAAGGTCTCTTTTCTGACAGTAGAGTATTGGATATAAGAGGAGTTGAAATTGTCACCTGTAAAAGTTTACAGCCAAATGATGTACCAGTAGTTGTTGTCAGCTGTAGGGCACAAGAAATTCACCTTTATAGAAAAGCCAAAACCGGGGAAATTGCTGCCGGTACCGAAGACCACATTCAATTGAGTACATATGCCATGGTTTTGACCAGAATCCCAGAAGAGTTTGATAACAAGACCACTGAAGGTTGGAAGATTGTTGAATTTGCCCGTGGTGGCTCTAGACCTTTCCATTAGTAGTAACCTTCACTTTTGTATATATATATAATGTATATCATTAATTCTAAAATTCATGAACAAAACGTACATCTGGTAATTGCACGATATTATATCACGCACAAGGTGGAAGAGAAATTTCAGTAATTTTCGTTTTGGACAACGAGATCAAACCAAAAAAAAAAAAAAAAGAAAAAGAAAAAGAAAACAACAACTTTATTGGTGATAACATCTATTATTGTTTCTCTCTAGAACATACACTCTTAGTATTAATTTTACAATGTCCGAAATAGCAGACAAAGCCGAAGTGAAACAAGTGTTTGATAGGTTGAAGAAAGATCCAGCTAATCAAGTTTGCTTTGATTGTTCTAACAAGAACCCTACTTGGACATCTATTCCTTTTGGTATTTTCTTATGTTTACAATGTTCTGCTGTGCACAGAAACTTGGGTGTCCATATATCTTTTGTCAAGTCTTCTAACTTGGACTCGTGGCAACGTATTCAATTAAGAAACTTTAAATTCGGTGGTAACCAACAAGCAAAAGACTTTTTCCTCAAAAATGGTGGTTCTCAATTTGTCAATAACAAGAACGGTGTGGATGCCACAGCCAAGTATTCATCTCCTTGTGCTAATAAGTATAAAGAAAAGTTGAAACATAAGGCTTTGCAAGATGCTGAAAAGCATCCTAACATTGTTACTTTGGATGATATTACTGATGTGTTGTCCTTGAGTGATTCTCAAAGTGAATCTACTGACGATTTCTTTTCCAACTGGACCAAGCCAGTCAACAATTCCAGCACTGCATCACCCGTTTCTTCCAAGAATGGTACACCTAATGCATCCACAGATGATTTAACTAAAAAGAAAACTGTTGTTCGTACCACCACCAACAGTTCTTCACGATTAAATACTGCTGCAAAGAAATCAATTTTGTCAAGCAAAGGAAATGGCCCAAGAAACTCACGTTTGGCTTCCAAGAGAATCAAGCAAGATGAAGAAATTGATTTTGATGAAATTGAAAAGAAGGCTAAACAAGAAGCTGAAGAAGCAAAGAAATTGGGATATAAACCAACTGAAAGTGTCAGTAATGCTACTGTTGCCACTGATTCTCCAAGAAAAGCTTCAGTTGCAAGTTCATTATCTTTGAAGAAGGACAATGATGAGGTTAAATTAACCCCTGCACCTGTTCAAGAAACCACTCAACAATTTCAAAAATTGGGTTTTGGTATGACTCAAGGGGACAACGTAGTAAGCAGTGCACCTGGAAAGAAATACAAAGAAGTTAAATACACTGGTGAAGTATCCAACAAGTTTGGTACCCAAAAGGGTATTTCATCAGATGAGTTTTTTGGAAGAGGTCCACGTTTTGATGAACAAGCCAAGAATGAAGCCAGAAGTAAACTACAAGCTTACAATGGGGCTCAATCGATTTCATCCTCATCATACTTTGGAGAAGAACAAGGCAGCAGTGCTCGTGGAAGCAGCAATGCTGGTGGTTTAGGTGACTTGGAAGCAAGTGCAAGGGAATTTGCTTCTAGATTTTCTGGTAATGCCAACCAAGATTTGGAAGTATTGAAGGATGCTTTGGAAGACGGTGCTAATAAATTGGGTTCTTATTTGAGAGATTTCTTGAGATAGATGTATTATCTAAATTGTGTATTAAAGAGAATATATATATGTATATATATATATATATAATGATTATAATAAATTGATAAAATAGGAATGAGATAAAAGTATATTTATATTTATATAAAAAACACAAAACAAAGTAAACGTGAAAATATAGAATATCTATGATTATTCGATGTGGGAAACTTCAGCCTTTTCATTCCATTCTGGGTTGGTGACAGCCATTCTTTGGTGTTCGTATAATGGTGGCAATGGACGAACGTTACGACGCAAGGCGTATTTTTGAACATTGTTCCAGAATTCTCTAGTACGGTAAAGAGCGTGGTCATACATTGGAACGGCAAACACATCGTCCAATTCTTCTAAAGTCAAACCTTTAGTTTCTGGTAAGAACCACAATACCAAGAAGAAACCAACAGCATTCCAAGCAGCATAGAAACCAAAGGCACCAGTAGAAGTCATGGCATTTTGCAATCTTGGCCAGGTGAATGCCAAAATAAAGTTAAAGAACCAACAGGTAGCAGTAGCCCAACTCATACCCAAGTCACGGATATACAATGGGAAAGCTTCAGCAGAGTATGTGAATGGAACTGGACCTTCGGAACTGGAATAGACAGCAGAGAAAAGATACACACCAGTTGTAACCATAGCCAATCTACCTTGTCTGTCATGAATCAAGAACCCAAAACCGGCAATCAACAAGAAGGCACACATCCAAGGGAAAGCAAACAACAACAAGTTTCTACGACCAAATTTATCAATTGTCAAGAAAGCAGGAAGGGCAAAGGTGAAATTAATCATACCAAAACCCCAGGAGGCCAACAAAGCACTAACTTCACTGTATTTAGCTTGAATGAAAATGGATGAAGCATAGTAGGCAATAACATTAATACCACAGAATTGTTGCATAAACATAACAATCCAGGCAGCAATAGCACCATTTCTGTTTCTTCTAATGGTAAACATTTGAATAGCTCTCTTCCAGGTTGGGATATCATAAGAACCTTCTTCTTGTAACAAGACGTATTGGTAGAAACAATCACGGGCAGCAGCAATTTCTTCGAAACGTAATCTCTTCAATGATTCAAAGGCTTCTCTGTGTCTTCCTTTACCTTGCAACCAACGAGGAGATTCAGGAACATAAGGAACTTGCAACAAAACAATAAAAGCAGGAATACAGGCAGAACCAAGCATCAATCTCCAGTTCAAACCGGTACCAAAACTCTTTTTAGGAACATGATAGAAAGCCAAACAAGCAACATAACCAAACATAATACCAACAGCAGTAAAGAATTGCCACAACATAACCAAAGCACCTCTGACGTGTTTTGGGGTACATTCAGCAGCATAAGCAGGAACAGTAGCTGATTTGACACCAATACCAAATCCAAGCATGAATCTGGCAATGAACAAATGCCACCAGTTATTAACAAAACCTTGCCAAACACAAGTCACAGCAGAGATCAAACAGGTCCAGAAAATAGTCCATTTTCTTCCCAAGTTTCTGTTCCATAAATCGGATGTCCAGCACGCGATACAGGAAGCACACAAGTATGGAGCACCATTGACCAAACCTTCAAGCAAATCGGCATTCTTCATTTTGTCGACTCCAAAGGCTTTTGGATAGAATAAAGTGGCACCAGAAATAACAGATTCATCCATACCTTGGACGGCAGCGGCCATGGCACCAACAGCGATAACTTTCCAAAGTTCAAAAGGAATGTGCCATTTCTTGGTAGCTTCAAGGTATAACCCTTGTTTTTCTTCTTCGGTGATAAATGGCATAGAATTGAAAGCACCAGGAGATCTGGCCAAGGCAGCAGCTCTACCAAACAATTCTGGGTCTAATTCATGTTTAGTAGCGTAGTTTCTACCCATCAGAATAACTTGTTCTTCGGTATATTGAGATAAAACATTTCCACGTTCACCTTGTTCTCTTTCAACTTCTGAATTCATGGATTCCATTTCGGAAGTATCCCTCTTTTTGTTGACACTGGATTGGGAACTGGCATTAGATTGTTCGAATAATTCATCGTGGTTTTCGGTAGGTTTTTCCGTAGCAGACATCTTCTCGTAAGACAATAATAATTAAAAACTCCGAGACAAGAAAAAAATGTTGTTGATATTTAAATAAAGATGAAAAAAAAAAAATTCAGTACTTGGAAAATGTTTATTCCTTTTATACTTGAAATGTGGAGGGGGGAGGGAGTAGAATATGTAGATTATATAGTCAGCCACTTGAGGAGCTTTTTTTTTTTTTTTGTTTTAGTTTGCAAGAAGGATAAAAGAATCATGAACTGATTATTACACAAAATGTATTTAACTTATGCCTGGGTATGTGTAACCCTATTGCTTTTACAGAAGCAATTACACACAGGCATACTATATTATTCCATTTATGCAGACATTTTTTTTATTTTTTTTTTTTTTGCTGCTACGATTAAGTTTTTCCATTGAAAGATAATAGATATAAAGGAAACAAGGAACAGGCGATATTAAATGGTGGGGTAAAAGGAGGTCTTGCATTGATGTACTAAGGGTATGCCGGCTTCAAGGTGATACGTGCTCTGGTATTTTGAATTGGTTATTACAGTTCATGGTATCTCAGATGGGTTTTTTTTATTTGGGGGGTCATGACAGGAGTTAAAAATTCTAATTATTGCTACGCTGCTAAGAATTTTTGACATCGAAAAACTAAAGTACTTAACCTACAGTGCATGTTTCTTTTGATAGCTAATATGAGAGGAGAAGGAGGTTGATGAGGGATCGATAAGATTTCTAGACTTAGAACTTGTGGGTCAAATGCTTTTCTTCCGAAGGACATATTTCCAAGGCTTTTTTACCCCAGGTTGGAGATTATTATTTTACGGATGAGTAATTAAGTCTTACGTTCTGGGGAAGATCTGTAACTGTGAATATCAAAACGTACAAAATTCTAAAATCAATAAAAGAAAAGAAAGAAGATTAAAATTCTAAAAATCCATTATTGTAAATATAGTTGTATTCCTCCGAAACTAAATGAGGTCTATTGTATTTTTGCGGATCCGGTTTATTCTTTTTTTTTTTTTGTTCTACAGACAGAGTTGACACTAATGCGCACCCATAAAAATAGAAATATAAAAAAACCATATCCAAGACTTTACGCCTGTTATGAACAATAGGATGAATACCGGTATGATACATAAATTACAACCAACAATCATGCAAATAGCGGGGTAGTATTAGATGAGTAAGCTTTCAAGTTGAGATGTCTTTAAACTACAATAGTACTAAACTAAGCAAGAAAACCACCCTCTAACTTGACACAGTTTTTTTAGCCTTGCCCTGGTTCAAGTATCCATGGAAGCATTATCGATCTGCGAGCCTCGAAACAGCAATTATAAACTTACTGTGACCAAAATCGTGGAAAAATGTATACATATTCCGAACTTAAGTATGACGTAATTTCTTTTTTTTTTCCTTCCAAGTTGCTCTTTTGCTGGAGTCAAAATTTTCTTCGTGAACGGCGATTACTCTTTTGGTTTTACTATTACCGTATTACCTCTGTTTGTGTTTTACGTTGGATATTGGGCTATTATTGTTGATATCTCCCGAAAATATGATCTACCCGAAGAGTACGCGTCCTTTTTTGTTGGTTCAGGTAGTTGGGTTGATTCTTATATTCTTCCGAAAACCAGGGGAGATTGAGAACTATACAAAATTAGAGTATTAATTGCTTTTGCGTTTGGGATATTACTTTTTGTGTCATATTGTGGGGGATAAATTGAACAATTCTGGGAAAAAATGTCTGAAGACACAGAGGAGAAAAGAAATTCTGTCGGCCAATAGAATTGCAAAGTTTGGACTTGTAGCAGTGCTGCATTGTCTTAATGATTTTTTTTTTTTTTTTTGTTGTTGTTTTGCCGATTCAAATGATAAAGTAATTGGCACCCAAGAAGGATGTTTGGCAAATCAAGTAAATGCTTGGATTGTATAGATGAGATTCATGTTTAATAATTTACGATGGTTTCATTGTTCAATTTCTTGTACCCGTTGAATAATTCTTGAGGTTCGGGAGGGGTTTAGTCGTTAGACTTTTGATTCTAATTTCTTGCAAATTTTTCTTGAAAAATTTCACATCAGATCCGCGTGATACCAGTCATGTGATATAGTGATTGTGATGTGTCTCACGTGTTTTTATCCTATAGTGATAGGGGAACGAATAATGTAGACAAAATGTGCTCTACACACAGTATATATGTGGAAAGATCATACTAATTTTACAATATGCAAATCAACAAAGGTTATGTCTACTTTGAGGTAGTAAACAGGACAACTCAATGAGAGCTGATATATGAAAACTGGGACTACACACAATGATTCATGTTACTGTGAACTAGAGAATATGAACACCCACTAGGATTTACATCCACGGTTTATGAGGAGACCACTCCCCTCTCAAGCTCCTCGTTCTTAGATATTCATCATCAACGATACCAGCTACCCAAGATTTTTTTTTTTAGGTTGTTCTTGTCGAGCGGAAAATCAACCACAATTGCGGAGTTATCCGCTTATCTATCAAAAAATCTGGTTGCACTATAAAATCCCAACACAATCCGCCTTTTCAAATAACCAATTCAAGCATTATACTAATAAGAAACTGACCAAATCATGACCAATCTCAAGAAATTAAACGCTCAATATATTGCATATATCATCAAGTATCCATTATTGACCAAATCCGTTACCGCGGGCGTGTTTTCGGGTTTGAATGAAACAGTATCATCTGTGTTGACCAATGAGTTTAAAGAAACCAACATTGCAGGTATAAAAATCAAACACGTGTTTAGTGAAAAATTGTTAACCATGATTATCTATGGAAGTTGTATTGCTACTCCAATCAGTCACTTTATGTATCAGATCATCAACACTAAACTTTTTAAAGGTCCGTTATCAAGCAAGGGTAAGATTCTTCAAATCTTGACTTCATTATTTACAGTTACTCCCACACTTTCTGCGTGTTTTGTCTCCTGGATTGCTTTAATCAACAACTATAAGTTTCCAAAAGACCAGTTTAATATCGCCGCTGAGTTGAAGAGAATTATTGCTATAATCAAAGGCGGTTTGAAGAAAGGGTATCTCCCGGTGTTGAAAAGTTCCTTGGTGGTTTCATCATGTGCCTTGGTGGTAGCTCAAAAATTTGTTCCACCTGAACTCTGGGTTGTCTTCTTCAACTTGGTGTACTTCTTTTTGGGAACGTATCAAAATACCAAATTAAAGAGATTACAGAAACAACAAAGGTTATTAAAGAAAGATGAATAGAATGTGTAAGTTAATAAAAATTGTTCTTATGCCCGGAGTTTGTGGGGGGAGACGCGCGAATTTTTTTTTTTACATCTCTCTCTCGATTGCTACAAGCAAACTTTTTTTTTTTTGGGAATGGTTATTTGCCATGTTTAAATTCAATATGTAGATTTTTTTTTTTGTCTATAAATTCCTCCCCACCTCGTTTACTAATTACTAATCACCACTTCAGTAATGTATTCTGTATTAAGACAATCAATTCGTCCAAAATTACTTGCAAATCAACACCAATTCAGAACCATGATCACTGCACAGGCTGTTCTTTATACTCAACACGGAGAACCTAAGGACGTTTTATTTACCCAAAAATTTGAAATTGATGACGAAAACTTAGCCCCAAACCAAGTTGTTGTGAAAACTTTAGCTTCCCCTGTTAATCCGTCAGATATCAACCAAATCCAAGGGGTATATCCATCCAAACCAGAGAAAACAACCGCATTCGGTACATCTGAACCAGCAGCACCATGCGGTAACGAGGGTTTGTTTGAAGTGCTCAAAGTTGGTAAGAACGTACAATCCCTTCAAGCTGGTGATTGGGTTATTCCATCTCAAGTTAATTTTGGTACTTGGAGAACTCATGCTTTAGGAAACGAAGACGATTTTATTCAATTGCCAAACCCAGAGCAATCCAAAGCCAACGGTAAAGCCAATGGATTGACTATTAACCAAGGGGCAACAATTTCCGTGAATCCAATGACAGCATACCTTATGTTGACTCACTATGTCAAGTTGACCCCAGGTAAGGATTGGTTTATTCAGAATGGTGGTACATCTGCTGTTGGTAAATATGCTTCCCAAATTGGTAAATTATTAAATTTCAACTCCATTTCCGTTATCAGAGATAGACCAAACCTTGATGAGGTTATTGCTTCACTTAAAGAATTGGGAGCAACCCAAGTTATCACTGAAGAACAAAACAATTCCAAGGAGTTTGGACCAACAATTAAAAATTGGATCAAAGAATCTGGCGGAGAAGCCAAATTGGCACTCAACTGTGTTGGTGGTAAGAGTTCTACCGGTATTGCTAGAAAATTAAACAACAATGGGTTAATGTTGACTTATGGTGGGATGTCATTCCAACCAGTTACAATTCCAACATCTTTGCATATCTTTAAGAACTTCACCAGTGCTGGTTTTTGGGTTACTGAACTCTTAAAGAACAACAAGGAATTGAAAACCCTGACTTTGAACCAAATCATTACTTGGTATGAAGAAGGTAAGTTGACTGATGCGAAATCCATCCAAACACAATTTGACGGTTCCAAACAACTTCATGAATTATACCAAGACGGTGTTGCCAACTCTAAAGATGGTAAACAATTGATTACCTACTAGACTGCGGGAATCATATCCCGGAATCCGAATTATTATTTTTTTTTTCCCCATTCTGCTTCTTCGCATTTGGCCGAAGATTGAAGATAAAATTTTCACAACAATGTGTTGATTAAACTGGATACTAACAGCGGGTTTTTTTCTTTGGCTGAGTTTATTCCGTTGGAATGTTTTAATTTGGATTATATATATAGTCTTATAAATATCAATCAAGATTTTTCTTTTTCTTTTCAACAAGAAGTCATCTCATTTGGTAGTTCAGTGTCGTTTCTTTTTTTTTGGTTCCCTTATCTCGTTCTTCCTTTTATTTCGCGATAATTCCTTTTTCTTATCTATATAAAAAAGTTACATGATTTGTTAAGAACATCCGATTCTGAACTACTTTTTTCTTTCAACTACGCTAAATTTCTCAACTATTATCATGTCAAGAGCATTATCATCGACTAGAGTTTTAATCGATACAAGCATTATCCCAGCTACAATCATATTCTCGTGTGAGACTGGAAAAATCCTTGAAGTGATTCCCAAAGTCTTGTCTCCAGGTGATCCAATACTTCAAGCGTACAATGTCTTACCAATAGACTATAGAAATGTTTCACCTGCAGTAATTATGCCAGGGTTGGTGGATGCACATGTGCACTTAAACGAGCCTGGACGAACCGAATGGGAAGGGTTTGAAACTGGAACTAAAGCAGCTGCTTCTGGTGGTGTTACTACTGTTATCGACATGCCTCTAAATGCTATCCCTCCAACCACAACCGTGGGGAATTTTAACTTGAAAATTAATGCTGCCAAGGGTCAAACGTGGGTGGATGTTGGGTTTTGGGGTGGATTAATTCCAAGTAATATTTCTGACTTGAAACCATTGATTCGAATGGGTGTTCGTGGATTTAAAGCATTTTTGATTGAATCAGGAGTAGATGAGTTTCCAGCTATTGAATCTAAGCATATTCTTGCTGCAATGAAAGAAGTCAAGGACGAAAAGACAATGTTGATGTTCCACGCGGAAATGCAACCACCAGAATCCGCAGCAACAGTATCTTTCAGTATTCCTGAAGATGACGACGAGGAGGAGGAAGATATCAATGAAGAAGACATTACAAAATTTAGTAGTTCTGCCGATACCTTAACAGTAGATATTGAGGATTTCAATTTGGGAATGTCTGCTAGTTTCATAAATAGAGCACCACCACCAGTTGTCAAATTATTAGCCAACGATCAAGGAGACCACCACGAAGAACATGAAAATTGTCGTTTACCACACAATCATGCGGGATCAATGAACCATTCAGTTTTAACTGACCAGCAGGCAAGAGCATTAGCACATACTCCTATTTTAGCCGGTGCTGAACCAACGTATGGGAAACATGCCAGAAAAGTTAACCACCACCACCAATCACCTTATTATTTTGCAGAAGAAGATACAAAAGTTAGTACTCCGTTGTTATTGGCTCAAGAAGAAGACTCCACGTTGAAAAACATCGACGCCACTTCGTATGCTTCATTCTTGGCTTCAAGACCAGATAACTTTGAAACAACAGCAATAGCAGAAATCATCAATTGTTCAACTTTATTACCATCTGTTCCATTGCACATTGTCCACTTGGCGACCCACGAGGCGATTCCATTATTGCGTGCAGCCAAGGCCAGAGGATTACCGATTTCTGCAGAGACGTGTTTCCATTACTTGTCGTTGTGTGCAGAAAGAATAGGCAACTGTTCAACCCATTTCAAGTGTTGTCCACCAATCAGAACAGATGACAACAGGAAGTTATTATGGAGAGCTCTTCGTAATGATATAATCACTACAGTTGTTTCTGATCATTCACCATGTACTCCTGATCTCAAGGGTTTGGAAAAGGGTGATTTTTTTGAAGCATGGGGAGGTATTTCATCTGTTGGTTTTGGATTACCGATATTGTACACCGAAGGTTTAAAATTACAACCACCAATTTCATTAGCCGAAATAAACAAATGGTGTTCTCTTAATACTGCAAAACAAGTGGGATTGAGCCACTGCAAGGGTCAAATCAAAGTTGGATTCGATGCTGATTTGTTGGTCTTTGATACCGAATCGAGGTACATTATTGAAAATAAAGAGACCTATTTTAAAAATAAACTCACTGCATATGATGGGATGGAATTCCAAGGTCGAGTCTTAGAAACAATGGTTAGAGGTCATCGTGTATATGCTTTTGGTAGGGGCCATTCTAGTAAACCATTGGGTAAACTCATATTGGAACCACGTACGGAATAGGTTCCACAAAAATTAAAATAGGTTTTATAGATAACAATAGACGCACACGAGATTATTGAAACATTGGCACGTGGGTGCGGCGTATTTCCAAATTTGGAAGGCTAATTCATCTGAACAAAGAAAGAAAGAAAAAAAAAAAAGTGATTAAATAAATTGGTACAGAGAACGATAATGTAACCACTAATTTTTTTTTTTGTTCATCTTCATTTCTACAAATATACTTCTTTTTACTTTTATTTTCAGAATTGGATTCCAACTTTGAAATTTTTCATCTTTCTTAATCATCAATAATGTCATCTACAAATAAAAGAATTGCATTGCCAGCTAGAGTTGAGCCAAAGGTTTTCTTTGCTAATGAAAGAACATTTCTTTCTTGGTTGAACTTTACCATTATTCTAGGTTCCTTGGGTGTTGGTTTATTGAATTTTGGGGATTCTGTTGGTAGAATTTCTGCTGGATTATTCACTTTCATTGCCATGTTAACCATGGTTTATGCATTAGTTACTTATCACTGGAGAGCCAAGGCAATTAGATTAAGAGGTTCTGGACCATACGATGACAGATTTGGACCAACTATGTTGTGTTTCTTCTTGTTGGTTGCTGTTGTCGTCAACTTTATTTTAAGAATAAGAGCTTAATGGGATGAAATGTATAGGATAGACAGTTTCTTAAATAAAACATGTAAAATTTATGGATTGAGACGACCAAAAAAAAAAAAAATAATCACTCACTTTCTTCTTTATTATTAGTCAGTAACCACATGTCGTACCAATCTTCTACCATAATTGGTGTGTTTTTAGCCGAATTCGATGTCAAGTCTGGGTATAAATTAGTTTGGAGTAAATCTGTTATCCCAGAGTTTGATTTTGATGGGTTGGATTATAAAGCGTTTCCTTCAGGAATACACGAGTTTAATAATTCCACGGTTTTGATAAGTCACTGTTTCCAGGATAAAATCTACTATGGGTTAAGCAAGTTTTATCAGTATATAATTGGTGACGATTCTAGTGATAGAAGCAACGTGAAAATGTATGCATTGGGAGTGTTGTGTGATCTGAAACCAAACCCTTGGAAGCCAAACGAGTTTATTCGAAATGGATGGGAATATGTGGATCTGTTGAATGAGAAGCTTGTACAGTTTGTACATCTGCAACAATATGATAATTTCAAACCAATTGAGAGTGTGCTTGAAGGAATGGATGGATTGTCCCCTACTGGACCAAATATCAATAATCATTTGTTGACCAAGTTACCCGAGATGTTTAGAACTTTAGGACCACTTGTTTTTGTGTTGTATAAACAGAGTCTTTTGAGAAAGAATATTCTAATCTTCAATCAGCATACTAAGGCTCACGATGATCAAGATCTTTTACCCAATGGCGAAGACCATTTGTTTAGTATCAGTTCCTATTGTTACTTGTTGTCGCTTTTGTCGATTATTCCACAAGATATTGAATTAATTTCTAAAACGTCAGCAGCTACTTACTCACAGCCGGTGTACCATATTGGGTTGAATGACTTAACTGGACATTTGATGAAAGTAAAGGGATACATTGGCAGTACTAATGATGAAATTTTAAAGGATAATCCTGTGTATGATGTTGGAGTAGTGATTGATGAAAAAGCGAGTGTTTTCCGTTTCCCATCAGAGACACTTAAAGCAACTAACAAGGACTACAGGAAGTTCCAATTGATATACCAAGACTTGCCGGCAAAGAAAATCAACATTAGCAATCATTCCAATATTTCTACAGACGATTTAAATTCCCTTCGCACCGAATCAGTTCGCAACTATAACGAGTTGGATTTAAGAAATGATATAATAGAGCCATCATGGTGGAAAGAGGAAGCAATTGAGCCGGTATCATGGATAGAGAGTATTTGGTCAGCTTTCTCGTGGTTTGCAACTGCTGGCCAGCAATTAGAAACTCTGCCGGTGACAAACCCGCCGATCCGCCATGTTCAAACAGAAGCTGATTTATTAGATCTTATTCACATTGTTGGGTATTTCCATAAATTAACAACGAAGTGGTTTTATATAATCAACGAAATGGTGTTGGAGGTGTTAGATGACCAAGTGATTACTGAAGAACAACCGTTAACGGAGAGAATAACAATCAAGCTTACATATCAGGATATTTTAGAAATGGAACTAGATCCATACTCAAAAGAAGATTTGGAATTTATCAAAGAGTTTATATTATTATATTGGGAAGTTGTGGATGATGTAGAAATTGGTGTAGGTTTTACAAATATATGTTGTTAATTGTGTGTGTGTGTGTGTGTGTGAAGTTTAAAAAGAAAAGTGTGTGTCTGGCACAATCAGAAAAGAAACGAAAACTGACCAACTGTGAGAAAAAAAAAAATAAAAACAAAAAAAAAAAAAAAAATACTTATTCCACCACACCACAGAGCAAAAAGGTTCTTGTCTCTTTTTTTTTTTATCTTATTGACTTTCCCCTCCTTCTTTGATAGTTTCAAATAGACCTTTTCAATCTACTGAAGCATGAAGAGTCAATCGAATCGTGTTAATAATTTCAAGAACGGACATCGCCGTTCAAGTTCCCGTGCCTCCAATGATGATAGTGGAAACCAGCGATTAGTTTTGTTGATTGCCTCAGCTATTGGGAAAAAATGTATTGCCACAATTACCGATGGATCCCGTTATGAAGGTTTATTGGTTGCTAGTGATGTATCTCCGGCACAGGGATCAGCATCTGCCCCGTTGTCGGTTGTGTTGTTGAAACCAAAGTTGGTCAGCAAGAGTTTGATCAACGAGAAAAACAATCTTGACAAATTACCCGAGAACTTGATTATCCAGGCAAAAGACTTGATTGATTTGGAAGTAGCTTTGGATTTGAATGAGGAAGTCAAACCTCGTCTTGGATTTAAAAAAGATTCTGATATTTCCGGACAAATTGCATTCAAGGAACGTGAACTTCAGAGGTGGGTGCCAGAAGATGATATGGAATTAAGTTTGGAAGATGATGGTGGTGAGTGGGATCAATTTAAAGTTAATGAAGAAAAGTTTGGTGTTGAATCCACTTATGATGAACATTTGTATACCACAAGAATCGATACCTCCGCTCCGGACTACCACCAACGTGTGGCAAGGGCTGAGAAAATTGCCAAAGAAATTGAACTGCAGGCCACTACCGATAGACATATTTTGGAAGAAAGGGGTATCCAAGTTGACGATAGTGGAATGGATGAAGAGGACAAGTATTCTGGTGTTGATAGACGAGGTGACGAGTTGATGGCCGCATTGAGAAATGCCAGCATTTCCAATGATGCTAATAAACCAGGAAACACCACCACAACTCATAGAACCGCTCATTATCACAATGATCCGGCTATTATATCCAGCTCCAAACAAAAGAAACCAGATTCCATCCCACCAAAACCATCAGTACCAAATGAATCATTTAGATTGAATGCTCAAAGTGAAATCAATTCTTTACGCGAGTTCAGTGCTAATTTTAAGATTCCACATAAGATGCCTCAAGACTTGTTACCAATTTTGGCCAAGGATAAGTTGAAGCAAGATGAGATTTTAAAGAAACAGCAAAGTGAACAGAAGAAGAAAGAGTCGAAATCATTCAAGTTGAATCCAAAAGCTGCTGCGTTCACACCATCTGCCAAACATGCCACTATAACATCTCCACCAAACTTTCACAAGTCACCAATCAACCCTTCACCAAAAGTGTCCCACCCAAGACCATACTCGTCCAATGGTAGTGTTAGTTCGCAAGGATCCGCTAAAAAGCACCATCATGTTTCAGCAGTAGATTTCTTTGGAGGGAATGATAAAGTGCCTACAAAAGAGAGCCAGAAACAAAAGATTACTTCGTTTAGACGTGGATTTAGCATGTTTGTAACAACAAGAACCAAGCAAAAGGATGGCAATCCAGTTGTATACGAGAAAACATTCCAAACCCCACCTACTTGGGATTCTACAGTTGAAGAAGCTCATAATAAAGTGTTTGCAAGACATGTTGCTGCAACTCCATTTGTTCCAAGTCCAATGATGGCTGCACCAATACCGTATGGAAATAAGTTCCCAATGTCGCCTCAACAGCAACAACAACAGGCGGCTGCAGCAGCTGCCATGGTTGTACAAATCCAACAGCAACAGCAGCAGCAACAACAACATATCCCACATCATGGTCATCCACAACAACCACATCATCCACAACAACAACAGCAACAATATGCCATGATGTATCAACAACAATTCCCACCCCAGGTTCCGATGTTTTATGGTGATCCAACATTTTTCCCTCCAGCGGGTTTTATACCTCCACCAGCACAATTTGGTAATCCAAATATGATGATGGGTAATCCTTACCAATATCAAGGAAATAGAAGGTATTCGAAAAAGGGCGGGCCTGGACATAGTTGAGTAGGAAAATAGTGTGTAGTATCTGGAAAAAGAAATAAACAGTAAGAGAGAGAGAAAAAAAAAAGATAAAAAACGAAAAAAATACAACAAAAAAAAAAAAAAACACCACCACCTGTGAACAACACCATACGAAATGAGTGATTCGACGTTATCTAAAATAAGTGAATTGATCAAGTTGGAGGATGATCTTGTCAAAATTGGTACTATTCGTCAACAATTCCTTAAAGAGAAATCATCAGTTGATGTAAAACTTGCCACAGCCACAAACATTCAAATGACTGGCATGCTTCAGAATGTTGAGAAACTTCAACAAACAATGGGGAAATTGGCCACAATTAAAGGTAATATTGGTGAAGTGCAAAAGATACATGAGGATACAATCAATTCTGTTAAGGATTATGATACGATCAAAAAGATTACCATTGTAAATCAGTTTTTAAACCAAACAGCGAGCTTGTATGAAGATATATCGGGATTTAAGAAATTCTTGGACGTGTTGAACCAACAGATTGAAAATGAAACAGAAGAATTGAGAAATGATTTGTCATACCCACTACCTAATCTTTTTCAAATTCATTCTGGATATACTCAAGCCCGGAACTTCCTGGATTATTTGGAAGTGTATGCAAGAAACTTGTCGGATGATTTGCAATCCATTGTTTACAAAGTCGTTTCCCCCATGAAAAAGACCATTAAATTATTTGACGAATTACTCCAGGAGGCTATTTTCAGTTTAACGGAAGTGACAAAAGTCGGGAACTATACCAATTTTTTCAACTTGTTTACTGTGTTAACATGGGAAGAGAAACAGGATATGAAGTTGGTGTTACTTACATCGTTGCAGTTGAACTCAGAAGATCCCAAATCAGTCAATTACAAGACGTTTAGAGGAAGAAGTAGAAACTACAAAAAGTTTTTCTTTGACAAGTTGAAAGCAAATCTTAATGAGATTTTTGATTCGTGTGTTGAACATTACAAGCAAGATAAAGCGTTGGTTTATACCGATCTTGATTGGTTGGAGGATGAATTAAGATTTATATTTGAAACATTGGATAAAGCATTCCCTAGTGGATGGAAGATCAGTGCATTTATTGAAGAAGTGTACTACACCCGACTCCATCAATTGACTATGGATGTTATTGAAACTGATCCACCAGCTGAAGATTTGTTAAAGATTTTGCTGTACGATTCGAAGTATGGCAAGTTTGTGTCACAGTACAATGTACAGCAACGATCAATTATTGGTGAAGAGTTGAAGGAGACTGTGTTGGATGATTACTTGAAGAACATCACCAACAAGATGAATGAATGGTACACTAATTTGATTGCACAAGAAACCAGAACATTTTCTGAAAGACCTTCGGCACCAGAAATATATCCGATCACGCAGGAAATTGAAGACTTGGATGCCAATAACCAATTGATATCTACGCCAATTGATCTTAATGTTTATGTGTTGCCTGATTTTAAGATCCCATTGACTATGCTTAAGGAACAAGCCGATGTGGCTGCTGATTCGAACTATGCCAGAATATTGGTTGAGGTTATTGAGAACTGGTCTGCTTGTTATATCAAGAGGGTTTCTACATTCCGCGAACTTGTTGATGATGAAATGGATAGGTACATGTCGGTATTTAGCAATGATGACTATTTGATCAAAGAAAGCAAAGCCAAGAGATTGTTTAGAAAAAAGAAACCCCAAGGTGTTGATTTGGAGAACTTGACTCCGGAGGAGCAAAGTAAATTGTCAAGAGAAGGTTTAGTTGAGTATTTGGTTGCGTTGGCCAACTCCTTGGATATCAGTGATGGAATTTTGAACGACAAGTTTGCGCCAGCATTCAAAGAGAAGATCCACACGCTGTATCATAAACGAATCTCACGTGCCATTGATGATGCGTCGGAAAGTTCCAACTCGTTGATTTCGGAGATTTTAAGTGCTATCTGTGACATTGTTATGAACGATTTAACCCCAGCATTGTGTAAGTTGTTTACTAAGAAATGGTACGATGATGGCAATTCGCAAACGGGTGAACCAACTATTGCTGAGTTGATTGTGGAGACTATTAGTGAATATATGGGAGAGATGAGACAGTACTGTTGTTATCCAGTGTACCAGTTGTTGTTTAGAATCTTTTTGGATAATTTCATTCCTACGTATATTAGAATTGGATATGAAAATGTATTACATGGAGATGGTAAGAAAGTTGATCCACATGCCACTAAAAAGTACAAATCATTTAGTGAAGCTATCCTTCGAGATGTGGAGACATTTTTCAGTGGGTTGGACCCGTTGTTTACCAAAAAAGATGCAGAATATTTCTTTTCCTCATTGCTTGCCATTGAAATGTTGCAAGAGTTGGGTACTTGTGAGGTGGATAATATCCAAGAAGCATGGCAACATATGGTTTTGCCCAAGTTTTATGACTGTTCCATTGAGTATATTAGGGGGATTTGTTTATGTAGAAAAGATATGGATAAACATGCTGTTAAAAGATTATTGCCGGTATTACAGGATATAAAGATTGATTATCACCAAAAAGTTGAACCACCAGAAATCCCAATTTTCACATTGAATGATTTTGAATTCCAAGATTAATCTGAATCACTTGAGTAGTTTACCAATAGTTTAGGTTTTTTCTTTAGTTTAATAGTTTGAGGAATGTCAAGTTTACGTTTGGATTGATTTAGTTTCTCTCGAGCCATGTCTTCTAGTTTTTCTTTATCCACATCGACTTTGGATTGAATTGCCTCTAATTGTTCATTAAGTACTTGTTGTTTCTGTTGTTCTTGTAAACGTTTTTCCAAGTTTTCCATTCCAGTAGATTGTTCTTTCCAAAACGGGTTCTTCTTTCTCTTTTCCTGGAGTTCTTTAAACTTCTTGTCCTCTTCTTCCTCTTTCTGTAATCTATCAAGTAAATCATCTTCGGTTTCAGTTTGTGGCTGCTTTTTCTTTTCAAAATTTCGTACTGCACCTCCTTCAGGGGTGTATCCAGCATTCTTGGGATCGGTTTTGAATGTAATGGTATTGTTACATCCGGGGCAGTTGATGTAAAATCTAATGATTTTGGTGTTTAAGTATTTCTCTTGTGTGACCTCCTTTCTTGCATTGAATGATCTTCGTTCTCCGATGTATTCGTCACATTTAAGGCATCGCATGGAGTATGGAGCCATCATACGAATCTTGATTGTTTGATTACCATTCTGCTTGGGTTTCTTCTTTGGGAGTTGGGATGGGTCATAATCTGGCGGGTACCACTTGTTGATTGCCTTTCGTTCTGACATGGGGTGGATGAAAACAAAAAAAAAAAAAAAAAAAAAAGTGTGCTACATGGGTGGATTTTGTTTTGTAATTCTTTTTTTATCTCTGTTCGTATCTATTGTACATAAATTATTTTTATTAAAAATGCTACAACTATACACCCTAATCGGCATTTCTTCTGGCAGCTCTCTTTTGAGCTCTTCTTTGAGTACCAAAGATCTTCTTGTCTCTGTTCTTCTTTTGTTTTCTTTGTTGTCTAGAAGCTTTTTCGACTTTTTCGGCCAAACCGTATCTGACTAATCTGTAGGCTGGTTCGAATTTCTTAGCATCAGCAACGGATTGGTAGACCAAACCGAAACCAGTAGATTTACCACCACCAAATTGGGTTCTGAAACCAAAGACGGAGACAGCGTCTTTTTCGGCCTTGTAGATTTCAGCCAATTTTTCTCTCAATTCATCCTTGGAGACGTTGGCTCTGTTTGGATGTAAAACATCAATGACAAATTGTCTTCTGGCTAATAATGGGTTGGAAATAACCTTTCTAGTTCTGATGGTAACAGCGTCACTCTATTATCAAAGTTAGTACATTTAATGGTTCATAAATGGATACAGACAGACGCATATAACGTCCTAGCTCTCTACTGAGTTCAAACATACCATTGTCGATAGATATTCTAGTATTGTGATAAGACCTCTAAGTGAAAATTTCTGTTTGATATTTTTTTTTTTGCTAACCTCTGGGAATGCGAGGAAAAAATGTTTTTGATTTTGTTAAAGACTGTATAGAGGACAGCGTGCCTCATAGTTAAGACTATTAGTGTGCGCGTGGAGAGATAGGGCAAATTGGTTTTGTGTGCGAAAAATTGTCCAAGTTGTGAAAAAAAGTACGCACGTGTATAATTAGGGCTACAACCCTAATGCGAGATACTGTCTGGGCAGAGTAAGAGGGTCAAGTCAGTGATTGTATGTGGTTGTTAGAGCTCGTTGGAAGAGTAGTAGATGTAGTAAGAGAGGTAGTTGACATATGTATTTTAGTTCAAGAATGTGTATAAACTTGAGTAAATGTAAGAGGTGGTACCAATAAATCTGAGACGGTATCAATAACAGATGATTACAGAGTAGGTTTGCGGTGTACTAGTGGGACTAGTCAACGATCTACAGATATGTCTACATGTACTTTCTGAAGTGTATCCCCTTGCTGGAGTCTTGCAACTGGGTGTTACTCCATGTTTTACACAAAATCATCGGTTCATCCCATCGCTAGAAAAACAGAAAGTACTTGAAAAAAAAAAAAAAAAAAAATTTCTAGAAACATTACTGACAGAATAATATCCACAACAATGGTTTCATTCTCGTGTGAAGTGTGTAACGACACTATTATCAAAAAGAAATTAGATCAACATACTCAAAGATGTTATGGTGCTTATTTTACATGTATAGACTGTTCAACAACTTTTGAAGGTACAGAATATAGAAAACACACCAGTTGTATAACTGAAGATGAGAAATACCAAAAGAGCTTGTACAAGAAGAAGCCAGCAAAAGGCCAACCAAAGAGGGTAGAACCAAAGAAGGAGGAGCCAAAGAAGGAAGTGAAGAAGGAAGAACCAAAGAAGGAGGTGAAGAAGGAAGAACCAAAGAAGGAAGTGAAAAAGTCCAAACCAGCCAAGGAATTCCCCCTTGACAGTGTATCAGGAACTGAAAACTTGTACAAAGTTCTTAAAAAATCATCAAAGGGTGAATCCAAGAAATTGAAGGAAATACTAAAATCATTGAAAGTCACCAAAGTTGATGGAAAGTATATTATAGAACAATAGATGAGAGGCGTATCAAGACTAATGTGATAGAGGAAATAGAAGTAATGTATGAAGTGATTTCAATTCAAGAATGTAGCAAATGAGCTGTGATAGAGATAAATGACGGGACGACCAGCAATTCAAATAGTTATGCTTGTGATGATACGAGTCAATCAATCAAGAGCCACAATCTGGGTCTAAATAATGAGATTATGTGTGTTCAGTGGTGAGTGATTAGAAAGTGATCAAACCATGATCTACAGTTGTTCAATGTGATAACCGGCAGTCGTTGATCGCTAGTATGGTGGACATTAATAATATCACAATACGTACTCTAATCTCTTTATATCAAGGTTCGTTCTGTAGTGGATGAAACTAGTTTATTGTAAGTGAATATTGAGCTGGACACGACCATAAAGTTGTGTGGAGAAATCCAGTAAACAAACAAAAAAAAAAATCAACGATGATCAAACCAACAAGAGAGTGTCACTACAAACAACTACATGCAGAATGAGAAGAGGGATTAACCCCATACCAGTCAAACTACAGAGATGCCAAACCAGAGCAGCTATTATGGAAATGTAACTTGGTAAAATTAGCCGATCGTGAGCCAACTGATTTGAATGTACATAAAGAGGGGGAATACAAATGTTTCGACGAGTTTACGCAAATGGATTCAACATTACCAAGTAGTCAAGTTTCTGCAAATTGGACTATATGATATTTTCACGGATCCCCTTTTTGATAGATCACAATGGCAACCACAAACTAGCAGTCGATTAGTCAGTCGTCGGTTTCGTTCCCAGATATGTTTTGAATCAGATTCTTCTTCCCGTCAGGCATGATATCTACAAGTGGAAGAATTGATGATTTAATCCCAGAATCACCAGCATATAGTTCTACAAGCGAAGATAAAGAGTGTGAAGAAGAAACTGCCACACCAGCCATGACCATGAAACCAAGTGCAGGTACAGGATCAAGTGTTACCACAACTACAGATGAGGATATCGAAACATAGTGTAAAACTGAAACACAAGTGGAGCCAAACAACAAAAACAACAAGTGGCACTGAAGAAGAGGAATCATAATGATGTTGGTGGCCCAACTACTGAAACCGCCACCAAGTTTGGATCTTGAACATTTACCCATTCCAGTACTTTTGTCACAACAACTACCAACGCTGAAGACGTCACAGATATCCCCAGAACAACCATGTACACGTCAGTTATTACAGATTGAAAACAGAGGTGTTAGAGTTGGCAACGATGGACTTTTCATCGCCGTCGTTGGGTTGTTGACATTGATGTTGGTCTAGTAAATATATATTTGAATATTAGAATAATTATTTACATCTCTATGTAGACTATTTTGTTTGCCACTTTTACCCACTGGGTGGAAAATACTGGAGCTGGTATGTTTCCTGGGTACATGTGTGCGTTACGGCACTGTCCAATATCGATATATGTTGCTGCTCCTGTAAGCAACGCATCGACGCCACCTCTTGTTACTCTGATACACCCACGAAGGAGTACTTTTTCCAAGTAATGCAATAATGATAAAGACGCCAACGACGAGTCGCTCACCGCCAGCCCACAAAATGATAAGTCTATTTCTCGAAGGTATGGCAACCCTGTTGATATGGCCAAGACCGACCCATCGGTGAGACCACAGCAGAAATTCAAGTTCAATATCTCAAGGTTAATGGCCAGGTTGACTATTGCGTGCATGGCCTTGTCTGTGAGGTAGCTGCACTGCTGGAGACTGAGTTTGCGTAGTGATGGCAGAAACGGGAGGGATGTGAAACCGGCATCGGTGATTCCCGAACATCTGGTCAAGTCCAAGCTTTCAAGGTTGTAGAAATATGGAACCACACGGTCACTGACGCTTTTGCAGTATCCCAAGTTGAGAATTTTAAGGTCGTTCTTCTGTAGTAGTCTTTCAACCACATCGTCGTCGACTTTTCGGCAGTTTGACAAATCAATCTCGCGGAGACACTGGCCGGGGAAACACAAGTCCATTATTGCCATGGCACTGATCTCCCAATTGGATCTCATTCTTAATACCTTGAGATTGCCACCGATCCCGATCCCATTCACCATGTAGGAGAACCCTTCGTTTGTTATGTGGAAACAGTTTGATATATCGACAAGTTTTGGTCTTGTCCCGACCCCCTCTCGGAGGTTGCCATTAGTGCTTTATCGGTGATGATGGTACTCCCTTCTAGCTGGGAGGTCGACTTTGTCGATGTC